CACGTCATGGTACATACAATCCACCCTTCAGGGGAATACCCCGTTTTGCCCGCAGTTTGAGGGTCATGGAGGGTGGGGTAGTCTTTACTGACGAACAAACACGGCCACATTGTGAGCAGTAGACGATACGTGGGCGCTATTCTGTATAGAAGACATCACATTACTTTTCTCATAGTAGATAACACACTATGCACAGTACTATCTTGCATGGTAGACATCACGGTACTATTCTGATAACAAACATCGCAGTACAGTTCTCATGGTGGACATCACAGTACGTCCTACCCTCGTAGTACACATGTACAGTACTATTCTCATGGTAGACATCACAGTACGTCCTACCCTCGTAGTACACATGTACAGTACTATTCTCATGGTAGACATCACAGTACGTCCTACCCTCGTAGTACACATGTACAGTACTATTCTCATGGTAGACATCACAGTACGTCCTACCCTCGTAGTACACATGTACAGTACTATTCTCATGGTAGACATCACAGTACGTCCTACCCTCGTAGTACACATGTACAGTACTATTCTCATGGTGGACATCACAGTACGTCCTACCCTCGTAGTACACATGTACAGTACTATTCTCATGGTGGACAGCACAGTACGTCCTACCCTCGTAGTACACATGTACAGTACTATTCTCATGGTAGACATCAAGGTAGTATTGTGCATGGTAGACATCAAGGAAGTGTTGTACAAGGTAGACATCAAGGTAGTACTTATGCATGGTAGACATCACAGGTGCTCATGACAAGGTAGACATCAAGGTAGTATTATGCATGCTAAACATCGCAGTGCTATTATGCATGGTAGACATCAAGGTAGTATTGTGCATGGTAGACATCAAGGAAGTGTTGAACACAGTAGACATCAAAGTAGTGTTGTGCATGGTAGACATCAAGGTAGTAGTGTGCATGGTAGACATCAAGGTAGTATTATGCATGGTAGACATCAAGGTAGTATTGTGCATGGTAGACATCAAGGTAGTGTTGTACAAGGTAGACATCAAGGTAGTGTTATGCATGGTAGACATCAAGGTAGTAGTGTACAAGGTAGACATCAAGGTAGTGTTATGCATGGTAGACATAAAAGTAGTAGTGTGACATCAAGGTAGTATTGTGCATGGTAGACATCAAGGTAGTATTGTGCATGTTAGACATCAAGGTATTATTTTGCATGGTAGACATCAAGGTAGTGTTGTGCATGGTAGACATCAAGTTAGTAGTGTGCATGGTAGACACCAAGGTAGTAGTGTGCATGGTAGACATCAAGGTAGTAGTGTGCATGGTAGACATCAAGGTAGTATTATGAATGGTAGACATCAAGGTAGTATTATGCATGGTAGACATCAAGGTAGTAGTGTGTATGGTAGACATCAAGGTAGTAGTGTGCATGGTAGACATCAAGGTAGTGTTGTGCATGGTAGACATCAAGGTAGTATTGTGCATGGTAGACATCAAGGTAGTGTTGTGCATGGTAGACATCAAGGTAGTAGTGTGCATGGTAGACATCAAAGTAGTGTTGTGCATGGTAGACATCAAGGTAGTAGTGTGCATGGTAGGCATCAAGGTAGTGTTATGCATGTTAGACATCAAGGTAGTATTGTGCATGGTAGACATCAAGGTAGTATTGTGCATGGTAGACATCAAGGTAGTATTGTGCATGGTAGTAGTGTGCATGGTAGACATCAAGGTAGTGTTATAGGCATCAAGGTAGTGTTATGCATGTTAGACATCAAGGTAGTATTGTGCATGGTAGACATCAAGGTAGTGTTGTGCATGGTAGACATCAAGGTAGTAGTGTGCATGGTAGACATCAAGGCAGTGTTGTGCATGGTAGACATGATGGTAGTGTTGTATGTATATTTCATGGACTGTTGTTTATGATATACACGTACAGTTGTTAAGCTGCCGTACTGTATCTACAGTACTTAATCTTTAAACAGTGCACCCAGACAACAGACCGGTATGTAGATGCTGCCAGTTACCTTATAACACGAAAAACATTATAGGCTGCCCTTTTCTGTGGTCGAAAAGTTCGCCTTTCACGTCGAAGGCACAGGTTCAACGTGGCTCATTCCCTGTTATAAAATTATTTGTTTGATACAAGGCATTCGTAATTGGTTAATACAATACATTCACCGTTATAATCTTGGGTGATGCAGAAATGATGAAATTCTGGAGACCCACTCTACAAAGACTCTAAACCCACCTATACATTTCAAGGAAGTATTTCTCTAAACTCCAGCAGTATCAAAATAGCAATCAGCTTGTATTGCCCTTAACTGGTTCCAGGTAATGGATCAGTTTTCGGGGAATTAAGAACGTGGACAGTCAATGGGACAATAGTGAAGGCCGCAGCATTATAACCCAATCATGCTTAACGGTAAAACTTCCTGGGACTGCAGGTTAATCCCAACTAATTCAGGGACACCTGTTGTGGCGGTTGTTTGGTCTTATGATCCCGTTACACCACGCCCATGTGTTTCTATAGCGAATTTCTGCGGCGACATGACATGAGGAACGACCATTTGATATCATTATTATATTATGATGTGTGATATTATAACATTTAATATTATGAAATAATGATATTATTATGCTTGATATTATATTATAATATTACTACATTATAATTGATATTATGGTATTATACATAGTACATATGTCATCGTATCCCAGTTGCAAAGATCGATGCTCATGGTGTTGATCACTGGACTATTTGGTCCAGATTATTTACAGACCGCCACCCCATAGCTGGAGTGTTGCTGAGTGCAAAGTAAAAGTAAACTCACTCCCTTGCCATTATATATATACTAGTCACATAAAGAAACTGTGCATTGTCAAAATTTATCCCAGTTGATAAGTACGATAACAATGTCAAAGGTACATATAAACTTTAATGGAGGGATCATGAGACCATAACAAGTCGGGAGAATTTCAACTGAAAAGTCAATCACAATGACGTCACGAGTCCACAAGCGGGACAGGGGTCAAACGACCATTCCACAAGCTCAATAACGGGCATTGAGAACAGCAGTGCATCGACGACGCATAGAGCCTATCAAACGTGCAAGGAATGCTTGTGGGATGTCACGCCAGATTCTCTCAAGTTCTGTTGCAAGGTCAAGGACGTTATCTGGCGGATGAGGTAGACGGCGTAGACGTTGGTCCATCTCGTCCCAAACATGCTCTATCGGGGAGAGATCCGGTGAATTTGCAGGCCAAGGCAGTAAGTCAACGTTGTGGTGTTGCAAGAAATCCATAGCAGCCCTTGCCGTATGAGGGCGGGCATTGTCCTGTTGGAATGTTAACCCAGGGCCATGACGTTGCAGAAAGGAATTGCCACAGGTCGAAGAATCTGATCCCTGTAGCCCACACCAGTTAAGTTGCCCTGAACAATCACCAAAGGAGTTCTTTGGCGTGCTGTTATTCCACCCCAAATCATCACGGAACCACCACCAAAGCGATTCCTCTCCAAGATACAGGCCTGTGCATAACGTTCTCCCATGCGTCTATAGGCACGTTGACGTCCATCACTATGGGAAATGTTAAACCTGGCCTCATCTGTAAAAACATTTCTCCACCAAAACAAGGGTCTGCGGACATGATTTCGGCACCACATTCGGCGAGCTTGTCGATGACGTTGTGTCAGGATAGGCCGTATGGCGGGACGTCGTGGTCTGATCCCGTGATGACGTAAACGTTGTCGAACTGTGTTGGGGTGGATACCGCGATGTCCTGGGATGGTTCGGGCAGTCATCACTGCAGTCTGAAACCTTTGGCGAAGATGGGTCACCCTTAGCCATCTGTCCTGTCTTGGCGTTGTTACACGTGGACGTCCAGAACGTGGCCGATCGATGACGTCATTTGTGTTCTGGTAGCGTCTCAGCAGTGCAGAAATGGTGTTCCGGTGGCAGTGGAAATGTGCAGCCACTTGTCGTTGAGACATTCCCCCACGGACCATCCTAATGGCCTCATGACGTTGTGCAGACGTGAGCCTTGGCATGCTATGCATTTCAATAGCCGTTTAATTTTTTGAACGATCGCAAGGACAGGGGTTGAGCTTTCCAAAGTGACAGTATTGTGTGGCATTCATTTGCTCTGTTTTTCTTTCCCGGAATGTACGTGCAACAACGTATTGCACTTCTCAAGGACGACCCCCTGACGTCACGGAACGTGGCACGTGCATGCATGTTACATGTCACTAATCTCTGAGTTTAAATCCTTATGTGTCTACACAGGTTTGATAAATTTAGATTTTAAATTTTTGTATGCACAGTTTCTTTATGTGCCTAGTATAGTATATAAAAACTAATTCTGACGAAAGGATAGGGCACATTATTCACCCTGGTAATTTGTGTCTTAATCTAGGAACCCGTGAAGATCCGGGTTAGTATTGGCCTTCAGTAACCCAAGCTTGTCGTAAGAGGCGACTAACGGGATCTGGTGATCTTGGTTGACACATGTCATCGGTTCCCCATTGCGCAGATCGATGTTCATGCTGTTGACCACTGGATTGTCTGGTCCAGACTCGATTATTTACAGACCGCTGCCATATAGCTGGGATATTGGTGAGTGCGGCGTAAAACTAAACTCACTCACTCACTTAATCTAGGACAAGGAAACTTGAACAGTATTATTGGGCACTCGATAGACAGTTACACGCTGTGACACACTGAGATATTTTACCAGGAACTGGCGCAGAAAGATAGGACACACGCTATGAGGCTTTCATTGGTTGGGACCAAGTATAGTACACACACTTAACTTAAAAGTATACATTTTCTTAAACATATCGTATGTTTCTTAAATAAAGCGTCTGACCCAGAGAAACTGCTTTTAGGGTTGATTTAACCGAATCTTCACTTCGTTGCTGCACTAACTGCACATGTGCATAGCTGATGACAAAGGACATCGTGGTGTTGTGCGCAGTTTGACAACCTTTGTTGAGCACTACGTGGGGAAATCCCCGTAATATCTAAATATAGAACCCAGTTTTTCTTCTATGGCGTCCTTCTCTCTCGGTGACAACAGGCCCGCCGAAATGTGGCGGACGTTTCTATTTTCCTCTCATCTCGTGATGATGATATTTCTCAACATTACATTTTACAAGGTAAGTAGGTGTTTTCTTTCTACCAGATAAATTTTGTGTGAAAGTGTAATGTTTGATGGTTGATGGTATAGGTAATCGTATTAAGGGACCGTTCATAATTTATGGCTAGGGGGATGATGATGGTGATTTATATGGAGATGCATGTACAGTGTGAATGCCCTCCCCTTAAAATGTATGTACAAAGTAAGTGACACATGTCACTAACAGCATGTCATGTACAAAACTCAATGACAACTCTGTCATCCAGACATTGTTGACGTCATCATGCTGATTTTACGAAACTCATGTAAAAATTCATGTATTACGATCGCTATTTTCGTAGAAAAACAAATACTCATCTCTACATAATTAATGGCAAAATGGCTTCCATAGGATTCAGGTAACCATAGAGATTAAGGTACTCTACAAACTCGGGGTAGTTGATTGCAGTTGGAACAGGACAACTGACACCCGGACAATTGCTACCCGGACAATTGCCACCGGACAATTACGACCGGGACAACTGCCACCTAGGACAACTGCCACCTAGGATAATTGCCACCTAGGATAATTGCTACCCAGTAAAAGTATATATCAGCCTTACACATTGTGCCCGTGTAGGGAGTGCAGCTCGGGTCGTCGGTGGTTGTGCATTAACCCATGTGCCACCCGACCCCTCGATCCGTCTACAGATGGGTCAGCGTGAAATGAACTGACACAACATCCTGGTACAATTGACATGACACAATTGTATTGGCCCAGCTCGAGTTAACGTGTGGTGGAACGAGAAAAGGTATAATACCTGGACAACCAGCTGTTATAGATAGCCATCACAACACTGAGCTCCTCATAATATATATGCACACACAAGGGGAAATACTTCCTTGTACGCAGGGTCTAGAGAACCACTAGCGACGCCGACTGATACGTTCACCGGCACAGTGAGCGGTTAGATATTGAAAATTTAAATTGAAACATCGAATGACGGTAGCAGTGGCTGGCTGGCTCTAGATGTGACACACATGTTATTTTGCAGTCATTCAAATCACGATGAAAAAAAAATCATCTGAAAATACTTTTTGTATTGATGGATGTATAAAGATAAAAAAACTGTGTGGGTGTATAACTACATGAATGCTGAAGACATATTGAAGCCATGATCATATTTCATAATTTATAATAGAGAACACACGAAATCGCCACGTCTCAGCGCAGTAATATAAGACAAACAACGCCCATTTTATAATCAGGAAAAAGTAGTCCGGCAGTGGGCGTGGCCTGATTATTTGTTTGACATAAATTACTTGGATTGCCAAGTAAGTGACACGGCATTGCTTGCAGTTTACTTAAAGGTCACGCGCAACGTAAAACACAACTTGCAGATTCTGATACCTTTCGGTATGGACTTACAGTAACAAATTATCAAAAATGCAAATTCAACTTATAATGTTGAAAAATATCGCGATGAAAAAACCCCGCGAAATCGGAGTAAACGATTCACTAAATTCACCCCATCTGGGGTGAAAAGTGGTTTCAACAGCTGTGCTGCGCTGCGCTCATAGCGCATGCGCAGTGAATAGGTTAGCACATGCAGCTTGAAGCGGGATGCATGAATTATAAGGTCGTGAGTAGGAGTAGTCTAATCTTGGTTGTGTACACACACCGCAAATAGTAAATAATCTACTCGTTACTTAAAAGAACCTTGTCAAGGATCTAGATCTACTACATTGTTACATGTATATTCTTCCACAACTGCGACAGTAAGGTTTATGACAGTACGTATTTAGATATCAATCTGGGCCTCCTTTCACAAAGCACTAGGGTGATCGTAAGTCACTAAAGTAACCTTAGTGCAGTGTTAAAGAATGGGAGTTAAGGTTAACCTTAGTAAAGGTTGCTTCGTGAAAGGAGCCTCTGGGAGCATCGTTTGCTCTCTGTTGGCTTCGATGACAGCACGTGGAGCCGTACAACCTATGTAAACCAAGGATCGCTACGCAAATCGAAATAGTGTTACATGTTTTAGGATATTTTCACAGTGAAACTAAACCATTCTGTCAAAGATGTTTAATAAGATGTGTAGACTCGTCAAAAATAAAAAAAAGTTAAGAAATATGTAGATTATATTGAATGGAAGGTGCAAGATGTGACGAATTGTCACATCTTTCTGGCCTGTAGCAGAGATGCTATGCTGGCTTGCCGCATGGAACTCTGGGTAGGAGAATGTGTATCGGCAAATGAACCAGCCAATGAAAGGCTTCGTTACACTTGAATGCACGCCCACCCGCTCTGACTGGATTCGGTAACCCGGGTGCTTCGTTTCGAGGGAAGTAAACCCAAGTGCAAAATATTGCACTTTTGATTTGCGATTGTACGCTTAAAATTGTGTTTATAATGATTTCTCATAATCAGCAAAGTATATTATATGTCATGAAGAAATGCTAATTGTGTTTTAATTATGTTTTTTTTCTTTGGTTGCATGTGACCTTTAAATAGTCACGGCCATAACATATATGATTGATTCCATGTCCCGCTCTCGTGAATGATTGTTGATCCGGGTTTTGACTGATCTTCAGTAAACCATGCTTGAATTGGCTATCGACTTGGCTATCGACTGATGGGTGTTGGGTGGTCATGCACGATGACTTGGTTGACTTGGTATCCCAAATGATATCAGTCACTGGATTATCTGGTCCAGACTCGATAATTTACAGACCATCGTCATCTCGGTGGAATATTGCTGTGTGTGGCGTTAAATAAAAGGAAGAATGGTTGTCACTAATTTCCAGGCTGAATCTAAGACAACGGTTCGTCTGGGGAACACTCAATATGACAGAGAATCGAATATTTCCAGACCGCAGATTGCTTGGAAGAATGCGGCGTTACACAGATTAGGAACATATTGGATATGACATTTAAATTCATCTTATTTTTCATTTGCAGTGCGAGGAGAACTTCACTTGTCCTGAAGATTATTACACGGAAAAAAGTTCTGGCTGTCAGCCGTGTACACAGTGCAGCGATGGGTCCATGCCGGTCAAATCCTGTACAAACCAGTCAGATACGGTTTGCAGGTCATGTGACCTTGGAACTTATTCCATCGGGGGCTTGAAGTGTCAGAACTGTTCGCAATGTCCCCAGGAACCTTTGTGTCACGCCACTGTACTTTGACCTCTGACACACAGTGCGAACCGTGTCCGAAAGACATGTATTCATCTGATTGGTCAGCTGGATTCTGCATACCGTGCAGTAGATGTGGGAAGGCGGTGACGGTAGAGAGAAACTGTAGCAACACCCATGACTACAAGTGTGGAGATTGTATCGAAGGTAGAGCTATGACTGATAGGTTTACGTACTAGATAAGTGTAAGACCATTGATTTAGGAAGAAACAGTGACAGTAACAGCAGCATCACAATTGGCAATGCAAGTCTCTTGATATAACATTGAACGCAACAAAGTTGAGTTGCTTTGGCCTATAACATTCTCATTGTCGTAGGGGCGGTAGGGGTAGCCGAGTAGTCAAAGCATCACGCCTAAGACCCGGGTTCGATTCCCTACATGGGTACAATGTCTGAAGGCAATTTCTGGTGTGGAATATTGCTAAAAGCGGCGTAAAACCCACTCACTCATGATCGTGAACCCAAATTCCAAATTCAACATAATTCAGACTCAGTATTTTTTCAGTTGCTTATGGACTGAACCAGATATGGTTTTTTTCGTTAAACCTAAGGGCCTAAGTACACTTTTTTTCAAAACAAAACAAAGTTTAATTTCTTGTGACGTACGATTTTCTTAGTGATCAACACCTGCAGCATAAGTTTAATTTGTAAGCATTTCCTGTGACGTTTAATGGAATCACATAAAATGCAATTTGTTTTCTCTGATCCAACAACATGTTTTGCCAACGAATAATTTTTATTTGTAAAAAGACAAAACGACTGTACCCATTTCTTTCTTCAAATGGACTGGTGCTAAACTGCATCCTGCTTATTGTAAAGCCCTTGTATCTGTAGTCTTTCCTCTTGCAGGGTACTATCGCCACCCCAACCTACCCAGCACGTGCATCAAATGCTCCTACTGTCACCCCGGCAACCCGAATGTAACTGTGGTGGTGGACGAGTGTCTTACCAAGAGCAAGGACCCGGAAATGAGGTGTATGCCTGTTTTTGGATGGCAGCGACGGAAACATACTGGTTAGCACTGGTTACTCTTTGTAGGCGCTAGCAACTCAAACAGGTTTTTCTGTTGTCTGTCGTATCATTTGCGCCTAACTCGTTTTGTAGTTAGCGCCACAATGTCCAAGTCCAATTGAAGTATCGTGATAAACGTCCGTATTAAAATAATGATGGTTATATCCGAACTTTAGAAGCTAAGTGTATGTTACAGGCTGTTATTGCAGTCGGAAGTGGGTGGAGACGGAGGGGATTGAGGGGAGATTTGAGTAGCGTTGATTTGTAAACAAAAGAACATTACGATCTCCTCCACCGTAACAAGTATGTATCTATTTTATATTTATCGATGTCATTCGTTCATATTGTTACACTCTATTTTAAGGGTCGCTTTCCAAGAACCGTGCATCTTCATCTACATCATCAACAACAATGTCCACGGGCCATTTGATTTCATCTGTACCATTCCTCTATGATGAGTCCTACAGCGTTCCTATACCCCCTAGAGTGGCAACTGCAATAATTATTGTCTGTGTGATAATAATCATTATCATACTTGCGATATTACGTGTTCTTCACAAACGGAAACAGTTACCCAAAAAATCTGAAACAATAAACTTCCTCCGTCAGATGTGTCGTTGTAAAGGTTCCGATTTGAAAATGAAAAGTGGCAAGGAAATTCAATCGCACGATCTGAAATCTAAACAGATCGAATTTGTCTTCACGAGGGAATCAGAACCTACTAAAGACCCTGTTCCCAGAAGACAGACCTACGAAGATGAAGTTCCAATAGTGTCTTGCAGCCAGTGCCTCATTCATTACGGCATCGGTGGTGGGTCGGATTCAAATCAGATCCTTGTGATTGGTCAGAATGACACACGTGATAAACCACAGTTACAAGAAACATGCATAGTTGAGTTAGACGTAGAACGATTTTCTCCTAGCCCAGTGCATATTCTGCCAAATGAATCGGAATCTAACTGTGTTTCCAGCAGTGGAAATGACCCTCCGGAGTTCAAGTCTTCACCAGATCATGAATGTGGTAATGAGGACTCGGGTAATTCCGTAGGAAGAACACCATTTGCTAACAATAGCAGGTTTGAATGTGAAGACGCTTGGGTGACTCATCCCAGTCCTCCAGTTTCCATTCCGGAGATGAAAGAGCAGAACCAGGGAGGAAGTATCCAGACCCCAGAACCACTTCCATCTTACAACAGGATGATGCTCCTAAAACCTTCAGATGTTGGAAGTTACGATTCAGATGACAGTGGACTTCCTTGTGCCCAGCAAGATACTGCAGAGTCGGCAATATCTGGCTTGAATGCCGCAGTACCGTCTCGGCTCGTCCAGCGCCTGGATAGTGGTATAGCAGAGATAGGACCAGATACAGATCGTCCCGGGAACTCATCACGTCACCACAGCACGGCTCCCCAGACAGGTGCGTGTCTAGTTCCAGATGTCCCCAGAATCCAAGATCTCCACCAACCCGGGAGTAGTTCCAGGGACGCAAGTACCGATAGCGAGGGTTCGTCCCAGCGGTCAGCCATGTCCAGTGACTATGACTCAGATGTAGTGGACAAAACTACCTTGCTGGACAGAGGTCAGGCCAGACGTGCTTCTGCAGGACGTCGATCAGGGCGGCTGAAGAAAAAACAGAGACGACACTCTAATCCTGGAATCCTGGGATTCCACATCAGCAGTGGAAAACTGGAGTCGTACTCCAAACTGGACACGTTTACACCTAAGGTTTAACTTACAAATGCTTCAATTTAATTGTCCTTTCTAACAACGTATGCATGTATAAATCTGTGTTACGTAGAAGTTTAATTCCATATTTCAATGTACTTCAGTTTAAGTTACACATGTTTCAAATTAATTGTCATTTCTAACAAGGTTGGATGTATAAATCTGTGTTACTTAGAACTTTAATTCCATATATCAATGGACGTTCGTGATACACATACCAAACACATTTGAACCTAACACACTCACTCATGCGTGTTAATGAACTAAAACTCTCAATGATGGTACATACATATGTTGTTAGCTCTTAAGTAGTCTAATCACTGTTATATTTTTATAGGCTGTAACACATTACATCCACTTAGTCGCTGTTGATGCTATGTACTATGCAACACTTGAATAAATACTTTTGAGCACTGTTTATCTTCTGTTTATCCCGGACAGTATCAGGTGTGTGATGGTCGATGTTCGATGTTCGATGCTATCAGAGACCATATAATAATCTATTATATGGTCTCTGATGCTATACATGCTCTGTAAAAGTATAATGAGCGCGGGCGTCCCAGTAGCCTGAGATCGCAAGATATCACATAAACGAAGCACAGTGGCCTCGTGGCTAATGGTTCGGCAACTAGTTGTGTCAATCAGGTCTAGGTGCCTGACTCTGAGAGTGTGGGTTCGAATCCCGGATAGGACTCCTAACAAAAGAACTAGAGTCGGTACTTTACTGAGAAAGTGTAATCCCAAATGTAACATGAGTTCGCTGAGTCCAACTGTGCCCCTTATCAGACAGGATTCTTTGTTAATCCTAGATCTGTGGGCCGTTCTCTTCAGTCTCGAGGAGTACACACAATGGCTGAACCGTGATTTGATCTCAAGCTCACACTCCCTATGTTTATACAGAGAAAACCTTGACGGGATCCCTGTGGTGTATGCGGTTTTTAGAGCCTTGTTTGGTGTACTTATCCGGGATTAACCAAATACAATGTATACGTCAACAAGGGTCATTGAATCTGCAGCAACTACGCCAAGCTTTTCTGGAACAATGGATTGTCAGTGTTATCCCACGGTATCACCCCCAGGCTCGAGGGCTTTACAGAGTTTTAATTTTACGCCGCTTTTAGCAATATTCCAGAAAGAAAACGTATCTGGTTTTCCATCAGCAACTGAAAAAATAATTGAGTCTGAAAACAAAAGTCATTTGGAATTTGGGTCCACGGTCATGAGTGAGTGAGTTGGGTTTTACGCCGCCTTTAGCAATATTCCAGCCATATCACGGTGGGGGACACCAGAAATGGGCTTCACACATAGTACCCATATAGGGGAATCGAACCCGGGTCTTCAACGTGACGAGCGGACGCTTTAACCATAAGGCTACCCCATTGCTCTGTAAGTGAAGAAATGAGAGTGAATGTGCACTTATTATAAAAGCCTGTAAAAATAATTTGGGATATCTAAATAAATATGTGGTGAGTCCACCACAATGACACCTTTTGATTAGCCAGCGTACGTACTCCGAAGTTACCCGGATGTCAATACATCAGAACCACCGTCGAAGAGTTGAGCTTGCAGCGAGACTTGGAAGTGAGAGGCCTTAAAACCCCACCTTGACAAGATCGTCTAATATTTCACCAATTGCGCAATGGAGCAGATTCCAATCTGACCCTGTTTTCAACAGAACTCCGTACAATAACAGTGAGTGAGTATAGATTTACGCCGCTTTTAGTAATATTCCAGCAATATCACGACAGGGGACACCAGAAATGGGCTTCGCAGATAGTACTCATATGGGGAGTAGAACCCGGATCTTCGGCGTGACGAACGGACGCTAAACCACTGGGCTACCCTTCCTTCTCCCGAGCTGTTCGGTCAGTGTCAGAAAGCCTTGTTTCGTGGGTAAATAGTAGGTTTAATTCTTAGTTTTGTAGGTTTGATTTGTGTCAGTTATATTAATGTTTGAACAACTATACAAATACGAATATCTTTGAGGAAAACATAATCAAATAAAAACCCACTTAAGAACACACACAGATCTGCAACACTGTACCCATCGCATGGCCATTTAATCAAGTATTTGGTCCCTCTTTGGGTGGGTAAACAATCGAAAAAAGACAGCACTTGGTTTAGCATCGGTCATGCATCGTTAGATAAATAAAATATACAGTCGCGGGTTTTTCGTGGTGAAAATGGGGACACCATCAACATCACCCGAGCCGTTCGAACCGATACTGAAAGTTCATGGGTACAAACTAGGGTGATGCGTTGAGTTAAATAAAACAGTTGGGAACACCTGGGGAATTCCCTGCTATACGTAATAGTTATACTCCATACATAGACAAACCGAGTCCTCTGCATAATCATTATGTAACTGAGAGTAGAGTGGGGAGTTTGTCGTTAGTGTTTGACTGTTAACGAAGATTTCGGTGTGGACATCGATATCTATTATACAACACCGTGGCAGGCATTAGAAAGCATTCATTCAGGTACTGTATGGTTCCATGAGAAACGTATTGCCATAATTGCAGGAACGGCTCGTTTCTCTTTCATACACACGGTTGTAACGCGTTCACACAAGCCTATATTTTCAGAAACTGTTCACCTTTCATGTTACCGTACTTCCCCTAAGATATTGTACGGCATCTTGTATTGGAAAACGATCGTTTCTTCGGGGATGCTTGTCGAGTAAACGTAAAACACATATTTAAAGGACTTTTGAAGATTGTTATGTGTTTAACGGTATCTGAACAAATCTGTAGTTAATGAAAAGTAAGACCTTTTCCACATATGACATTTTAATGTAAACAGGTAGGTGTATCCTATACAGTATTGAGGTTGGCAAAGGAGACATTGCTTATTTCTGTGGTGAGATGTCTTGTAAACACCAATATCTGTGATGTCCCGTGGGAAAGGTGGTATTGCTAAACATGCAGTGACTAATATAATAATTCATAAAATATGCCACTGGTTGTTGAATTGTTTACATAACAAATTTACAAAATTTAACATGGTCTTTAAGAAATCCTATATTTGTAGTGCAAATCACAGGGGCATGTAACGCTAAAAACTGCCATCAAGGTATATATACTGTCACTGACGGGGACTTAGTCCTTTTATATAGCACTAAGACCCCTCAGTGTGCCAGTACATATCTTGATGGCAGGTTTTAGCATTACATGCCCTTGTGGATTTGTTTACCATATATTTTTAGGAAATGGACTAATTAATAAAAATAAACTAGATCTAAATATATTAAATAGGATACAATACATCTGAATGACAGGATAAGATGAAACCTTGGTAGTCTGGAAACCCTGCATTGTGGACGGATCCTGAATGATCCATGCCTTGTAATCCCTCAGACCACCATAATATTTTCTGTTGAGTCCTTTCTGGAAAACTTCTAAATAGGGGGGGCAGTGGGGTAGCCTAGTGGTTAAAGCGTTCGCTCGTCACGCCGAAGGCCTGGGTTCGATTCCCCACATGGGTACAATTTGTGAAGCCCATTTCTGGTGTCCCCCGCAGTGATATTGCTGGAATATTGCTAAAAACGGTGTAAAACCATACTCAGTCAGTCAGTCTAAATAAGGTTAAATCTAGATGTCTCTCAGATTTAGTTTGTCTATCTCGAAATCTTGAACCATATCTTTTCTCTTTCTGTAGTCTGTAATACAGACCTTGAAACAAATATATCCGAGAAAGCCCATGCAAGTCTAGAATATGTGGCAAGACGATGTCTAGCTTGCCACTGTTTTTTCTGTTAAATATGTTCATTTCAGTGACTAGATGTCAGTCAACACTTTCTGCAAAACTTCCAAATAAGCAAGTCTAGATTTCCCATAGTTTCAGTCTTAACATCCCATTTCACTGGAGCTCCTTTTCAGTTTAAATGGAGTAATTTGATTCAATCAAAGTTCTATATTTTCACGGGTTAAGCATTGGTCAAGAGGACAGTCTGACCTTAGAGTTATGAAGACAAGATCAGAGGCAGATACCCTAGTCCACAACAACTGTCAGTAAATATTCCCCATAAATATTGTAATGTCTGGGTCAAGGTGACCCAAGGTATTTCACAAACTGCAACACTTATAAAGAGAAAGAGGCATGATTTTTCAATTTTGAATTGAATGTTAAAATATCAAAGAAATTTTAAGAATCACCACATTAACCTTAACTATTGACCAAATTAAAAAAAATTCCCAATTTGCCTACAAGGTCACTTTGTTATTCTAGATACATCACTTCTGACACATAAATGGTGTGTTTACCATCATTTGTATTGTTGTTTTGTAGTCATTAGCTGTGTGATTGGCTGCTAACTGGAAAGGGGAAGTTATTGAATTCCTGTTCTATTACGCATATGACAAGATCTATATTTAGCATCATGGGATACTCCGATGGCTGAACAATTGTTGTTTACTGTCAAGATTACATACGCAATAAGCTGGCCTAGTTAAATGTGGCTCTTCAATTTAGCAATATGTACTTTCCTGTTATACATAGTTGTTTGTTTTTAGGAAAGTATTATGATTAGAAACATGCACACTTCTCAGTTACAGGTAGGTAGATCTCATGTATTTACATTGATGAAGAGATGTGTTTGGACAGGTGGTTAATTTGTTGAATGCAGGAAATGGGTCAGGAAATGTCGTAGATATATTTTAGTTAACAATGTTATGAACATTTTGTCTATTACCTTTATGTGGATATGGTATGTGGTTGAGGTGTTTTGAGTGTATGTGGCTGGTTATGAGTTGCTCAAGGCTTTTATAAAAATGTGTGAATGTTGAAGAGGAACAATTATTTTATTGATAGATAACTTCTATATTGCAATAGGTGCGGTATGGTAGTTGTCTATCCATAAAATAATTGTTCCTCTTTATCATACCAGCTTCTCAATGCCACTCAAAGAAGCTAACTGCCTGTCAAAGAAATGTATGAATGTGTTCTGAAATTGTACGTGATGTTCTTCTGCAAATGACAAACTGTTCTATATTCATCTGTGTGTTTAGCCATCATATAAAATTGTTGATGTTGTTTGTAAGATATGAGATGCCCCTTGACATGATAGTCTGTATGTGAATGTTGTTTTCTGACAAAACATCACAGGGATCTGTAGACGTGTAGGGTCACGATGACATACAGTCCCTTAGATGGCTCACTGGGACCACTTTATACACCATCATCAGTGAGTCCACTCTCCCAACATGCATGGTTTATTAGGGATTCACACTGCCCCAGAATTTTGCATGGTGTTAGATGTGCTGCCAGCAATGCCTGGAAGACTCACTGTAACACTATTATGCCTTAAGTCACCTTGTTAACAAGCATGGGATATTCTGCTGCAGAAATTCAGGTTGTTATATGGTACAATCTCTGATTGAGTGAGGAGTGGGTATATTTTTTACACTTCTTTTAGCAATATTCCAGCAATATCACAATAGTGGACACCAGAAATGGGCTTCACACATTGTACCCATGTGGGGAATTGAACCCAGGCCATCGGCATGATGAGCGAATGCTTTAACCACTAGGCTACCCCACAGCCCCCAATCTCTCACTGCTACACTGGAACCTCCCATTATATGTCTTACCTTGTTGTCGGCAGACATTTAATGTGGGCACTAGGGACTCATTCTGCCCAGATCCTCTCGTGGTGTTATAGTGCCACACATCTGTTCTTCTTTTTGGTAGTCACTGACAACCGGCCTGTTTACTTTCAGGCTTCATGACGGTCCACGGGTTATCCTGGGACGATGAAGTGGACGTGGTTCCAGATGGCAGAGTTTTCTGGCATTATTATCCTACTGCTGTTAAGTTTCGGAAAAGTAGGTATCTGTCTTACAAAAGACAAAATGCTGGTCACAGAAATGTCATAAAATTAGTAAAGTCAAGATTTGTTAGTAATGTTTTCATAAACTCTTACAGTGATGCGTTTGTTAATTCCATCCTAGCACTTTTTTCAGTTTTCAATGATTCAATACTAATTAATTTCTTTTGAAAAACAGTGATTAAAACTAATGGAGACTAGGCGTCTCTCTGATTGTCACATCACATCAGCGAAGGACAATCTTCATGTTATATTTAGATCATATGCTTCATCAGGGTTCCAGATATTGAGAGTTTTTAACCTTATTGAGGCAAGATGATTGGTGTACTGGGTACCTTATTGAGGCAAGATGATTGGTGAACTGGTACCTTATTGAGGCAAGATGATTGGTGTACTGGGTACCTTATTGAGGCAAGATGATTGGTGTACTGGGTACCTTATTGAGGCAAGATGATTGGTGAACTGGTACCTTATTGAGGCAAGATGATAGCTGTACTGGGTACCTTATTGAGGCAAGATGATTGGTGTCCTGGGTACCTTATTGATGCAAGATGATTGGTGTACTGGTACCTTATTGAGGCAAGATGATTGGTTTACTGGTACCCTTTGAGGCAAGATGATTGTTATACCAGGTACCTTATTGAGGCAAGATGATTGTTATACCAGGTACCTTATTGAGGCAAGATGATTGTTATACCAGGTACCTTATTGAGGCAAGATGATTGTTATACCAGGTACCTTATTGAGGCAAGATGATTGTTATACCAGGTACCTTATTGAGGCAAGATGATTGTTATACCAGGTACCTTATTGAAGGATTGTTAAGATGATGATTGTTATACCAGGTACCTTTGAGGCAGGCTGCAGTCTGACCTGTTTAGAGATTACTTTTCTTGATTTGAACAGATTATTTTACATCATGAGTTCTGGTATTTTGCAGATCGTTGAAGGACGCTGCCCAAAATAGTAAGTAATTGTAAGGAAAGCAACAGCTTGCAGTGTCTTGCAACAGGAATATGGTGTTGATGAGTTTTGTTTAACAGTGCTCTGAGCAGTTACTTCAGCAATTTCACAGTGTCAACTTGATGTGGAAGGAAACCTACAAGTGATGCAGATCTGAAATGGATAGAACTTTCTTGAAAACCATGAAGACACACGCATATGCTGCTGACAATCCTGAAAACACATTCAGTGTGAATCAGTGTAACTCTGGTGCTAGGTTTCTGACAAAGCTCTGTACAGGGTATAGTGGCTCCTCAGGCAACAGGGCCATACTGTAGCTTGCAGGTATTCTGAAAGATGTATCCTCAAAGGAAATGCCCCTCCATTTGATCAATCTTATTGTTGTAACTGAACAAAATGTAAACTTCATATTGAATTCTTCTGATTAAGAAAGTTTATTAACAAGGCAGCCATAATACATATTTTGTACCGCTTATATTATAATCTGACACCATCACATGAAGACCCACCAGATGAAACCGAGAACAACCTCATACTTACATCCAGCAACACAGGCTTACCACACAGACCCCCTGACACCACCGTCACACCCAGCAACACAGGCTTACCACACAGACCCCCTGACAACACCGTCACACCCAGCAACACAGGCTTACCACACAGACCCCCTGACAACACCGTCACACCCAGCAACAGAGGCTTACCACACAGACCCCTGACAACACCGTCACACCCAGCAACACAGGCTTACCACACAGACCCCCTGACAACAACGTCACATCCAGCAACACAGGCTTACCACACAGACCCCTGACAACACCGTCACACCCAGCAACACAGGCTTACCACACAGACCCCTGACAACACCGTCACACCCAGCAACACAGGCTTACCACACAGACCCCTGACAACACCGTCACACCCAGCAACACAGGCAACACACAGACTTACAACACCCTCACCCAACAACACAGGCTTACCACACAGACCCCTGACAACACCGTCACACCCAGCAACACAGGCTTACCACACAGACCCCTGACAACACCGTCACACCCAGCAACACAGGCTTACCACACAGACCCTGACAACACCGTCACACCCAGCAACACAGGCTTACCACACAGACCCCCTGACAACACCGTCCAGACCCAGCAACACAGGCTTACCACACAGACCCCTGACACCACCGCTCACACCCAGCAACACAGGCTTACCACACAGACCCCTGACAACACCGTCACACCCAGCAACACAGGCTTACCACACAGACCCCCTGACAACAACCGTCACATCCAGCAACACAGGCTTACCACACAGACCCCCTGACAACACCGTCACACCCAGCAACACAGGCTTACCACACAGACCCCCTGACAACAACGTCACATCCAGCAACACAGGCTTACCACACAGACCCCTGACAACACCGTCACACCCAGCAACACAGGCTTACCACACAGACCCCCTGACAACACCGTCACACCCAGCAACACAGGCTTACCACACAGACCCCTGACAACACCGTCACACCCAGCAACACAGGCTTACCACACAGACTCCCTGACAACACCCTCACACCCAACAACACAGGCTTACCACACAGACCCCTGACAACACCGCCACACCCAGCAACACAGGCTTACCACACAGACCCCTGACAACACCGTCACACCCAGCAACACAGGCTTACCACACAGACCCCTGACAACACCGTCACACCCAGCAACACAGGCTTACCACACAGACCCCCTGACAACACCGTCAGACCCAGCAACACAGGCTTACCACACAGACCCCTGACACCACCGTCACACCCAGCAACACAGGCTTACCACACAGACCCCCTGACAACAGCGTCACACCCAGCAACACAGGCTTACCACACAGACCCCCTGACAACACCGTCACACCCAGCAACACAGGCTTACCACACAGACCTCCTGACAACACCGTCACACCCAGCAACACAGGCTTACCACACAGACCCCCTTACACCACCGTCACACCCAGCAACACAGGCTTACCACACAGACCTCCTGACAACACTGTCACACCCAGCAACACAGGCTTACCACACAGAGACCCTGACAACACCGTCACACCCAGCAACACAGGCTTACCACACAGAGACCCTGACAACACTGTCACACCCAGCAACACAGGCTTACCACACAGACCCCCTGACAACACCGTCACACCCAGACAAGGCACATGACAACATCATAATATGGTCCAGACTCGATTATTTACAGACCGACGCCATATAGCTGGAATATTGCTGAGTGTGGCGTAAAACTAAACTCACTCACTCATGCAGGCTGTGTAAATGCTGGGTTAGACAATCAAATACCACAGAATAACTATTTCAGTCATATCAAATTATTTTTGGAAATCTTTCGCAGATCCACCTCATAAGTAGGGCTGCAATGATTCACCCGGACCTTGATTCGATTTTCGATATTGGACCCTCATTTTCGATTTGATTCTTCAAGCAAGTAAAAACATCAGATTTCATTTAACTCTCAGAGTCTCATTCGATAATAAGCCCGGCGTCAACCAATCATGTTTCGCCTTATATCAGTGCTTGAAACGGCATGAGTTGGATTCAAAGTTCTGTTTGTGTGGAAATAATTTATATAGGTATTCAAATATCAAATTTGTAGTGATAATGATCGAAAATCGAAACTAAAGTGTCAGATTCGATTTGCGATGAATCGAACCGAATCGTTACTGCCCTACTCATAACACCATCACATCCGTGGCCAGGAAGGGCACACAACACACATGCAGACCCCAACTACCAGCTTGGTTCAAGTATTGTGCAGTAAATAACTACCTGCTGACGACTGAATGTTTTGCCAGCATGTATGAAGTCCCCAATCGACCTGAGCTGTGTGACCTGTGTCGGATCTGTCCTGACAATGTGGAGGGGACACCTTACATTCAGCCAGGTTGTCACGAGCAGCTGCCCAATGGACGGAAAGTGCAGTGCAGCAATATCAACTTCAGCAAGCCAGGTACGGCATGCAGGCAGTGACCCGTGAAGGTCCGGGTTAGAATAAACCTTCAGTAACCCATGCTTGTCTTAATAGTGTGGTAGGATGGGTACAGTTTTCAAGTCCCGTGGAAGTTTTGTGATGAAAGCAAGACATTGTGTTATTTGTATTCATCAGACATTGTAGTTAAATAAAAAGTTTGGTTACAAGTTGAAATATGGTGCAAATAGTACTTTTGAGCACTGTACAAAATGGTTGTGGAAAAGGTTGCTAAAAGTTCAGAAGGTCATAATGGGAGAGTTGAATATTTAAAGTTTAAGGTTATCAACTGTATCCAAGTGTGTTCTCCATTTCATGAAATATTTTATCAAAAAATATATATATATTTTAATTAAAACAAAATGAAAATAATGAACACTCCCTATCTCAAAATGGCAGCTATCAGACGAATTTAAGCAGATGTAGGCTTTGTGCATTTTGTAAGTATATGATTGCTTCAGTTTATCAAATCAATGTAAATCCAGCTATTAATAAAAGTGAAAGAACAGTTATGTATGTATGAAACTAAAAAGAGATGTCTATTTCTGTTTGATGAGACTGTCAGTAAGGGAGCAGTCCTTATTTCAAAATATAGTTGGTCAATATCAAATTATGCGTTATCCAATTCTTATTAATAAGTTTAAATTTGTTCTTCTAAAAGCAGAGTTCTTTGAAAATAGATAAGAATATAATGAAATGATGGGGAGAAAACATTATTTCTGCTTCACACTCTCTCAATTAAATCCCTTGAAATAATTTTGAAGTCATCGTATCGGATCATTCTAAAATGGTTATAATCTTTGAAAAAAAAAATATACAAATAAATGTATGGGAGAAATCCTTTTTTTATTAGCAGCATAGGAGAAGGCACGGCCTCCATATTTAGCTTGTTTGACTTTGGGGATAACAAGAAGGTGCTGACTTCCTGATCTCAGAGATCTAGATGGTGCATAAGCCTGAAGAAGATCCGAGAGGTAGACTGGAGCCGTGTTAGTCATGCACTGGTATGCGAGACAGAATAGTTTGAAGGAGATTCTGTGTTTCACAGACAGCCAATGAAGGTCCTTTAGAGTTGGTGTGATGTGCTGTTTTCTGGAGATCTGGGAGGTAATGCGAGCAGCTAAATTCTGTATGTATTGGAGTTGGCCAGTGACACAAGATGGAGATCCGGCCAAAAGGCCGTTACAGTAGTCCATACGAGGTGTGACTAGGCTCAGGCAGAGAGTTTTGGAGGCACCTTTGGTAAGAACCGTCTGACCTTACTGATATTGCGAAGATGGAGGTAGCAAGTTTTAGTAACATACTTGACGTGTTCTGTCATACTGAGATCTTGATCGATGACAACACCCAGATCCTGGACAGTGGAAGAAAGTGGAATGGTTGCTCCACAGACAGACGCACTAGTATTGTCACATTGCTTGAGTTTTCCAGCCTGTCCCAGAAGAATGGCCACTGTTTTCTCTTTATTTAATTTCAAGGCATTTGATGACATCCATGCATATCTTCTGGCAACAGTCTGATGTCTGACGGAGAGACGCTCTAGATGACTCTGTGTTTGGTTGAAATAACTTCCACAGCTGCGTGTCATCTGCGTTGTTCTAGGTTGTGGTCTGCTACAATAGAGCCAAGTGGAACAGTAAAGAGGGTGAAGAAGATCGGACCAAGCACGGATACTCGAGGGACTCCGGACTCTAGCCTAGATGCGGTTGACATAGACTCACCAATAACAACGGTTTGAGTCCTGTCCTGTAGATAAGGTGCCAGCCATGATAAAGCTGAATCCTTTATTCAAAGTTCTGTATCAAATCTTTTGAGGAGTCTCTGGTGATCTATCATGTCAAAGGCACTGCTTAGGTCAAGTAATGTGAGCAGGGCCACTTGTACTGTGTCAATACCACATCATAGGTCATTCAGGATTCAATGAGCTTGGATATAAATGCTAAGTTTGAAACAGGCCTGTAGTTTTTTTGGATCCGCACAATCAAGGCTTGATTTCTTCAGATGTGGCCTAGCTAGAGCTGACTTGAGTACACATATGACATAACCAGATGAAGTAGAAGAGTTAATAATCAGCACACTAATGTTGGTAAAAGTACGTCGAGACAGTCATATAGAAGGTCAGTTGGAATCGGATCAAGTGAACAAGTTGTTCTTTTTGCAGATTTCAGTAGTTTAGTAACTTTAGTGTCAGTGAAACTATCAATATGAGTAAGAGGCATGCCATCAAACATTTTTGGAGGAAATCTTGGATTTTGAGCTAAATATAGCTTTCGCATTAATATTCGGATTGGAACCAAACATTTTTTAAAACTCCTTTAACATATAAACACAACAGAATATATGATTTGCTTTCATCAAAAAAACTTTCACGGAATCCCATAAGCTCCTTGACTATAAGAGGCCACTGACGGGATCGGGTGGTCAGGCTCACTGGCTTGGTTGACACATGTTATCGGTTCCCATTTGCGCAGATCGATGCTCATGCTGTTGATCACTAGATTCTCTGGTCTAGACTTGATTGTTTACAGCCTGCCGCCATATAGCTGTAATATTGCTGAGTGTGGCGTAAAGCTAAACTCACTCACTCATGCAGGCAGTGTAAATGCTGGGTTAGACAATCAAATACCACAGAATAACTATTTCAGTCATATCAAATTATTTTTGGAACTCTTCGCAATATCAACAATTTCCTCTCTTGATGGTGAGCTAGTGAGCAATCCCAAAGCATTTATTTTCTTCCAAATTGATGACACCACAGTTCAGAATAAGTGGTCACCGTATATTACCGTAGATAAGCGGACCTTTAGATAAGTCGACCCCCTAACTTGACCCTTGATATCAGGTCTTATAATTTTGGCTTATCTACGATAATATACGGTACTTATTTATTTCGATTGTATGAAGAATTAATAAAAACAAATCCTTTCTGAAGGCTTGCATGTTGTCCTGATTAAATAGTTATGTCCTGTAGCTCAGGTTTTTTGCATTAAATTCCATAATTTAAATGAATTTAAAATACATGTACAAAACCAAATTAATCCTCAACTGGTGACAGGAGGTGGAACTTGTTTAAAATGTTATATCATTGTCTCATGTTATATCATTGTAATTTGAGACTGGATTGGATGGTGGTTGCATAGATCAATACTCATGACGTCAATCACTAGATTGTCTTGTCCAGACTTGATTATTTACAGACCACTGTCATATAGCTATAATATAGCAAATGCTGGAGTTCAGCGTAACAAATAATTGATATTTCACTCATAGTAATCATTGGTATATATTTTTCTCAGCATGTGCAGAGCGGAAGCCAGAGATCGGCAGTCTCAGGTGCAGTGATGGCAATACTGTCTACAGCACCTGCTCATTACGATGTCCTCGGGGATACAAGCCAACTGTGTCACATAATGTTACCTGCCTGGCAGAACCACACATACAGTGGAGTCACCTGTCGCCCATCTGTCAGAGTGAGTAAAAACCTTCTGTACAGACAATATTACCTGCCTGGCAAACCACACATACAGTGGAGTCACCTGTTGCCGTTCTGTCAGAGTGAGTAGAAACGTTCTGTACAGACAATATTACCTGCCTGGCAAACCACACATACAGTGGAGTCACCTGTTGCCGTTCTGTCAGAGTGAGTATAAACCTTCTGTACAGACAATATTACCTGTCTCAGGTAGATCCACACATACAGTGGAGTCACCTGTTACCCTTCTGTCAGTGTGAGTATAAACCTTCTGTACAGACAATATTACCTGGCTGGCAGAACCACACATACAGTGGAGTCACCTGTTGCCGTTCTGTCAGAGTGAGTATAAACCTTCTGTACAGACAATATTACCTGTCTCAGGTAGAACCACACATACAGTGGAGTCACCTGTTGCCGTTCTGTCAGTGTGAGTATAAACCTTCTGTACAGACAATATTACCTGTCTCAGGTAGAACCACACATACAGTGGAGTCACCTGTTGCCGTTCTGTCAGTGTGAGTATAAACCTTCTGTACAGACAATATTACCTGTCTCAGGTACATCCACACATTGTTGCCGTTCTGTCAGTGTGAGTATAAACCTTCTGTACAGACAATATTACCTGTCTCAGGTAGATCCACACATACAGTAGAGTATAAAAGAAAATCAATTATAAGAGCTTTTCTATGACAATCATTTCAAATTTCAGGTAAAAGACAATCAAAACAGAAGAAAAAGCACAGACACAGAGTTTTGAGCGCAGTGGCCATGTTCTTTATAGGTGTGTACTGGTTTATGTTCAACAGAGGCTATGAAATAATTGTCCGGAATATGTGCGGAATGTAAATCCAGTGGATGCCTGTAAATATAAATTCGTGAACCTTTTCCTGCTTACATCCAAAGGACCACCGGTAGCAAACAATATGGTAAGCAATGGCGTAATTAATAACTCCACACCTATGTTCTCTTCAGATTTGTCACGATATGGCTGAAATATTGCCGATGTGACGTTAAATATTAACTCACTCACTCTCTTCAGATTTATTACCATGGATACCATGATAGCAATACTGAAAATATTTTTGGGGACATTTAATGTAATTGTTGAAAATCAATGTGAGCATAAAGTCAATGTGAAATATGGAGAGTCCTATGCATGCATTAATATATACAAAGGTAGGTCTACTTACATTTATTTCCTGTCCTGATTTAGTCAAGGGTTCGATTCACATTTGACCAACTCCCTAATGTCTGTTATAGTAGATGTGGTCCTCGTGGACTGCTCATGGCGATTGATTCAGACATTTAACTGTCTTCCTCAGTGGTGTTGTTCCTGCTTGGGCCGTGGTGTATTCTCATCTGTCTCATCAGCTATAACAAGAAACAAGAACAGCACAGTCTACAAACGGAACAAGGTAGAACTTGCCTGTGTTTTGTATCTAGTGATATTTGAAGAATTGTCTTTATTTTTAGGAGTTGGTTGGGTAGCCTAGTAGTTTCAGCATTTGCTCATCACTCCAAAGTACCTGGTTTGATTCTCCAGTGGGTACAGTGTGTGGAGCCTGGGTATTGCTAGAATATTGCTGTATTTAAAGAGTTGTGAATTGTCACATTGTAATTGCATATACAAAATTGATAAAGGATTATATGCAATTTCTACAAGGTAACATTTTGAAAAAATATTGTTTATTGATCATCCAAATGTCAGTAAAATGTGCCAAAATATGTTCTGAAAGCATGTTTCTAAGATCAAACAGATACAAACCTACCAGGAATAGGCATCTGCTATGAAAGTTACTTCACCCCATAATGAGTGTTTATAAGTTTGACAGGGCGGTGGGGTAGCCTAATGGTTAAAGCGTTGGCTCGTCACGCCGAAGACCCGGGTTCGAATCCCCACATGGGCACAATGCGTGAAGCCCATTTCTGGTGTCCCCCGATGGTGATGTTGCTGGAATATTGCTAAAAGCGGCATAAAACCAAACTCAGTCAGTTTATAAGTTTGACATTGGGCAGTAAAACTTTGCATTACATTAAAAATAAGTTTTTAAAAAAAATTATGTTAGTTGTGTATATGGCAAAGTATTTAAGAAAAAGAAAAGGCAACTAAAAATATTTACAACTCTGCTGTGGTGATTTCCTTGGCTCCGATCACAGTGTGGACAAGTACATTATTTTATACAGGTGATTGAGAGCAAACTGGTGACATAGTGATGAACAGGAAAACAGGCAATTAATTTTTCCTTTCATAAGCCTCTAAAAGATTTCCCTTATTTCATATTTCTGTTGTAACATACTGGAATTACCACATAACACATTAGCAGATTTGTGATATGAAAGAACTTGGTGGTCCCTAACTCTATTTACAAGACAAAATGTTTTCTCATCTAATTTTGCTTCCAACTAACCAGTTCGCTTATTTGTAATCCTACGATTGATTCCAGCTGCAAAGAATCCCAGAAGTCGAGTTGTGATGAAGCTGATTAACGCAGAGCACAGCCAAAGATGCTACGTCCTCCGAAACAAGTGGGTCGCCAAAGATGGTACGTTCAACAAAACTGTTTGTTTGTTTGGTGTTCAACGCCACACTCTACAATTTTCCAGCTATATGGTGGCGGTCTGTAAATAATCGAATCTGGACCAGACAATCCAGTGATCATTAGCATGAGCATCGATCTACGCAATTGGGATACGATGATATTTGTCAATCAAGTCAGCAAGTCTGACCACCTGATCCCGCTAGTCGTCTTTTAAGACAAGCATGGGTTACTGAAGACCAAATCTAAACCCGGATCTTCATGGGTTTCAACAAAACTGAGATGAGGATGTATTTATATACAGTAAAATACCTTTATAACGAACTCCAAGGGACCACTGAAATTAGTTCGTTATATCCGTAGTTCGCTATTCACATTTTTATATGATAATATATGGTTTATTCATGACTTTTAAACAGTTCACTATAGCCGTCAGTTTGTTATATCCGTGTTCGTTATCAAAGTATTCTACTGTATTTTCACCTTGAAACACACAATTCTACATTATATTGTACTTTGACTCGGTCAAAGGCTTATGACACTCATGTTTCTCAGTCACTGGATTGTCTGATAACAAATATTTACTTATTCTATTCACACACACAGGCTGTAGTCTCGCTTATTCATGAGGACATTTACTGTGTCAAATCTGATCATTATCATCTGGCAGGAAGCACTCTGCGTTTGACATGGAAGTACCAGATGATATAACTTCCTGTTCACATGGAATGTCACCATCCATCTGTTTCACCTACATCAGCCAGGCTGGAACATCTGAAACACAGACTTTGCACTTCCGGGTCTAGCCCAGAGTCCACTACCATGTGGTCATGTTTTGCACATTGTGTCACTCATTTGTTCATAGCTTAAAATTTGTAATGGTTTGGTTGGTGGTTCTGTTGAATAAAAGGAAATTCCAGTGTTTGAAAGTGTTGACAAATCTGTCTAGACTTCGCAACAAGGTTTGCATGGCTGGACTTTGGGGATGGGTAGCACCGCAACTCGATTCCTATTAATTATTCATCAGACAATATAGGTGAAAATTGAGATATATAGAAGAGTAAATGAATGTTTTTTGGGGGTGATATGAACCACTTTGTGACCTTTGGATTCTTCATGCGGTGAAATTGTTTGTAGTGGGAAACTTAAGTTGTGATTATAGTTATGGTGAAGGCATTCTGGGCAGAAGAGATCCCCGGTATCTCATGTTAGATCTGAGAGCCAGTCACATGGTAACAATATTTGACTTTGCTGGACAGGATCATTGCTGAGGTAAACGTGCAATGTGCTTGGATTTAGGGGCCATTGCACATGCGTTATTTTTCTCAGAAGGGTTATTTCAGAACAGCACTCCATGGACCTATGTTATTACCCGGAATGATAAGCATAGTTTGTTTGGGATCTGAGTGTCCTCCCCGAAGTTCCCACGGAACCACCTGTTGGGATTGGTTGCTGGGCCTGTGTACTTACCCAGAATGCCGATGGAACAAAACAATGGGTTCCTACGGCATCTTGTCCATAATCCCCAAGTGTGAACTTTTTGAGCTGACTTCTTAGATTTATTTTGTTTCAACAACCACCTTCATGAAACAAAACGTCAAATACATTTCAAAACCTTTCCTCAATGCCCTGCAGGTGCTAATGTCACAATCTCAGCCACACCCAAGGAGGAAGCTCTGACAGTAACAGCCTTGACAGTGGAGAAGATAGGACCAAACAGTGCCATCTACATGGCTCCCAGGTCGGCACCAAGTCAGATCATCCTGCACAATGTGTCAGCACAACACCCCGGGCGGTACAACTGGATTGTCAACCTCAGTGATGGTACCTCGGAGTGTGGGGTGTTCTTCCTAGAGGTGAAAGTGTCTGCATTGTCAGGTGAACTAGTTGAAGAATGACAGATTGAGGTTTCAGGCAGGAATTGGTGAAAGAGAATATTGTGGTTGTTACAGATGACTAAAGAAAGGAATTCATGGTTAGACTAACTGACTGACTGAGTTTGGTTTTACGCCGCTTTTAGCAATATTCCAGCAACATCACGGCGGGGGACACCAGAAATGGGCTTCACACATTGTGCCCATGTGGGGATTCGAACCCGGGTCTTCGGCGTGATGAGCCAACGCTTTAACCATTAGGCTACCCCACCGCCTGGGTTAGAAATCTTGGAGATGCTATTGTTGGCAGAATGGGTTCCACAATTCAAATGCTATGGCATGAGTTATATAAGTTCCTGCTAGTGAGGGTTTCACAACTTTGATATGTTTGTTTGTTGTCTAACATCCTACTGAGCAATTAATTCGAGCTACATGGCAGCAGCCTGTAAGTAATTCAGTCTGGATCAGTCAGTCAGCTGACAAATATTAGCAATATCATGATCCATGCTGTTGTTGTCCGCAATATTCTAGCTATACACTGTTGGTCTGCAAATAATCAAGTCTGGAATCTCAAGTGATTGACGTCCAATGAGCATCAATCTACACTGAGCTTAACAATTCTTGTTAATCTTGTGAGCATGGGCTGATAAGTGTCTTGTAGCAGTGAATGACTGTGTCGTCTTCTAAATGAATACAAGTGTATGTATTATGTGTATTCTTTGTTTGACATGTTACATAATTCACCTGAAGATTTCATATTTCCTCTAATAAGCACCCGGCGCTTATGTTTTCAACGGACTTCCAGACCCAGCGATTATTAGAGGCCTGGCTCTTATTGCGCTTACTGGGTGTCTTTGAAACACTGCTTAGAACAAGGTACACTTTACTTCAGTGCTAATGTTAATCTTTTTATTGAAATTATTTAAATCAAGAGAAGGTAAGCTACAAACCCTACTGCTGTTTCAGGCCTGTCTAGACAAGGAACTGGGTTTGGGAGGCTCATGAAGAACCGCAGTGACGTCCAGCGATTGTGTGTCCTGTTAGATCAGGAGGAGGTCCCGAGTGTCGTTTCTTGGCGTGACATAGCCACGTCCCCCCTCCTCAACTACGACTTGCAGCAGATCAATCATGAGGAGTAGGTGTCAAGACACTTGCACTCGCTTTGAATAATTGCTTGTTTGTTTGTTGTGTAATTCCACACGGAGCAATATTTCAGCTATGGTCTTTATATATTCGAGTCTGGACCTGATAAGCTATTACCGATATATGGTGTCTGTTGACAGAAAGCGTCTATCTACACAACTGAGGTACAAATACATGCATCAGTCGAGGCATTGACCCTGACAACCCGATCCCCCTTAGTCGTCTCATGCAATGGGCAATGGTTGTCGAAGACCATTATAACCAAGAGTTTCTAGCAATTGGACCGTGGGGATACAAATATGAGCTGCCAAAGAAAAGGAAACTAACCTAAGGGACCGATCATAATTTATGGCTAGTGGGGGTGATGATGATTTTTATCGAGAAGCATTCACAATGTGACTGAACACCCCACTAAAATTTATGTACAAAGTGCCCCCCTGCATGTCTTGTACAAAGTCAATGACCCTCCATATTTTTAAGCATAATATTTAAATACTTTAATGTACAAAAATTGATGAACCCCACTAGTACATGTGTACAAAATTCATGACCCCCTCCCTTAAATTCATCATCACCCCCTAGCCATAAATTATGAACGGTCCCAAAATCAACAAAATTGAACTTCAGTAGAGCATACCCTGACACACTAGGTCTCCCCACTGCATACTGGGAGGTTTGATTACCATTGCACAAGATAAACATACAGAAATGTTAGACCAACACTTGATCTCTGAGTAAACATAATTTCTGCTCGCGTGGGATTTGAGGTAGGCGGGAGTCTCGTAGACAAACGCTTAGCCTCTGAATATATATAATTTTGATAGAAACAAACTTTTCCTTTTAAATTGAGAAGGAGCTCCTGAGTCACAGAGTAGGGAGGTTCAGAGCCTGAGGAAGTCTAGACTTGCTTCATTTAGGGCTTTAGCATTGAGGGCTAGGCAGAACGGAAAATAATGTAGTTCAGGGATTGTGAGACTATGGAAATATTAGCAACAGGCATTTATAGTCATGGGAGATAACTCTAGTTACCTGACATGATAACGAATGTTCATACTGTCAGTGAGTTGGAAAACTATGATGTTGCCGAGTAGTTGAGGACTGCATGGTATTTCCGGTATATCGCAATACACCTTTCAAACAATACATGTTGCAATGCTTTTTCTCAGAACCGGTATATTGGGCACTGTAAATATAGAAAGTTGTGTGATCATCGCTATGGTTTAAGTTAAATCTTTCACACTGATGTTTTCCATTGTAATTAATTGACAAAACAGCATACTTTACTTCAAATTTTATAAAAGAAAGGATTTTTAGTACAATCCCTCAAATCAGATCTAAATTAGAGATTTCTGTTATCACAAACCATAACATGTATTTTAGGGCTTAAGTGTGTAGAAAGTACGGTAGGCTCTCTGTGTACAGTTAATGTCACTCACTGTGAAAGCATGAAGCTCCCAATATATCCCAATACGGAATACGGGTACCAGAATCACAATATGTTGCAATACAATTTACTTGCCAATACACAGCCATACCGAGTAGATGTAAGTGATAGAATGATTTTTATTACCCATGTGGTCAATGGATGGGTAGTTGCATACTGAGTGTCAATGATTTTTATCACGTTGGATGGGTGTGCATACTGAATGACTTGTAATGACCTGAGATTCTAACGGTTTGATTGGATAACCGATGACCTCTCAATTAGGTCATGTGGTGATGGAACTACTTTCTCATTCATAACAAACACGTGAATTCATCCATTCTAGAACTTTTACTACATCCATTAAGTTAGACGAAACATCCCACATGAACCTGATTACTTAAAAATATCACAAAAAAACTTAAAAAGTTAAATATTAACACTACAAGAACATGATTATATATATCAATCATACATTCTTACTAATCTACAGTTGTGAAAATAAATAAAACTTTGTCTATGTGCAAAGGTTAGTCCTCAACAAAATTCTTCCGCAACCTCTTTATGAAACCGGTTTCAGTTTAAAACCATAAAAGCAACTAAAATACACTATTTTGTCAGTTTTATGCAGGTAAGACGTGGGTAATAAATAAAATACCACACTTGCTCTCATTACATACAAATTATACAAAACATGTGACCTTCCTATGGTTTCTGACCTCGCTTAAGCGGCCATAAAATTTCTTAGTCCCGATTCGAACCACAGACCTTCTGATCCGAAGTCGGACACCTTGTCCACATGACCAAAGAGGTTAACCCCGTCAGCAAGCTGACAAGGTAAGGATGTCATCTGTGGGATGACTCCACGCCCTGCTACAAAGGGAAGACACTTGTTTCATATAATTTGTTTGTAATGAGACCATCTGTACTATTCTCCATGTACATCTGCCAAGGATATCTGGTTAGGTTGGGAGGGTGTAATCTTTATTTTAGAAATGACAGTTTAAAGCAAGTAATGTTGAAACCAGCTGTCGTACAAACATTTAGTATGACAATGTTTTGTATTGTTTCCTCCGCAGGTACCATCTGAAAGGTAAACCCTGGACAAAGGGCCCTACGATGAACGTGCTGACACTTCTACACCAGAAGGGCACCACCATTGCAAGTCTGACAGAGTTCTTGAACAATCATATGAGTCCAACCAGTGAGCCTCTCCAAATACTGAACAAGTACTTATGACTAATACTGTACGTTGTTTCTAGACAAGTTTTAAATTATTGTGACACATTAAGGATGGAGTGTCATCAAAATTTTATGTCAGTCATTTAAACAGTGGGAGTAGTCTTATTAAACTTGTGAGCCAGGTCAAAACAAAGACTATATAATAAATTATTTTACTAAATTTTAAATGTTGATTTTATGGTCTCTGGTCCCAACAAAATTATTACTTTTTTAAAGAAAAATGTTTGTGTTTCAAATGTAAGAAGCTGCCATTTAGTAGTTCTTGTCATTAAATGCAACATTACCCAGAGTGTTCGCTCAATAGTGAAAATATTGAAGCAACTTATTATTTTGTTGCCTCTTGAACTGCCATAAGTGTATACTGTGAGCTGAATCTAGAGTAAATAAGACCTGATTCATCATTACGTGGTGTACATATATTCAATATAACCATAGTTGGTGTCATTATAGCTCATTTCTTATGTGATCTCATTTAGCATTGTTTCTGGTGTCCCCCGCCGTGATATTGCTGGAATATTGCTAAAAGCGGCGTAAAACCATACTCACTCATTTAGCATTGTCAAAAGGATGTGCCTTTTGGATATTCTTGAGATGACAAGAGTTATTTCCCTTGTCTTATAAACGGACCGTGATGTCACTCTATTGTTCTTGCAAGGCAGTATTTCTAGTCATATCCCGATGGCCCGTCGATTAGGGGGCATTACTTAAATATTGTCCCTCTGCCACAGGTGTTACTTCAATATTGTCCCTCTGCCACAGGATATTACTTCAATATTGTCCCTCTGCCCCGGGATATTACTTCAATATTACTTGTTGTGAAGATTGATATAACTTTGTCTTGCTACCGCTGAATGCGATCGTAAGACATCACATTATTGAAAACTTCCAACATTAGTACCGATATCTGGTTTCGAACCTGCAACCCTTCGCTTATTAGCTTGGCGGTTTTATTCACTAGGGTACGAAGGATCACTGTGAAGAATAAGATTGTTTGTCAGCATGAACCGTGTGTTCCTCACAAGACGAGTAGTGCGGGCAGCGCGCGTGCAGGACACAGGTAGCATGTGCAGAGCATGTGCATTACGCATGCAAGGCAAGGTGTCGGCTGCCAGTCTCATCCCAGTTGATTTCAACAGTAAATACCAAATATTGAAATTATATCTTTTGGTCGGTTTATAAGTTGGATATAACATGACCCGTGGGCATTATTGAAAAGTAAGCCCTCTTCCCTCGGGAAGTGGGCTTACTTTTCAATAATGCCCACGGGTCATGTTATATCCTACACATAATGTCCTTTGTCCATACTTTTATTTGCAAGCAGATATGGCAGGCAGACGAAATAGTTTAAAAATTCAGTTTGGGTTGAAGGATCTTTAATCCTGACAATAAAATAGCAACAGTTTAATTGTGAAAGTTGGAGCACAGTCAGGACAGTCCTGGAATATGAGATGTATAATTGACAGGGAGTAATATTATTGTGTAGCGGTGACAGCCTTGTGACACAGTATTGAAAAGAGTGATTTTTTAAACTATTGATGAAGCTTTCTCACAGACAGTTCAAAACCTAAAACTTGTTTCATGCATTATGATACCCTTCATTTCTTTCAAGTGTAAAAGGGTTCTTGCCCCACCCTGTTGTTTCATTTTGTATGAGTGCATTGGATTAAATAACTGATGATAATGATGATGCTGATGATGATGATGATGCTGATGATAATGATGATGCTGATGATAATGATGACTGTGGTGATATACATATATTTTGATTCGGGGATCTGCAACACAAATACTTTGTCTAACCTAATTACAAATCGCAGTCAGTTAATTTTAAGTATGTCACATATATTTATGTACCTGGTATAAGGTATATATTGATAACTTTCTACATGGAAGTTATCAATATATACCTTATACCGGGTACATAAATAAATGTTTAGACAACTGTTCCCAACTATGTGGTAAAACTCATGTTAATATTTATGTTCACTGAAATATTGTTATGTATATAGTTTATTGATGCTTGCCACTGATCTACATAGTAGGAATGTTTACTCACTGTAAGCCTCTTTGGAGCTTGTGACAGGTAAATGTTGTACAAGCAATCAGTGTTGAGTGAGTGAGGAATTCAGACAAGTATTTTGGATTTGTGTGTGTCAAACATGATTGTGATAAACGATATCTTAATGGGAACAATGCCATGGAGTGTCCATGCAAGATTATTTGGCAGGTATATATGTGTTCTTTGGCAGTTTCTCTTTGCCAGATTGAAAATGTGTGAATCAAGGGCTTAAGAAAGAGGCTTCTTGTTGGTTAACAACCCTCAGATCTTTGCACGGAAATATTGAATGAGAGTAAATGATTGGATTTTGTGAAACTGAAGAAAGTGAAAAAAATGAAATCTAACACAATTCGTTTAAACTGCTCATAGCTATAGCTTCTTATTGGACATCCCTTTATCATTAGTGTAATATGTATCACTCTGTATTGTGTTATTTAAACCATTTTTGGACTTTTCTCCAACATCAAGCTGACACGCTGTGATATAACGTGAATACTGAAGAATGGGGTGAATAAAATCCCTTTTCACTCATTCTCAAGTATATTATTCACCCTGTTTGACAAGTTATTGCTTTCTAAGAAACACAAGTTAGGGACTGTTCATAATTTATGGCTAGGGTGTGTGTGTGTGTGTGTGTTTGTGATGATGCGTTTTACGGAGAAGCATGTACAATGGGAATGATTCCCCACCCCCACCCCCCCAAAATTCATGTACAAGGTAAGTGACCTCCCTGCATATCATGTACATGTGTACAAAATTGATGACCCCCCAACCCCCTTAAAATCCTCATCATCCACCCTTAGCCATTAATTATGAACGGTCCCTTACATGTCAAGTTTCACTTTTATCATGGCAAGCAAGAAAGATTGAAATATTCTTATGTATGTATGTTATTGACCAAAGTCTTTCATGTTTGGCAAGATAAAGAGGCTGGTTTACCAAATACATCAGATTATGCATTAAGACTTACCATCACTGAGGGGTGGGGAGTGACATTTGTTAATATGAAACTAATGTTATATTTTCTGTTGCCTTGGTGACATTTGGTTGTATGGAACACATTCTCCTACCCCGGGTGATTCAATGGTTGATACACAATGGTGTTACCCACCTTGCAGGAATCTTTGGTATGTCACACCAAACAGAGTCGGTTTTAAACATTAGTACTGTTACAGTCTTAGCCTTGACATTTGTTAATGCATTCTTTTTTAATGTTTTCAACGCATGCAGATAATTTTTCTTGCAATTTTGATTGTTTGTAAGATTTTACAATAAGTTTAAATATTTGTTGTTGTGACAATATAATTCATTCTCCGTTATATTAGGCCAAATAAAAAAAAATTGTGGTTCCGATTACACCTCTTAAAAATTTAGGGTAGGTAGGTTTGTACTTTTCCAGAAGTAAAGTACAAACTAATAACACATTTATCAATGTGTAATTGTTTATTCAATCAAGCTTGCAGCCATCATATCGACTTTCTATATCAGAGTGACATATCTGTTGGTGCCGGGACAAAAACAATGGTATCTGAAAGCTTATATTATTCATTCCGCTTAAAAAAAATAGGGTCAGCACCAGAATTCAAGGGTCGGTATGGGGATTCGGAACCACAACATTTTTATTTTTAGGCCTTAGCAAAATAATTTTAAACTGTTTTCTCCAAGAAAGATTTCTTCCTGTGACAAACCTCACATGCCTTCTATTGAACACACTGGTCCTCAATAGCCTGGTGAGTGAATCAGAGGCTAAAGGCATGGTGTTATGGTTTGAAGCAGTTTGAAGCAGTGCCATTTAAGACAATTGTTGCTTTCGGAATGTATGTATATTTGGCATTTCATTGGTAAGATTTTTCAGCAAATGGACGATAGTTGGTGGTAAGTTAAAACATACCAAAATGATCATCAGTAGTCTCCTATCTTGTGTCCACAAAGGGGACATTTGTCATGATTAATAGTGATTAGTGTTTAAGTAAGTGACACCCTCCCCCTGCATATCATGTACAAAATCAATGACCCCCTCACCAGTACATGTGTACAAAAATGATTCCATCCCACCTCCCCGAAGAAAATGGTTGACTGCCCCTTAAAATCATCATCACCCCCCTAGCCATAAATTATGAATGGCCCCTTAACTGACTAGTCTAGCTTTACACTGCCAGGACCATGAACTAACTGAGTGTGTTGCCAAGAAACTTTGTTGACACAAGAACACATTTCATCACATTTTTATGGAATATTTTTCATTTTGCATATTTCAAAAATCTACAGAATACTTTGTATAACAGGCAGTCAATATCCTAAGAAATTTCTTCTAAACCTGCAGAGTTATCTCCCTTTGTTTCCAGATAGAATCAGAGTATACATGGCAGTAATTTGTTGACCATGATGATAGTATAATTTTTCCCCTCTGTTAACAATGTTTCAGCAATGTCACATATGTTCAAGTAAAGAAATCCATTTGTATCCATGTAAGAAATTGAACTTTGACCTTTAGCTTTTGTGGTGTAAAGTGTTTCTGTAAATCATCCAATATTTAATGCTGATGAATTGATACGGGTATTACAGTTTTGGATCTTAAGTCTTCAGTGTTTTTGCAACTGTTTTCAGTTGCAAAGCAATTTGATAATGAATGTCATTTTTAGCTCAAATCCAATTTTCAAGTGTATACTTCATTTTGCACTGCATTTTTTTTATCATATGATGGAGATTTTGCTTTGTTGAAGAATATTTAGGCACAATTTGACTTAATATCATGCTGTAGTTCTCTTCCTTCTTTGTTCATTATAAGAACATTCCACAATTCTCAGACTAACCATTACATGCCCTCACTCAAACAAATACTGGTTTTGCAGACCTACCTCATGAGAGAGTACTCAACTTTTGTTAAGGATATCAGCCAATACCAGTATTTAATCAAACATAAGTGTTAACTGTTTGTCTAATATTCAGGTTATGCTATTGTAGCTTCATGCTTATTATTGCTGGTTTGTAAGAAGAAAATGGTTTGTGACATTTTACACTCGTGTTTTGTCTTGCCGCTACCGTTAGGAGTGTCTAGGGAATGCCTCATGTATCTCCACATTCCATTCTATAATTTGAATAACATTTCTTCTTTCTAGTCAAGTTTCAAGGTTAAAACATTTCTCCCAATAAACAAGGATCTGTAGTGGAAAGAAGTGACAGAATCTAAACAACAAAGGAAAAGAAAAACATTTTCCTCAATAGACAAGAATCTTGATAGGTTAAAAATAGATAAAAGGTTCAACCTGCATTGTATTAGCTGAAAGAATAACCAGTAAAGTAAGTTGTCTTGAGTCCATATTTGAAAATGTTTTACATGATGAGTGTCATCAAAATATCCCTTGTAAAAGGAGAGTAATATGATATTAAAAAGAGAGTACTATATTGAAAAGAGAGTAATATGATATGAAAAGAGAGTAATAATATATAAAGAGAGTACCGTAATATGATATGAAAAAGAGAGGTATAATATATAAAAAAGAGAGTACATGAGAGTAATATGATATGAAAAAAGAGAGTAATAATATGAATAATAATATATAAAAAAGAGAGTAATATGATATGAAAAAGAGAGTAATAATATATAAAAAGAGAGTAATATGATATGAAAAAGAGAGTAATAATATATAAAAAGAGAGTAATATGATATGAAAAAGAGAGTAATATGATATAAAAAAGAGTAATATGATATGAAAAAGAGAGTAATATGATATGAAAATAGTAATATGATATTAAAAAGAGAGTAATATGATATGAAAAAGAGTAATATGATATTAAAAAGAGAGTAATAATATATTAAAAAGAGAGTAATATATTAAAAAGATGGTAATATGATATTAAAAAGAGAGGAATATGATATTAATAAGAGTAATATTTTAGAAAGAGAATAACATATTAAAAAGACAGTAATATGATATAAAACAAAGAGTAATATATTAAAAAGAGATTAATATATTAAAAAGAAAGTAATATATTTAAAAGGGCGCAATATAGTATTGAAACATTTTTCAATATGTTCCCTAAGTCATTATGTTGCGTTTTCAAGTTTTTAGCTCACTTAACTGAAAGCCTGTGATTTAATGTCCTGTCTGTTATCAACATTTTGGCACCATCTGTAAGCGTCTCCACACAACTCACTAGACCTATGAAGCTGAACATCGCATGTATGTTCCCACAATTGTTAACACTTGAGTTTGCTCATGAGGTTCACATCTGATTTCCAATATGACTAATATGGCCTATTTATGGCTACTGTTGGGCAATGTATATGGAAAAGTATTGTACAAATTTGTAATGCAGTGAAATTCACTGAAAATCTATATTTGGCTTATAGACATCTCTGAAACTAAGGAAGCTGAACTTTGGCCTGAATGTTTTCCTTCAGTATCAATACCAGCAGCAATTATTGTGAAGTGGTTCTGGACATACTTGATAATGTAACCCTTGAAAAGATAGTTTAAGAACATTGTCAGGTTATGTTTACCTTTTTTCACTTTACAGCTTTATGTCTTGAGGTTGAATACACCATTTATATGTTGGTACATGTCCTAATAAGCTTTAATGTTGTATAAGACCCCTAACAAGTTAAAAGCCTTCATCACTACTACATGCAATATGGAGCAGGGCCGGATCCAGGATTTTGGAGAAGGGGGTGCACATAAATCATGAAGTCCAAAGGTTACGGGAAACCTTTTTTTGGGGGAAAGAGGGTGTGCGCATCCCCCCTCTGGATCCGCCTCGGTGGTACCCCGGAATAGATACTGTACAGTCTTTACACTTGATCATCTTGTCCTCCTGGGTGGTAAAACAGCAGCTTTGAAACTGTTTCATGTGCTTATAACCACCATGATTTTTCTCAGGGCTGATATGTTCTTTTAAATAATCAACTGTTTGTAAGTGTGTGTGTGTTATTTTATGCAACTTTTCCTTTGTTTTGTTGTGCCAATTACTAATCTGACCACTAATAATGAAAGATCTTATAGCAATGAACTCTTTCTGTCGTATATTTCAGACTTACTTTAGATATTGCTATCTTTTTACACATGCTCTTCTTTTCACTTGTCAGCGAGGTACACAAAGTATGTCAGACTTAAGGGTGAATCCGTGCTGGCTGAGTGGGTTAGATTGCTGACTTTGTGTGCTGGAGATTAGATGTCTCACTCTGAGTGTGTGGGTTTTTGTACTTGAATCTGTAATTTACTGAGAAAGTGTAATGTTGCATGCTCTTCAATCAATATATTCTTCTGATGTAAATATTTTTGAAAATAAAATGTATGTTTGTATATCTTTGTTCTTTCTATTTACCAGACTATGAACTAATATAAATGTACAGAGATTTTATGAGTGTACTAAAAAGATTTTTCTTCTTGAAATGAATGTAATATATAGCTCACCTTGGCACCATTATATGGAAGAGTCAAGGGTCCTGACCCATAGTCCAACCTGAACCTACAGTACTTCATAAAAAGCTAAAAAGATTTTTCTTCTTGAAATGAATGTAATATATAGCTCACCTTGGCACCATTATATGGAAGAGCCGAGGGTCCTGACCCATAGTCAAACCTGAACCTACAGTACTCATCTTCATAAAAACATACTGAACATTGCCTCCTGTCACAAAGCACTGAGGTGATCGTAAGTCACTAAGGTAACCTTAGTGCAATGTTAAAGAATGGGAGTTAAGGTTAACCTTGGAAAGGTTGCTTCCTGAAAGGAGGCCCTGATAAATAATATAACATGTTATTAAAGTTTCTGGTTACACCAGGTTGAGTTCCATCTTACAGTTCAAAATGGGTTGAAGTCTGGCTAATATCAACTATTGTGGACCACATTACCATGGTAACTGCCTGATTATTTTTTCATATCCCAAACAGCCCCCATTATATTTTAAGATGATCTTTCAGTCATGTAAGTTCAAGGTCACCATAATCTAAGCAGCCAAAGGCCTAATGACATCTGTAACTTCATTGCTGATGATTACCAAACTAGGCATACATGATCATGGTTTCTAGCTAGAGGGACTGGCATTAGACCATGGTCTCCAGAATGGATTGAGGCTTTTATTCTAAAATTTGCAATATGGAAACTCAAATTTTGATTTTTTAAATGGTTGAAGCAGAATATATTGCTATATAGTCTCTAGCTGAAGGCTGAACTTATTCAAAACGTCACTGTTTACTCTAGTTCCTGAATTAAGGTGAGCTTCTGTACCTCAGGTTTAAAACCTTACCAAAGTACTGATCAGCTTGCTCTTAACCCTCAGGGTACCACCGATTTGTTATAAAAATCAAATATGTCATCGGTTCCCAATTGCGCAGATCGATGCTCATGCTGTTGATCACTGGATTGTCTGGTCCAGGCTCGATTATTTACATACCGCCGCCATATAGCAGGAATATTGCTGAGTGCAGGGTAAAACTAAACTCACTCACTCACTCTCTCCTTTACTCATACTTTTTCGTTCTGTTTAACACCGCACCATGCTATTTGACGGCGGTCTGTAAATACTCGAGTATGAACCACACAATCATAAGCTTGGATCCAGGCAATACAATGGCATGCATCCACACTGTCAGGAAGTCTGAGATCCAATGCCGTTACTGAAAATCATCATGAAAGTTAAAGAATTAACCATTTCTTAAACTGATAACAAAAGAAATCACCGCCAGTACCCAGAAAAATCAAACATCGTGTCAATAAGCATGACTAACTCAATGATGTCGATCTGTGACCAGCTGCAGCGGAAATGCCACAGTTTCCGATACTATATATAGACACACGTATTTTCCATGTATCTAAACATAACTCCGGCAGTACACGTCACTCGAAACTTCAATGCCTGAAGATGCGTTGCTGCTCTTCAAACTCTGAGTCTGCACTGAAAATCATTGTGATTCTTGTGGACGTGATGTCAACAACTTTGGTAAGTATGATTTGAAAAGTACCGAAACGGTCAGACAAAGATCAATCACTACATATTCAGTTTACAAAGCAGTTTTAACTTGTGTGCAAATGCGTTGTCAAGACCACAATGTTGTGTTCACCCGACAGCGTTATAATAGAGGGCTTGTTAAACGGTGGAGTATTTAAATAGCAATATATTTTAGATAAATAAAATTAAAACGGATATGCATATTTAAATGCATATATAAATACATTCATGCGATTGTAATGAGAGAATAATGTTACTATCAGCAGTAAAGTCACTTCTCAGTGTTGTATTATATGTACCAACAAACATAAGTAGTGTACTTATCCAAATGTAGGTGTATTAGTTTCAAATTGTACGTTGAGATTGCAAGACACAATGTTATTTCACATGACAGATGGGGTGACGTTTGTCTGAAGATCTGTTACTTTGTGGAAGATCAAAGCCATGTGAAGATTAAATTTAAAAAATCTAAAACAGAAATATATTCATCCATCTTAGGGACCGTTCATACTTTATGGCTGGGGGGTGGGGGGAGGAGGAGAGATAAATCATCTCCCCCATCCCCCCTAGGGTCCCTTACACAGGATCCAGATATCATTTTATCCAAATCATCAAATCAGCTGGTAGACTTTCCTACTACTGGAATATATATAGCTGACAAAATTGTATTGAGAAATACGGAGATACTGATTTCATATTTATACCCTTTTATGTAGGATATATTGTCTTCTTATTAATATAGTGGTCCGATGGCCATTTTAGTGAATAAATTCGCCTGTCTGTCAAATGAACCAAGTGGGCTGATTTCATTGTCCCTATTTTCTCGAAATGACAGTGTATTTCTCGAAAATAGCACTCATATCATGAGTCATAAATTCTCATACCACTTTCAAATGTTCGCTTATCATTATCCCCCCGGCATGTAATGCGGGGGGATATAGTCGACGCCTCGTCCGCCTGTTCGTCCGCCCGTAATCATTTTGTTTCCGCCCGCACTCAGCAATAATCATTTCTGATTCCGGAGCATAAGTCAAAAACCGTTCAATATTTTTCTACAAAACTTGGTAGATATATCAAACAGAACCCAAAGTGGTGCCTTTTGCTATTTACAGAGTTTAGGCATTTTTATCCCCCGCAACGCGTTTTGCGGGGGGTATTAAAATGGAGTCCGTGCGTCCGTCCGTGTGTCCGTCCGTCCGTGCACATCTTTTCCGGAGCATAATTCTAAAACCGTTCAATGTTTCTTCACCAAACTTGGCACATAGATAGATCTGGTGGTGAACTGGTGCCTTTTGGTAGTTTTGGATTTCTGAATAAAATATCTTTGGCGTTTCGATGGCAACAAGTTTGACTTACCTCGTAGACATATTCATGAAGAGTAATTTGCCATTGCGGGGGATATTGATGACTTTGTCTTCTTGTTATTTTTCTTTGTTTCCATGGAAACGATTTGAACTTAGTCTCAAAAGGAGGGGTGACCTTCGTTTCCGGAACACAACTGGAAACCATTCAATATCTTTCTTCAAGACTTGGTAGATATATCAAACAGAACCTAAAGTGGTGCCTTTTGCTACTGAAAGATTTTTGTGATTTCTTATTTTCTCGGTTTCCATGGAAACAATTCGGACTTAGTCTCGATCAGGAGGGGTGGGTTTCGTTTCCGGAGCACAACTCGAAAACTTCTTAATATCTTTCAGCAAAACCTTGCAGATATGTTAGACAGATCCCAAAAGTGGTGCCTTTTGCTATTTGCAGATTTTTGTCATTTATATTTTTCTCGGTTTCCATGGAAACGATTCGGATTTAGTCTCAAAAGGGAGGGGTAGGTTTTGTTTCCGGAGCACAACTCAAAAACTTCTTAATATCTTTCAGTAAAACTTAGCTGATATGTGAGGCAGATCTTGAAGTGGTGCCTTTTGCTATTTGCAGATTTTTGTCATTTATTTTTTTCATGATTTCCATGGAAACGATGTGCACTTAGTCTAAAATCAAGCTGGACTTTAAGTAACTGTCAGATGATTTGTTCTTTCAAATATGTGGGGACCGGGGAATATGTCATCTTCTGATGACTCTTGTTACAGATTTTTGTCATTTTTATTTTTCTCGGTTTCCATGAAAACGATTTGGACTAAGTCTTAAAGGGAGTGGTGGGCTTCGTTTCTGGAGCACAACGCGAAATATTCTTAATATATTTCAGCAAAACTTGGCAGATATGTTAGGCAGATCCCAAAGTGGTGCCTTTTCGCTTTTTACAGAGTTTTGACATTTATATTTTCCCCGGTTTCCATGGAAACGATTCGGACTTAGTCTCAAAAGGAGGGGTGGGCTTCGTTTCCGGAGCACAACTCGAAAACCGTTCAGTATCTTTCAACAGAACTTGGCAGATATATGAGACAAATCTTGAAGTGGTGCCTTTTGGTACTTACAGATTTTAGTGTTTCTTATTTTCTCGGTTTCCATGGAACAATTTTCTCGGTTTCCATAGGAAACTCGAAACTTCCTTATGTTTCTTGTCAGCATATGTTAGGCAGACAAAAAGCCTTTTGCCATTTTGCAGATCTTTTTGACATTTATATTTTCCTCGGTTTCCATTGAAACGATTCGACTTATCTCAAAGGAGAGGGTGGGCTTCGTTTCGGAGCACAACTCGAAAACCGTGCCATTTCAACAGAACTTCGCAGATATATGAGGCAGATCTTGAAGTGGATTTTTTGCTATTATTTTTTTGTCATTTTATTTTTCCCGGTTTCCATGGAAACGTTTTGTACTGAAAGGGAGTGGTGAGCTTCGGGAGCATTAGTCAAAACCATTCAATATTTATCTGCAGAAATTGTCAGATATATCAAACAGAATCTAATGTGGTGCCATTTGCTCAGATTTTTATCTTATTTTATCGGTTTCCATGGAAACGATTCGAACTGAAAAGAGGGTGGGCTTTGCTTCGGAGCACAACTCGAAAACCGTTCAGTATCTTTCAACAGCCTTGACAGATATATGAGACAGATCTGATTGCCTTTGCTCAATACTGATTTTTGTCAATGGTTTCCATTTCCATAGAAACGATTCGGACTTAATCTAAAAAAGATCAAGCTTGACTTTAAGTAACTGTCAGATGATTTGTTCTTTCAAATATGTGGGGGCCGGGGGGATATGTCATCTTCTGATGGCTCTTGTTTATATTTGAGATTACAGTTACAACTTCCGTCATGGTAACGCCAAAGTGACTTCCCTTCGGTGGAGTAGCAAAGTGGTTAAAGCGTTCGCTCATCACGCCGAAACCCGGGTTCGATTCCCCACATGGGCACAATGTGTGAAGCCCATTTCTGGTGTCCCCGCCGTCATATTGCTGGAATATAGGTGAAAGTGGCGTAAAACCCAACTCACTCACTCACTCACTCGTCGCTTATGCACAGCACAGACTGCTCGGGATCTGTTGTTGAGATCGGGTCATGTCGCGAGCAGTAAATTTGCTGAAGGTTCAGAACTTTAATCTATTTCGGAACATTGATATTTTATCGATTTAGTTTGACTCCGCTTTGAACACTATTTCGGTTAGATCACGATATAAGTCAAAAACTCTTTGATATAACGCAGATTTTAAATTTATACCGCTCTGTTGGAACTGCTAAACCATCCTACGGAAACATCATAAGTTTTAATGACCATACCAGTTAATGTAAATACACGCTGATCCTGATGCGACTAAGCGGGGCAACTCTGTAGAAAGAAATTAAATTTGCATCTCAAGAGAGGAGCGTTATGGTATTGTAGTGAGGAATCCATAGTTCGACCCTCTGACTGCATTCATGGTCAGATTGGGACATAATGTCTGGCCGGAGAGTGCAGAAGGATGGTGGTACAATCTTAAGACTGCCCCCGTGGTCGCGGATAGCTTTACTTATATTGGATTGGTGTACAAACACATGCTGTTGCGTCTGGCATGGTATCGCCAGGCATGTGTCTGGACGTATATTATCTTAAAATGACCTCCCGATATCTTTTTTTCTTTTCAGGGACAGAATTCGCCACCATGCCCTCCAGACCAGTATTATAACATTAATGCACAAGACCACAGTTCTTGTAAACCGTGTACCCATTGCCCTCCCGGGTCAGAGGTAACCTCTCCGTGCACGAACCAATCGGATACGGTTTGCAAGTCATGTGACTATGGAACATATTCAAGCGGGGGATTCAAGTGCCAGAAGTGCTCTCGTTGCCGACCTGGAACCTTTGTGTCGCGCCACTGTACTTTGACCTCTGACACGCAGTGCGAACCGTGTGCAAAATACATGTATTCATCTGATTGGTCGGCTGGATTCTGCATACCGTGCAGTAGATGTGGGAAGGCGGTGACGGTAGAGAGAAACTGTAGCAACACCCATGACTACAAGTGTGGAGATTGTATCGAAGGTAACGTATTTAAACGCGTGCATGTAATTAATTGCCCATGGCCGTGGGTTCTAGTCCCAGTTTGGCCCTATGATGATTTAAGGTTTGTCAGAACCGTACCCCTGCTTGCTGGTTTCAGGGGCGGTGGTGTAGCCTAGTGGTTAAAGCGTTTGCTCGTCACGCCAAAGGCCTGGGTTCGATTCCCCATATGGGTTCAATGTGTGAAGCCCATTTCTTGTGTTCCCCGCCGTGATATTGCTGGAATATTGCTAAAAGCGGCGTAAAATGCAACTCACTCACTCACTTGCTGGTTTCACCAGGCAATCGATGTCTGTTGAACAGTCCCCCCACATCAAGTTAACTCCCCCTGATATAACAGATCATATAACTGTCAATGTGGTGTTACACCAGACACAGTCACACAAGCTATCGTCTCTCTTTGCCAGGTAATCCGTCAAGATCCGGGTTAGGGTTAGAATTGATCTTCAGCTATCCATGCTTGTCGTAAGGGCGACTAACGGGATCAGGTGGTCAGGCTCGCTGACTTGGTTGACACGTCATTGTATCACAGTTGTGTAGATTGATGCTCATTCTGTCGGTCACTGGATTGTCTGGTCTAGTTTAGGTTGTTCACAAACCGCCTCACTAATATTGCTGAATGCGGTGTAAAACAACAACCGAAGCTTAGCCTGGTTTGTTTCCACTGTGTGACGTCAGTGCTATTTCTCCTGGGCAAGGTGTTCGTTGGCGTCACCTTTTTGAGGACGGTGTAAATATAAACATTCTGTCGTTATTTATTACAAACATACAAACTAGTAGATGTTTTAATGCTTAAAACAATATATAAATGAAGTTGTGAGGAGGTTATTCTCAAACGTGGGCACAGAACGCCCTTTGAGACACCATAGGGGCATGTCTTGCTTAGACACAGAGTTAGAAAGACACACAGGTGTAGACACCCTACCCTATTACTATATGAAAGGTGGCAATAGGGTAGGATCTATTAACCTATATGTCTTTCTAACGCTGTATCTAAGCGAGACACGCACCTATGTGAGACACCACGATTGCGTCCCTTAAACCCACCCACTCTGTACCCACTTGCAGGGTACTACCGCCACCCGAATCTGCCGAGCACGTGCATCAAGTGCTCCTACTGCTACCCCGACCACCCGGGGGTCACTGTGATGGTGGACGAGTGTCTCACCAAGAGCAAGGACCCGGAGATGATGTGTATGCCAGTCTTAGGAGGACCTCTGCCCAAGAGGACATCTTCGGGTGAGTATGTATTTAGATGTTGTATACACAGTCCCGTCTTCTCAAGGAAGAGACACGTCATTATTGACCAATCTTAACCGAATCGATGGATCCGGTGAGCGAGTGCGCCTGTGGGTCTGTGATAGGAAAGACTGCCCATAGGTTTGACCTTTGAAAATAACAAATTGGCCCCAGTGATAATAGATCACCAAAATACTCGTTGTTATTTGAATAATCGTGTAAATAGTGAAGTGACCTCATCCTCCAACAATCAAGCACATCACACACACGCACTCACGATAGCACGCACGCACGCGCACCACATTCACACACACACACAGACACAAAACCAAACAAAAAACAAACACGCACACACGCACGCGCACATTCACACTGACGTTGAAATAAAATTTAATTGTTGTGTTATATCCAAAAGGAAAATGGTGTAATCGACCCCATTATCAAGTGTTTTTGAAAAGCGGGCGATCAATAATATTTGTTAAATGAATGGGGGCGGTGGGGTAGCCTAGTGGTCAAAGCGTTCGCTCGTCACGCCGAAGGCCCGGGTTCGATTCCCCACATGGGTACAATTTGTGAAGCCCATTTCTGGTGTCCCCCCGCCGTGATATTGCTGGAATATTGCTAAAAACTACGTAAAACCATACTCAGTCAGTCAGTCAGTCAGTCAGTTAGTTAAATGAATGACACATTTCTTCCTTCTCAGGTTCTTCAGGATCTACGACCCCTACAGGATCTACGACCCCTACAGGATCATCCTCCACACATTCAACCAGCACCCCAAGTCCCTCACCCCAAGGCTGGGAGGACCCACTGACGTTATGCATAATAACAGGAACCTTTGTCCTCCTCGTCATAATCATCTCAACCATTGTCTTTATTATATACTGTAAGCATGGAAAGGACAATAGAATGACCATAGTTACATTATTATACTGCAAGTGCACCAAGAAGAGAAGACAAAACAGAACAACAAAGATGGCCTCGGGGTTGTCACTGTTAAAAGGCAAAGAATCGGAACAATCTGCTAGCATGATGGCAGAAGTTGGTCTACTTCACTGACTCGAGTTCCTTGTCCTAAGAAAGAGATGGAGATTAGTCGGAACATTTTGCTGACGTTACAAGACAAAAATGGCACCTTCTGCTGGTGAGACATGATGGCCGGTCCTCTGCATTGACTGGGGTGACACCATTCGTAACCACTCGCCCCCTTCCGTAACCTCCCGGGAATAACACGAGATGGTCACGAATGGGGTGACACATCTCGGAAAAAGAGATGGCGATTCAGGGCGTGGAATATGATGTAGGCGGGAGTCTCGTGACAAGACATGGTCAAGGGTCAGTGGACCAAGTGTTTGAAGGTGATGTTCCTTCTTGCCATTCTACACTGGGTCACTCCGCTCCTGGGACAGGTTCAGTTTATCTCCTTTTATGAACCGGAATCTCTAAGTTTGTGCAATATCACTGAGAAGGGACAAATCCAAAGCGGTTGATGATCTTCTCACTGGCTTACTGGATATTCTCTGCTTCATCGCTTACAATAGAGGGAGGTAACAAGAACAGCCTTGATGACCACCCACACTGACTCCAGGTTAAATGAAACAGTTTTTCGATGTTTGAAAGAGGGGTAAATTGCATCAATAACAATTAACGGTAGTTTATTTACACTTCAAATATCAAACTCAATGATAAAAAGACAAAAAGGCTTTCTCGCGTGAGTGAGAATCTCTGAGCTGATATTCTACCCAAGTTTAATATGTTAAATGTGTTCCACCATACGTTGTGTTTCTGAACAAAAAAATACACCAGCCATATCTGAACAGTAAAGACCAGGGGGATCTGTTTATCACCGTTGACGTCGTCATGTACGGGTGGAGCACACCTAACGTTCAACTGACGTTTTAAACTTGTTTTGGTTCATTTAAGATCAAAAACAATTTTCCAGTATATTTTCTTAAATATTTTATTTTTTACTTCGGTATTTATTTACCGACTAATGACATGCATTCTGTTGTAATGTAACAAAATATATAAGAACCCTTTCTGTCAATAAAAAAAAGTTTTAAAGTTTATTTCTTTATATATATTTTTTTTCATATCCGAGATTCCAACTTGATGCATTCGCCATATCTTCGTGTGTGCGTGTGCGTGCGTGCGTGCGTGTGTGTGTGTGTGTGCTGAGATACTAAGCAGTTGAACATGGATACCCCTGTAAGATACAGTATTCCTAGACGAGCAATCCTGTATTCCCTCCATGCCGAGCGAACCGCCTCCGTGGTGTAGTGGTTAGAGTGTCTGCCCGGAGAGCGGAAGGTCGCGGGTTCGATCCACGGCCGCGTCATACCAAAAGACGTTAAAATATGGTACTTGTTGGTCCCTGCCTGGCGCTCGGCATTAATGGGTACAACAAGGACTGGTCGGCTTGGGGTCAGTATAATGTGTCTGAGTGGGGCATTCATGCTTCACTGCGGCATGGTATCTCAGTGAGCTAGCACTATCAAACCAGCTTAAGTCTGGCTAGTACAAACAGCCACACATATACACGCATGCACGTCGTCATATGGGAGAAATATTGTCAAGTACGACGTTAAACCCCATTTCACCTCACCTTACCTCACCATGCCGAGCGCCAGGCAGGTAAACAATAACTACCATCTTTTAGCGTCTTATGGTAACAAACCATGGGGATCGAACAACGACCTTACGCTCCACGACACCACTGCGACAGTAAGGCAGATAAAGTGTGGTGCTAAAGGGTGAGTTTATAGCTATTGCTGTATATAATCGACCTACAAAATACTGGATACGTGTATAACTTGAACAATATAACTGAGATAAAATTACATGGGCGTAGCAGATATGAAATATATTTATGCCACACTGAATGAAACATAGACCATTCACAATTGTAATTCGATTCTACATATGCGGAAACAATGGGTGTTAGGGTCGTCAGATATTAAGTACATGAATCAAGTTGATATGCAGCCGGATACATAACACGCTATCTCACAAAACCCGGAAGCAATATATCATTCAAGTGACATATCTGCTGTTGCTTTTCCTGAGCCGAAGTCTAAAGTAACTTCACGTAAACGCCGGTTGCGGCGAGACGTGGGATGGTGTGACCGTGACTCCTGAGAGTTTCACACGGCTTCGGTCTTTCCTAACACTGAACCATATGTGACGGATGTAGTGTCTCATTGGACATGTAACCAGTGTTTGACTTAACCCTGGAAGGCTGCAGGCCCTGAGGACCCAGAACAATAAAAGGTTGTGTGTCCTGATCAGAATGTGTAGGCCTATATTTTAATATGGAAATAATACTCTTAGTTATTGGGGGTGAAAAAAATGTCGGCCACAAGGACATGAAGAAAACAAAAGCTGTGGGTCCGAGCGGTTTTCAGTCGGTTTCGGGACTAAGGACCGACGTTAATTTCGAACGCTGCATGTAACTTTGTTTTTCATTATTACTCTCATCCTTCTGACGTCTCGCAGCCAGCTGGCAATGACATTGCATGCTTATTCGGACATTAACTCATCGCATGAACCATGAAACCCCATTAGATCTGATCGTCTACTCTCCAGAAGATATGATCATGTCATTTCCATCTGCCAGTACCACATACGGGTCAAACGATGATGTCTTGATGATGCCCACTTTCCCCTACATTTGTTGGCACAGTATATTTCCATCGACTCCATTTATGTTCATGCAGTCACAAAGAATTGAAATATATTTCTCACAAACCTCGCCAGGAACATTCTTTTCCATTCAAGAGAGGCTGTGTTTCAAATAACGTAAATAATGCAGTTGAACCAGTTGATAACATAAACTAAGATCCGTACGATTACCTGAGCCTTACCAGTTGATCTATCTGGACGTCAAGCATCGGTTGTCCAGGTCCGGGTTTCCCACAGGGAGAACAACATCAGTTGTTGGGGGCCTGTCCTGACCCTGGTTTCCCTCAATGAGACCAGCATCAGATGCCGGGGACCTGACCTGACCCAGGATTTCCACAGGGAGACCAGCATCAGTTGCTGGTGGCCCGGGTTTCCCACAGGGAGACCAGCATCAGTTGCTAGGGGCCTGTCCTGTCCCGGGTTTCCCACAGGGAGACCAGCATCAGTTGCTAGGGGCCTGTCCGGACCCGGGTTTCCCACAGGGAGACCAGCATCAGTTGCTGGGACCTGTCCTGTCCCGGGTTTCCCACAGGGAGACCAGCATCAGTTGCTGGGGGCCTGTCCTGACCCGGGTTTCCCACAGGGAGACCAGCATCAGTTGCCAGGGACCTGTCCTGTCCCGGGTTTCCCACAGGGAGACCAGCATCAGTTGCTGGTGGCCCGGGTTTAGCATGATTTAAATTACATTTGTGACGTCAATTCCACCAGCATCAGTTGCTCCATTACTTTTCAGGAATGGAGCGATGTGTACCAGTTTCAAAAACCCCTTCATTTTGTCACTTTGACATTTAATTTTGATAACAGAAATATTCCCAATACTTTGAATGTATTTAAAGAATATCCAGCTCTCCATTCAAAATAGTAATGCTTCTGGCCTCCAGGCCTCGGCTCCATTATTTTAAGGAATGGAGAGTTACTCGGACATTACCCTCTACATCACATCACTGAATCGGAAATATGCAAGCACGCACAAATTTGTAATGACCGTTAATGTTTATTCATGTTTAAAAAATGCTGAACAGTAAACGAGAACGCTACGCTAAACTATGAACGTTGAAAATACCGACGTTCGCCATGTGGTTTTTACCAAAAGACATGATGACTCCCAACAATAAGATTACAAATCTTTATATTGGCATAACAACGGTGGGAATCACTGTTTATGGCTATGTGCTGAATATCGCCGGAATCCCTATTTGATATAAGAGCCGTGTTTCTCAGCCTTCATCACGGTTCTCAGCACCTTACCATGCTTGTGATATTTTTGTCAGATTAAGATGACTCATATGGACATCTGTAATACAGTTGAAACGTGGTTATTACATCAATCAATCAATCTGTTGTTGTCACATCTCTGTGAAATATGTTAGAATTGAGTGACATCGGCCACATTATATATACTTACTCGTTGAGTCCGAGCTTGATCTTTTTCAGGCCGCAGGTTTTATATGATTATTCATGTCCATACACGTCTACCACCTACATCATAATCTTTTAATATAATCACTAACTTGACTGATTTTCATTAATCCGAACAGAAGCTTCACTCGGTTCAAATCCGCAATCCGAATTCACACCGCGGACGAGCGCGAGAGCACACGCACGTTGTACAAGGCAGGTTGTCGTGGATGCTGTTGTGGAAGTTGTATGGCATGCAGTTTATACAGCTGCTTACTACCCGGTATATTGTTGGTCCGTAACTGCCGTGAAAATAATTAATATACCTGTCCCAGCGACGGCAAGCAGCACAAAACTGATCAGCGTGATTGTGAAAGCAGGCCCAGCTGTTAATTTCGGATCCACTGCTTCGCGAACGCGCTTTATGCGTAATATCGGATCCTTAATGAAAATCGCGGATCGTAAGAATTGAAATGCCCGTTGAGTCAGCAGGGTGAGGAAACACTTGTATCGTACATTAACGCAGCCCGCTACAGTAGAGACCGGATCACATCGGACCCGTCTGAGTCTGGCAGATCGAGGGCGTGTGTTGGAACACGCGCTGTGTCATAGAACATTCTGTGTGTATATTTCGCTCGTATATCAAAGGATCCGAAAGTGACAAACCGAACTGCCAAGTCAGTCGGATCGGCGCTGGTTAATCTTCGTTTTGGTCAGAGTGAATGTACTCATATTATATATATATATATATACACACAATGCGTACGTACCAAGTTGTTTTTCCAGATACTATTTAACTGCTGGAGTGAAAAATATAGAACGTTTTTTTTAGTATCGGTCATTTATCATTGTTGATTATCGATCGGGATCTTCATGTGGATAAGGCCCTGGAGTCTAAAAGCCAAAGTATGCCGTTGTACAAAACGGTCACCGCTAAGGCTAAGATCGCTTTGTACAACGGCACCCAGGTTCGACTCCCCACACGAGTACAATGTGTAAAGCCCATTTTGGGTGTCCCCCGCCATCATATTGCTGGAATATTGCTAAAAGCGGCGTAAAACTAACTCACTCACTCATGTGAAAAAGAAGTTGAGTCGCTCCGCATTATTCCAAGTACATGACTTCGGTCTTCAAATAATCGAGTCTCGACCAATGAAACCCAGCCAATCCTGTTCTATGACCAATCTTACCTACACACCACCACCCTTGATAAATTTACCAGTCGGTTATGACACAATTTAGAAAAGAAACTGAAAAATAGAGTGAAGCCCTGAATATTGCCGAAACTTTTGTAAAACACAACATAATACTATAGACTGGGACATTGAAAGGACAGACGTAAAACCAAAAAGACAATAACGCAAAGTAAACTAAGAGTACAAACGAAAAACTACAATATTCACCTGGTTGAAAACATCTGAGAACATATTCCAGCCTGGTGGAAACATTTTATCAGATTATTATTTTTTTCCTGTGTATTTTTAGCATTTTAAAGATTTTTTAGCATTTTTAAGTCATTCTTACTTTGCATTTCAATTTTATATATATATTTTTATAAATATATATTTTACCGTGTTCTAGGTTTGGTTATCAATGTTCGATTTTATTACCAATCAGGATTTTCTTGGTTTTTTTTAATTCATGGAGTTTTAGTGAGTGTTTGTGTGAGCATACTTAACAGCATTTTCAGTCATGTGACGTCCTGTCCGCTTAATGTGGGAGGGAAGCCCGAAGTAAAACAGGTTTCGGATGTTCTAACATGAGAACCCGTGAAGGTCCGGGTTAGAATGAACCTTCAGTAACCCATGCTTGTCGTAAGAGGCGACTAACGGGATCAGGTGGTCAGACTCGCTGGCTTGGTTGACACATGTAATCGGTTCCCAAATGCGCAGATTGATGCTCATGCTGTTGATCACTTGATTGTCTGGTCCAGACTCGATTATTTACAGACCGCCGCTATATAGTTGGAATATTGCTGAGTGCGGTGTAAAACTAAACTCACTCACTCACTCTAACACGAGAAACCCACGAGCACGGATGGTAACCAAGAATACACTCGGGGAGAATTGGAATTGGAACCCAAAGTCACAGGTTACTGAAATGCACAATTAGGGACGCAATTCTGAACAGCGATTGCGGTCCCTCAGGCGACAGGGCAAGTGTCCTTAACGTTGTTTAAAGATACCCAAAGTGACTCTTCGATTGATGTGTTGAAGCGTTTATAATCAAAACAATGACACAACACGAATTTTCCTTTCCACGCGTTTCAATCTTCAGGGAGTAATTACAGTTGCGGATTTTACTGTATTGTTGAGGGACCACCACAAGAAAATATCAGACTGGTCTCAGTACAAAGTCCCATCTTCCCCTCCCCCCAAAAAAACTTTCCACCCCTATCTGCGTCCCCACAAGTCCCCCGTCCCCGTGAAGATCCGGGTTGGAATTGGCCTGTAGCAACCCATACTTGAGGCGACTAACGGGATCGGGTGGTCAGGCTCGCTGACTTGGTTGACACATGTCATCGTAGCCCAATTGTGTAGATCGATGGTCATGCTGTTGACCACTGGATTGCCAGGTCCAGGCTCCATTATTTACAGACCGCCGCCATAAAGCTGGAACATTGCTGATTTCTCCGTTAAACAACCAACCAACCAACTTAGTGTTTTGTCACTGGAATACGACATCAGCACGCTAAGTGTCTCCCTGGCCTTGTAAGAATGGGTGCATTCAGGTTCGGGAGTTGTTTGACACGCATTAAAAGCGCTCTTCATGTTTGTATAAGAAGAGTGTGAGAAGTGGAAATAAAGTTACATTCTTATTGTTGCAGCGGATTATTAATCACGAAGTATATTGGCAGTTGCCATGTCTGAAACGATCTGCCACCCTGGTCACTACAGCTTGTACAATAGAAGTATGGGTTATCGTGGGAATATGCCACGTTATTGCCTCTTTAAGTTACAAATCTCGCAGCCGACATGAGTGAAGAATCACATTAGAGTTCTAGGACAACTTCATATATAACGTGAGGAAAGCGTATACAATCACCAGTTGAGTCTCACCAAGTCGTCCAAAGTTTACCATAGATTACTTAAATCAGCGAATGGTTAATCAAACTTTAAATAATTTAGAGTAGAAGAGGAGTCTGTTTGATCAACATGGATGCAAATGAAACAGAAACGATTGATTTGGTGAGCACTGTGGGTGGTTCTCTGCTTGAGTGGGTCAGAATCGCCATATTGCCGTACATCTTGGTCTGTGTGTACATCAGTATCATCGTGCTTGGGGTAAGTCTGAATGTCACCCTGATTGTGATGTTCAGAAAATGGAAACATCACAAGACTCCAGGGAACGCCTTTATCCTCCAGATGGCGCTGGTGGACATCGCAATGTGTGTCTTCTGCTTCCCACTTACAACAATGGCTGCCATCTCGAAAACATGGCCGCTGCCGGATGTCGTCTGCTCTGTTCTTGGAGTTGCATCCAGATGGTTTTATCATTTGCCCTTTGTGTTTTTGAGTTGCTGTGCTGTTGAACGAACTATCAAGATACGAAACAAGGAACTTTACATGAGAACATTTGGTAAGACGACTTTCGTTATTTTCGTCAGTGGGATAACATGCACTCTTACATTTGGTGTTGCCGTTCTTCCTGTCATTCCTGCTGAAGTCCTTGGAGAAATCATGTACAATAAGATCACTTATCAGTGTGAGCTGGTCCAAGATTCAAGTCATTTTATTCATAATTTTGACTTTGTAATGAGCGTGGCTGCATCAGCCGTGACATATTTCGTGTGTGGTGTGCTGATCTTTAGAGTAAGGCGTAAATCCGTACCAATCAAACCTGATGACAGTTTGGAACTAGAAACAATGACAGCAGAGTACCCAGGGACCATGGGGTATCTAAGGTCTGCCTCAAGTCTGTCTTCCAACTCCACATCTCTCATCGCGGTATCAGTCATTGGTGGAAAACGCAAAACCAAAAGAATTGACATCAATATTCCGCGTGGGCTTCAGAAGCTGCAGACGAAGGGAGAGTTCGTGGTGGAAGTCCTGAGAGACGACAGCGCCGATGCAGACTACCACATGGTCATCACATACGTCATCACATGGGTAATGGTAACCTTGTTCACGTTGATTCAACCTATGTTAACGTACATCGAAGTGTACGGCGCAGTTCCGTTATGGGGCGGAGCTCATATCATTGCCATCATGGTAGGATCGATGTCTTTCTGTGTGAAGCCTATTGTCTACCTGTCCCACAACAAATACTTCCGGAGGCAAACTGAGTGTGTCCTTCCTACTGTCCTGACGAAAACTGTCACAAAGGTGAAGGTCACTGTGTCGGCCTCAGTTGATAAACTGGAGAGAGCCGTCTTCAGAATGAACTCTACGAAGCCATTCAAGGGATCTTCAGGCGAGAGAAACATCAGGCCGGCTTCTGCTGATTCCTCTGACAGCCGGACAGGATCAGATCAGATACTGTCAAGGTCATCTACTGATATGACGATGTTCAGTATGGGAATGTCCAGGTCATCAACCAAGTTCTCGGAGGACATGCATGACAGGGCGGGTACGGTTTGTGAGGTCACAGCATACTGAGCAGGTGCCCTCCTACCGTATGACACTACATATATTGGAACATTTATTTACAAAGCTATACCATAAACACTTCCCTATTTCGATTTGCACCAAGGTTCCGTGTATTTTCGGGTGAAAAATTGATTTGCTTTCGGCTATGAAGGGTGCGGATAGACTTATCTTTTCGCGAACACCTGGTGTCATCACTATTTAATAGTGATTCATAAAAACGTGACATAGTCGGAATCGTACAATCGACACTGCTTGTAGCTGACATTTCTTGTGAACATAATGAAGGTTTCTTTGCTTTTATTTGCATATATTTCGGTGGCACACAAGAATCAAATCTGGGCGTTCGCTCTTCACAAAGGAAAGTACACTCTTGGTGCTTTTGGGTTGATTTCCAAAACACAAAATCAATTTTTTGAAAAGTATTTTGATTATGTCTTAAAAGTCATTAACACTGTGGATGTAATGCCAACAGACCAGGTGTGTACATTCTTTCGTACGCGAGTTTTCTTACCATTTTGTTTCGTTCGTTTCAGTTTCGTATATTGTACAGATATCATACTATTGTATACTATTTATATACCAATTGTGATATGTATGTGTTCAAAGTATCTGGTGTTACAAAAACTCTATAAATACCGTGATCTGACTCCAGTTTTTCAAACATTGAATTATACTTTGTATTTTGCATTCTCTGCCTCCTGTTGTCTTCGTAATGTACATGCTACACAAATGCTGCGATATAGTGAACTCTTAACATATGCTTTGGGGGGATTGCACTTTCTGTGTAAAGTACAGATTCTAGTACTATTTCGTACGCGTCCCATCCGGGATTCGAAACCACGCCCTCAGAGTCAGGCACCCACTCGCCAGCACACAGGCAGTGTTCTTACCCACTCTGTCACTGGACATTGGACATCTGATAGTCTAGATCACGGACTTTGTGTACCCCTCTGACAAGTGTAAATGGTCTACTCCCATTTGTGTCTACTTTCATTGTAGGGATGTGGAAACACCACCTATGTGCACTGAACCATTAATTAATGTGTCTCAAAACTGGGAGTTCTCACAAATGGGAGGACACCGTGTAAATTGGCACGGCTCCCTCACATATAAGCGTATTCACAGATGTTCTCGTATCTAATCCATTGTATAAATACAATGGTATATTTTCAGTTGTCCTTGTGATAAATGTACTATACGTTTACCTAGGGTTGCTTGAATACATAGTACACGGTATATCAGTGTATATATAAATGTACTTTTGACCCCAAGAACACCCAACTTAGCCGAACCGATTGATAAAAGGTTATCTTGGAAAAGGTTTTAGCGTTTTGGAATGAATCAGTCACTCCCAACAGTACTACCAGTTTCAAGAACTCGACACATTGAATAAGATCATTTCGTGTTACAGTTTTTTGAACAGATGGTGTCACTTTCGTGTGTCTGCCATAACATAATCATTTAGCAATGCTTTGACATCGAGACAATCGGCTGATACGTGTAACCATAGTTTTCTTGAGTTTGAAAAATAAACTACATTATCTGTATACTGGCATGCTTGTTTTTGTGATATATCGAGGTTTGGGGTGAAGTGCAAGGTACCATGGGGTGACGTCTCCTAAAGCATACAGAAACCTAACATTGTGGGTTCGAATCCCGATTCGCCAAAAAATAATATTCTAGGTTTGTCAGCAACAAACCCGTATTTGTGATTTTTATCGGATCGGCGGAGGTATGAGACCTGCATCACTTCCGACGACATTGCTAGCACATCATCAAGCTGATGCGCCCTGTTGAATATTTCTACCCAACTCACTCATCTACGAGGGGCGTCCCAAAAGTAGTCGGCATCACCTGGATAATTATACAAATGCAGCTGTTTTTTGTTTTATTTTACTACATAATATCTATCAACCTCAAGCAAATTGCTTTTGCCATGTTCCAGCCTCACGAACCCCGTTTTGTTTAATTAATTCATCTTGATATGAAATATTACCCAAAAAATCCGTTTTTCACTTTCTGCATGCAATTTTAGAGAACTATTATACCCCAATGACTAATATCTCGTTAAGCACATTACTCACATATGTGTAATTTTGGATATGCCTTTGCTAATGATTCCTTCAAACTAAAATGGAAGCTTTTCTAACATTGGATATCGAGAATATACTTAAGGCCGACTACTTTTGGAACGCTCCTCGTATTGGGTAACCCGTGAAGGTCCGGGTTAGAACTGGTCTTCGGTACATGCTTGGCGTAAGAGGCGACTAACGGGATCGGGTGGTGAGGCTTGCTGACTTGTTTGACAAGTCACCGTATCCCAATTGCGTAGATCGATGCCCATGCTGTTGATCAGTGGATTGTCTGGTCCAGACCGCCGCCATATACGCTGTAATATTGATGAGTGCGGCGTTAAACAACAACCAATCAGACGCGTTACGTCACGTATATGGCGTGACGGCCGAATACATTCGGATCATAGAACTTTGTTTGGAGCCTAATCTATAATGTCGGATCTCTAAACGAAACTCGCTGTACGAAGTGGTCCAAAGGTGTCAGTAAGTCCGCGGAGGTTTACCAGTAATGGTTGTGTGTCGAGTAGCTGTTGCTCAGACATGTGACTAAAATTACGTGACTGTAAAAGTGGCACTTCAACAACATTACATTCCACATGGAACGGAAAAGTTTAAACAGATCCGAAATTAGCAAATGAAAAGTCACATTTGACTCATCAATCGGATCTGTGCGGATCGTGGGTACCTACTTTACTGAACGGCTTTATTTGCTGGTCAACACAGCACGCAGCCCTATGCAAGCTGTACGACAGCAGTCTGTAAACAATCCATTACCAGACACTCCAGTGATTGATTTCATACTTCGATCAACACAGTTCTAGTAATTTCACTTCAGACAAAACACTCCGTCGAGAGTGGAAGGTTGCGGGTTCGATCCCCGGCCGCGTCATACCAAAAGACGTTAAAATATTTATACTGTTAAAATATGGTACTTGTAATGGGTACAACAAGGACTGGTCGTCTCGGAGTCAGTAAAATGCTTAACTGTGGCATGGTATCTTAGTGAGCTAGCACTATAACACCAGCTGAAGCCTGGAATAGTACAAGCAGTCACACATACACACGCATGCACGTTGTCATATGAGCGAAAGATTGATTCTCAAGTACGACGTTATAAACCCCATTTCACCCCACCTCGCTTCTGACAAAACAAACGTTCAACTGCTTACGTTTAATTGGTTCTTACACCAAGCAATTAATCGAGTGGTAATCCGTTCTATCCTTGGTCCCAACCGTTAACTAACACAAATTGCTGATGTGGAATCAAACGCGGGTACTGGAGGTTTAACTTTATGCTATTTTGACACCAATTTACCATCAATGATGGAGCTTATGTTGAGCTTCTTCAGACTTCAGGTGGAATAATTCTGCATTTTATTGTTGTAAACTATGACAAACGTTGTCTCCCTTGGTAAGGAAGCTAGCCGGCAAATATTACTTCCGATATTCCAACTCCGTACAGTGTCTTGAGATGTCTTAGTGTGGAGATGGAATTAAGCACATAGGGTGACCAAGATGGCAAATAACATATTTTGGTGACAGAAGGCAATAGAGATATAGAATTTGCTTCTATAAACTGACAAATGAGCATAGAAAATCAGAGGCATGATATGATTTATTGATAAACAACCTCACGTTTCTAAAGAGACAGTAGCAACGTATCTGAATGTAATGGTAGAAATCTTCCAAAAACCATACGACAAGAATGCCTGTTTGCACTGGTTTGGACAATGTTACATGCAGTAAAGATGGTGTGCAATGTGCAGCTGCATTAACACCATTGTCAGTACCAGTCGTACCTGGATGGCTTCACAGCAATCACAAATTGTTGGTGCAAACTTTCCTCTCACTGTAACTGGGAAGTTGTTGAAAGCGTGAAACTTCATACAGTCGATTATACAAGTAAGACCTCGGGCAGGTACAAGGTTGTACTTCTGAAAAGCCCATTCTGGTGGAAAAAATTAAAGACCTGATACGAGGTCCTACTTTTCCAAAGTAACACATCCTGATGTAGAATGACCCAAAAGAGGTTATTCCTCAAATATCTCGAAAATACAATTCAATAGGAAAGATTTTCAATAATTTATAAGTCAGACATGCAAGATGAAAGGTCAGTGCGTCTATATCCAAACTGCATCACAATGTGGACCATTTACTGAAGGTGCAGAAAGACCAAATTGCCAGCTTCCAAAGTACAGTTTCAAATTTCATGTGCATGGTGGAGTACATGTATTTGTGTTCCTGCCACACCATTATGTGTATTGGAAGGTACTTGTGTGTGAGCAGCGAACAGGGAAGATTCTTGTCAAAGATTTCAAAACTCTGAACATAGGAAGGTTAAGAACTTTTATGGGTACGAGTGAGTGAGTGATTTGGGTTTTACACCACTGAAAGGATATTCCAGCAGTCACACCCTGACGACATCAGACACGGGTTTCACACATCGTACCCATGTGGGGAATCAAACCTGGCTTATGTGTTTTTCTGACTTCTGCTGACCATTGAGTAGAAATGATGACCATCTGGTTCTGTGGCGCTTTAAAGTGAACACTGGTGGCCATTTTTCTCAAATATGCCATTTTCTTGCCAGTTTCATGAAAATCTCACAATAGGTTGGTTACAATCTTGGCCCAGTTGGTTACAATAATTTGGTTCAAATCCCAAAATTCATTCACAAGATTACCACTGGCGTTACATGTCACAAAAACTTTTGCTTTTGAGCACCTATTTCCAAGAACTATACTTTATCAAGAGTTTAGTGCTAGGAGTTATATTGTGTATTCTTCGGAATGCAGCAAATGTTGTTTTTTTTCCATTACATACATATGTGTGTACTGTTGTGTTTTGCAACACATAAAACCCTGCAACTTTATTGAATCAAATCCCTGATTGTACAAGTATCACATATGCACAATAGCATAGTGAAAGCATACAACGTTAAGGAAATTTTGTGAAATACCCATTCATAAACTTACTAACAAACAAAACAATAAACATGCAAATATCTATAGATCCAAATTATAATTCATCTTCAGGCACTCCTGGTTGTGGCAAGAACAAATAACTGGAACCAGTGGTCAGGATCGTTGCCTTGGTCATTGTATCCTGATTGCCTGGATCAGTGTTCATAATCACTGGATTTTCTGGTCCTGGCTAGATTACTTGCAGACTGTTTTCACACAGATGGGATATTGCTGAGTATATTTAAATATCAAAAATCATAACAATAATCGATGTCGTTAAATTTCAGGTAACCTTTATACGAAGATGGAATAGCTAACTGATCAATGCTTCTGTCTTTCTTAGGTGGAACAGCTGCTCGTATAGCAATACGGCAGATTTCTCTCAGAGTCCTTGGCTGATGGAGGTACCAGTCCAGTAATGATTTCATTCTCTGTTGAACATTTTCTTGCAGGCACTCGAGGTACTTATGGAGCGCCTCCATATTAGCCTCCTTGATAGGAGCCCCTGCAGCACGTAGCAGTTCTGTTATACTGATGACAACATCTTCTGGTATTCGTCGGGACCTTTTTCTACGTGTCACACCATCACCTTTGAAGAACTGAAATAAAGGTGGGAATGTCAGTGCTTGAGTTTTGGGTCCTTGCATTTCTTGTCCTTGAGATTCATGTCCTCCAATTCTTTCACCTTCAGTTTCAAGTCCCTCTGTATCTTGCTCTTCAGTTTCATTTGTCTTTGCACCCCAGTCCAACAGCAGCTTGGCCTTGTCCAGTCTGTAGAGACGACAAGCCATATGTAAAGGCCTCCAACCAAAGTTCCCAAACAGCTCATGGTTCACAGATGCTCCTGCACGGATAAGATATTCCATAGCTTCAGGAACATTCTTGGCATCATTTTCCATTACAATCGACTTCAAGGCTTCATTGGGCGACCCTCCTTCAGAAATCATCAGCTCCAGAAGCCTACCATGCCCAGACCCTCTCCCACATACATAAGTCAGTGTGATGAAGTTCTTGTTGAAAGAAGCACCATGTTCCATGAGAAACTCCACCATTTCAACATTTCCGCGACAAGCATGTTCATGAAAAGGGTATCCGTTGCGCCAGTTGACATCACTCCCAGCATCTATCAGCATCTTGGCTATAGGCAAACTCTTCACAATACACAATGGTGAACACATAAAAGCATCCATCAGATCTACAACTGCACCTTGAGCAAGGAGCAGACCTACAACATCCTTGTTATTATGTTTACAACCATAATGTAAAGCTGTTCGTTGTTCGCCATAGGACACATCATTGACTCTGGCACCCGAATCAAGCAGTTTCTTGACAATCCCTAGATTGTTTGTTTTCTGATCTGAAGCATAGTGTAATGGCATGATGCGCAACTCTGGATGTGCATAGTTGGGATCTGCCCCGTGTTCCAGCAGTAGGGTCACAATGTCCTCCACGTTCCTCTGGCATGCCCACACTAATGGGTTCCCATCCTTCCAAGGTGCTTTGTTCAAGATGTCAGCAGCTTCTACAGTGTGGTCCTTGAGGAAGTCCTTTATGTCAGCCAGTGTCCCATCCTGCACAAGCGACTTTAGACAGGTCATGTCTACCTCTAGGGTGGAAGGAAGACCTTCAACGACAAAGTGACATTAAATCATAAGTGCATTACAACTTTTGGAACATTATCTCAAATAACTTTTCATTTGTCTTTTTTATAGATGTATCTAACCAAAATGTGTAAGAGATGAACATACTGTTCAGTTGAAATTACATTTAAATTTTGGAATCTAAACATTTCTCAGACTGTTCATGGAAATGTACCTGAAATCAACACACACACTACTGTAACCTTCAATGTTAAATCATCCATGTAAATTAATGGTCCCATGCAATCAAATGCAATAGCACATCAGCAATGCATGTTGGGTTCTCTTGTCACGCACGTGTCATGGCAGCCACACGTATGACAACAGTATCTCTTGTCACACACGTGTCATGGCAGTCACACGTATGGCAACAGTATCTCTTGTCACGCACGTGTCATGGCAGCCACACGTATGGCAACAGTATCTCTTGTCACGCACGTGTCATGGCAGCCACACGTATGGCAACAGTATCTCTTGTCACACACGTGTCATGGCAGCCACACGTATGGCAACAGTATCTCTTGTCACACACGTGTCATGGCAGTCACACGTATGGCAACAGTATCTCTTGTCACACACGTGTCATGGCAGTCACACGTATGGCAACAGTATCTCTTGTCCCGCACGCGTCATGGCAGTCACACGTGATGGCATCAGTATCTCTTGTCCCACACGTGTCATGGCAGTCACACGTATGGCATCAGTATCTCTTGTCCCGCGACGTGTCATGGCAGTCACATTATGGCATCAGTATCTCTTGTCCCACACGTCATGGCAGCCACACGTATAGCATCAGTATCTCTTGTCCCGCGACGTGTCATGGCAGTCACCGCATTATGGCATCAGTATCTCTTGTCCCACCGTGTCATGGCAGTCAACACGTGATGGCATCAGTATCTCTTGTCCCACACGTGTCATGGCAGTCCACGCATGGCATCAGTATCTCTTGTCCCACACGTGTCATGGCAGTCTGCATTATGGCATCAGTATCTCTTGTCACACACGTGTCATGGTAGCCACACGATAGCATCAGTATCTCTTGTCACACACGCGTGTCATGGCAGTCCGCCGCGAGCTGGCAACAGTAAACAACCCGTGGAACTACAAAAAAAAGACGTTAAAATACTGCACTTGTTGGTCCCTGCCTGGCGCTTTCGCCATTAATGGGTACAACAAGGACTGGTCGGCTCGGAGTCAGTATAATGTGTCTGAGTGGGGTATTCATGCTTCACTGCGACATGGTATCTCAGTGGGCTAGCACTATAAAACCAACCTAAGTCTGGGCTAGTACAAGCAGCCGCACATACACATATTATTGCATGCATGCACGTAATATGAGCAAAATATTCTCAAGCACGATGTAAAACCCACTTTCACCTCACCTCCACCTATAATCAAATACAAGCTATTTTTTCAGTAAAATGGGTAAAATGTTGCATAGGCTTTATAGTAATGTGTGTGCCCTTGAGACACCAAAAGAGAAATACTATTATGTTAATGTTCATGTTAAACCAAACTTGGCCAAAACTCTTGCTTCTGTCTATTGCCTTCTCAGGAGAGTCACATCATTGGAAAAGACTAGTAAAGAACATCAGGCTTTTCCAAAGGTCATGTTAAACATGTCATCTTGTACGTTGCCTCAACCAGGAGCTGACCCTGGTGTGTGATCCCTTGGCCTCCTCTTCCTGGAGGAGAAATCATGTTTAGAAGCATTTCCTGTGAAATGTTCAGAAATCAGGACATGGTCCCGAAAGAACCGTACCTTATCTCGTGTCAGGAAACTGGTCCGATCTGGTTTCCTTGATAACTTGCCAGATGACATTAATTTGAGTTTATTTTTTAGCAAAGATAAGCTCAGTATTCCAAATGGAGTACGGTTGTGTGAAAGAGCTGTACATAATGTGTCTACAGAGAATTACTTTTCTAGTCAATGCAAGAAAAGAAGCTTGGGACTGGCCTGAAAGGACACTGGCTAAATCTGGACTTTGCTCTTCCATTTATAGGTAAAATGTTCTTGATCCTGGTGGTTGTTCATCCAAAGCTGGTGAATATGTTTCCACATGTCTACTGCAACATTGGGTTGTTCAAGTTCATATGTTACGCACGGTCTGACAGTGAGGAATGCAAACCATAATCAAATGGCTCAAAAATGCATTATTCCATTATTAGAAAAACATATTCTATGGGTATGTATAGAGCTATAGTCCATCCCATCTACATGCATAATGGTACCAATACTGGCGCACTATGCATTCTGAGACAATAAATACAATAAGTGATTGGGCCTTTAGCTGGTACAACTGATCCATTACAATAAATTTACATAACTATTGGTGCAAACCTTCACGTGTAAGAACTATCACATAGTGTGCTGGGTGGAAGATGTGGTGGGGAAGGAGGGTGTGGTGGGGGAGGAGGGTGTGGTGGGGGGAAGAAGAAGAGGAGGTGGGGGAGGAGGTGTGGTGGGGGAGGGGTGTGGTTGGGGAGAAGAGGATGTGTGGTGGGGAAAAGGAGGTATTTGGGAAGGAGGGTGTGGTGGGTAAAAAGGAGGGTGGGGAAGGAGGGTGTGGTGGGGAAGGGGGTGGGGAAAGGAGGTATTTGGGAAGGAGAGTGGGGAAAAGGAGGTATTTGGGAAGGAGGGTGTGGTGGGGGAAGGGAGGATGGTGGGGTGGGGGAAGGAGGTGTGGTGGGGAGAGGAGTGAATGGGAGGTGGGGGAGAAAGAGGATGGTGGGGAAGGAGGGGTGGGGAGGAGAGTGGTGGGGTGGTGGGGTTTTGGGGAAGGAGGGTGTGGTGGGAGAAGGAGGGGATGGGAGGGGGAGGTGTGGTGGGGGAGAAGAGGAGGGTGGGGAAGGAGGTGTGGTGGGGGAGAAGAGGAGGGTGGGAAAGGCGGTGTGGTGGGGAGAAGAGGAGGATGGGGAAGGAGGAGGATCACGGTGGGGAAGGATGTGTTTGGGAAGGAGGAGGTGTGGTGGGGAGGAGGGTGGGGAAAGGAGGGTGTGGGGGGGGGGAGATATGGTTGGGGAGGAGGAGTGTGGTGGGGGAAGGAGGGTGGTGGGAAGGGTGTTTTGGGAGAGGAGAGTGTGGTGGGGGGGACTGGGACTGACTGACTGAGTTTGGTTTTACGCGCTTTTAGCAATATTCCAGCAATATCACGTGAGGGGACACCAGAAATGGGCTTCACTCATTGTACCCATGTGGGGATTGAACCCGGGTCTTGGTGTGGCAGTGGTGGGGGGGGAGGGAAGAGGGAGGGAGGAGGAGGTGTGGGGGAGGAGGAAGATATGGTGGGGAGGAGGTGGAGTGGGGGAGGAGGAAGATAAAAGGTGGGGAGGAGGGATGGGTGGGGGAAGGAGGCGTGGTGAAAGAAGATGGGTGTGGTATGGAAGGAGGTTGTGGGGGAAGATGTGGAGGAGGGGGCATTGAGGGGGAGGATGGAGGCTGTGGTGGATGAGGAAGATGTGGGGGGGCAGGGTCTGATTCTATACACATCTGTCAGTTGTTTCTGAAATTCAAAACATGTGAAAATAGAAATATCAACTCACTGCGTTCATCCATCCTGTGATTATTTCCACCTCTTGCTGACAATCACTCTTTGTTTATTATTACTGACATACGTCCTCCATGAAATTATCTGCAATGAAACAAAAGCAACAGTAACAAAATCACCGCTCTAACAGGTAATATATAAGCTTCTAAGGATACTGACAAAGCACATTTATCTCACTAAAAACTGACTGATTTCAAGGTCCTGTCCTCATTGTTTGAAACATTCATCTCTAGGTTTCAGACAACCACTTGCTCCCCATAACCAGCTCACTCATCATGTTAACTGCCCTACTCCTTTACAACCCTCTACAACCCTATACAACCCTTTACAACCCTCTACCATCTGGACCAGTCCATAAGCAATTTTGACAGGCATCCCAAACAATTTTCTTATGTATATTTTCATGTACAATAAAAGTGACTTCTATTTTTCAGATGAGGCCATTCTCTGTAAGTCCTGTAAAGTGGTATTCAGGATGCCGTAGTACAGTACACTTGATGCCATCAAATGATTTTAGAATTTAGGAATTTAAATATAGATTTTTTGTGATTTCTTCTTGCAATTTTAAGAGTTACAAATACTTAAAACATTTTGTCCTGAGTTTATGTGTATGCATCTTTATGTGTTCTAATTGAAAGTCCCAGTCTGATTTATTGGTGAGGGGAGGTGAGGTGAGGTGAGGGTGAGGTGAGGTGAAATGGGGTTTAACATCGCACTGAAGAATACTTAGCTCATATGACGATGTGCATGCGTGTGCATGTGGATGTGTGGCTGCTTGTACTAGCCCAGACTTAAGTTGGTTTGATAGTGCTAGATCACTGAGATAACATGCCACAGTTAAGCAGGAATACCCCACTCAGACACATTATACTGACTCCGAGCTGACCAGTTCTTGTTGTACCCATTAATGCCGAGCGCCAGGCAGGAACCAACAAGTACCACATTTTAACGTCTTTTGGTGTGGCGCGGCCAGGGATCGAACCCACAACCTTCCGCTCTCCAAGCAGATGCTTACTGGTGATGGCTGTGTACACTGATATGACTGGTGTGAGCTGTTAATGGAATGCAAAGACAGGTTTCCTGAATGCTAAGATTTGGGGGTCGGTGCCTCCAGATGCAACACTGGTGTCATTCACATATGACTAATCACCTTGTCCACATCAGATCAGGTTATAACCATGAAGAAATATGATGCTTTCCCTATAACTAATTCTACCCAGTGTGAGCTAGTGTCAGTCATCTGGATAGTTGTATCACTTGATACCCTGTAAATCTCCTTGATGTATATTATATGTTTAAAAGTGAAATATCACTGTCCATATCAGGCCCAGAGGCTCATAACATGTATCAGTCTGTACACTTTTGTTTCCAATGTAACGGAATATTTATGATGTCACAATAAAAGATCTGCAATGTCAGGTGAACACTTTCTTTGATCTGCAATGTCAGGTGAACACTTTCTTTGATCTGCAATGTCAGGTGAACACTTTCTTTGATCTGCAATGTCAGGTGAACACTTTCTTTGATCTGCAATGTCAGGTGAACACTTTCTTTGATCTGCAATGTCAGGTGAACACTTTCTTTGATCTGCAATGTCAGGTGAACACTTTCTTTGATCTGCAATGTCAGGTGAACACTGTCTTTGCTGTCTTCAAGAATCAGTACCTATTTATCAAAGCTTAGGGTACAGTATAAATATGCCTGGTTCGCATGAAGCCAATCCTTCTTACCCAGTGTTCCCTGCAGCTAGCTGAGAACGTCTTCCCCATCAAACATCTTATACAGTCCATTCATGTCTATTTAATGTGTTTCATTACTGAGGAGTCTACACATTTAGATAGACATGTCATAACATATTTAGCTTTCAGTGTAACAATATCCTAAAACATGGAAAAAAACATTTCCATTTACTTACGGTCCATATGCTATCATCGAGAGGAGTGCCAGTCAAATCGACCCAGCTACAAAATGCATAGAATGTAATATCAAAGTTGACAAAAAATCGATATTGCTTCTGTGAGATCATACAATATCTCCTAGGAGATATCATTTTCACAGTAGATTTTGTACAATGCTATGATGTCATGAACTTGATGACATCACAATGCTATGACATCGCTGCACTGCAAGTCTAATGGCAGAACTGTGTTCAGAGATGTACATTTTTCATTGAAAACTAATGAAAAGTGATTTTGGATGATAAATAGAATCTCACCCTCGTGTCGTCTGATATCAAATATATCAACACTTGTTGAGAAAAGTAAAAATATCCTTGGTAACTTTATCAACTCTGTGGTGATATATTTGATATCAAAAGACACGCGGGTGAGATTCTCTCTATATATCAATATGATCCCGCAAAATGATATATATGACACACAGAAAGCTTTGCGTTTGGCATGTCTATCCATATTTCTGTATAAGTGTGTTTGTTTACACACAAGAAAACAGTCCCTCACATGAAGCAGAAACATCTTTCGTTGAACAATGCGAAAAGCTGAGTAAACTCGGGGGTTATCAGCTGATGTTTACGAACAATGCTTTAGGACGATGCATAGGCGCCCGGCTCTGATATATTTATAAGTATGACCTATATATATAAGACATAAGATATATATAGGTCATACTTATAAATATATCAGAGCCGGGCGCCTATGGCACGATGGTAGTTTTGTACATTGAAGGCATGACAATATTATGACTCTCTGGTTTCCACACCACGCACCGTATGATTGCAAGGCACCCAGTGTCTTGACACTTATCTTGTGTCGGGAACAGATTTGTGTGTTAGGATGTGTCAGGATACAGCCATTACAATTTACAATGGAAAACGGATGATCATAATCTCCACAAATATACGTACATGGTTCATGATTGCATTATACAACATCCATAAAAATGTTCTTGGGCGGACTGACAGCTAATGTGGAACTTACGTGTTGCTGTCGACATGAGGTTGATATGGTGCAATTCGCCCGTCGGGAGTTTCCTCCTTCCCCTCAAGTGGGCGATGTCAGCTCACGAGCGGTAGACTGTGAGTGCTCTCCCTTTTCGCTGTAAAACTTCCGGGTCCAGAATGAGATGTAAACATCGCTGAATCGCTGCTCTACACTCGTTTAACCTGTTGCGAAATCTATGGTATTTGTTTCTGAAAAGAACACCCAAACAACATTATTTTGGATTTTGGCGGATTCACCATAGTTTAGTAAACTGAGATGGACCCCGATCAAACCTAGTATTGTGTATGGTTTATTATGACAGTTGAATGGGATATATATGCCGTTTGACACATAAGTGGCCCAAATGAACTGCTTAACCTTTAGCCTGCTGAATTAATTTCAGCATAAGGCGTTGTAAAGAGGGAAACATAGTTATGAAATATCTGGCCGTGAAAAGCGATTAACGTCCGCTCATTACAGAAAAAGACGCTCATAAGCCTTATTTTTCGTGCAACCATACTGTCATGGCCCTATTGGCTGAGATCGATCTTTATCATAACCAGTTATGTATTGTAATTTTCTTTCGAGTGTATACTACGCATGACACATCAGATGCTAACAGCAACCTCGTGTTTTTGGGTTAGTGTAAACTTTTATCGAACCAAACTGCTTTTAAAGATTTTTTTTCCGTGATGGGCCGAGCACTACAGACAAGTTCAAAGACGCATAACCTATATATTTGGCAGGCAACCAATCTGCCTCCTAAATCATTTACCTTAGTGCCGGTCTAAACGGACCCGCTATTTTTATAATAACAGTCAATAACTGACTCGTCAAAAGCGATCACTATTAAATATCATGCTGACTCAAAAATATACATACTTATTCTATACACATTGATCAGCATTTTTAACTAAGGGACACACACACACATGGATAGTGTTGTTTACATTAACATAGATGGATTGTGTTAACAAGTACCAAAAATGTCATTGTACATCGTATCCCACAACTACAATCACATTCAACTATGAAGCTCAAGGCTTAAACTGGTCTTCAGCAACCCATGCTTGTCGTAAGAGGTGACTAACGGGATCGGGTGGTCAGGCTCGCTGACTTGGTTGATGCATGTTATCGTATCCCAGTTGCGTAGATCGATGCTCAAACTGTTGATCACAGGATTGTCTGGTCCAGACTCGATTATTTACAGAGTATATTCCATATAGCTGGAATATTGCTGAGTGTGGCGTTAAACAACAAACAAACACAAACCGAGTGGCCAGGCTCGTTGTCTTGACTGATGCATGTCACTGACAGACAGACAGACAAAAGAGTTTATTTTTGTGTCACGTGAATGTACATCAATTAAAATGACAGTGGTTAAAGAACATAGAATATACAAACAGCAGGCCAGATGGCCAATGAGACACACTAGACAATGTGTGCATAAAATGTATAAAATATAAGATTAAAATATAAAAGGAGTACCACACATTTGAAAGCACTAGGGAAAAAAAATGTTTGATCAATATGTTATTGGGATGATATTTTACGCTGATACATACAGGTAACTAAAGCGGCCAGTGGATTAACACTATTTTCTGTTTGTAAGAGGAATGCAGCTTGTTTAGCCTTTGATAACTGAGCAAAGTTTGGATGTAAAATACTAGCTTTTTGAAACAAATCATACCAAGACTCTGTCACTGTATCCCAGTTGCATAGATCGATGCTCGCGATGTCAGTCGATTGATTGTCTAGTCCAACTCGTTTATTATGTTGTTATATTTTATATCAAGTGTCTTAAGGTATCTATGTTTGTGTCATATATAACATGTGACACACAAATAATAACACTCTTTCTTCTCCGTAACCATACGCAAACGCACTTTGCAGTCATATAATTAAATAAATATACCACACTCCATTGTTGCTTACAAAGCTGTGATAATTTCATTACTCCTATCTGTTTTAGATATAATATCGTGCCTTGTGTCTCATAGGCCATACGGCCGGATGTTATATTTTACTGAATGTTTAAAGTCTATGTATGTTTTATTAATAACATGTGACACACGACCCGTGAAGATCCAGGGTAGAATAGGTCTTCAGCAACCCATGCTTGCCACAAAAAAGGCGACTATGCTTGTCGTAAGAGGCGACTAACGGGATCGGGTGGTCAGGCTCGCTGACTTGGTTGACACATGTTATCGGTTCCCCATTGCGCAGATCGATGCGCATGCTGTTGCTCACTGGATTGTCTGGTCCAGACTCGATTATTTACAGACCGCCGCCATATAGCTGGAATATTGCTGAATATAACTAAACTCATTCACATGTGACACACAAATAAAAATATATTTTTTGTTTTTGTTTTTGTTTGTTTTGAATATTGCTGAGTGCGACGTTAAACAACAAACAACATAATTGCTGTTTTGGTGGCCCGTGTGCTTCCCTCTGACATGCAGCAACAGGCCTGTCTTCTGGGGCGTTCCTGCATGATCCTTGTACGCTGCAAACATGTTATAGTAGCATCGTTTCGTTGGTTTGAATGATCCCCTTTCCCATGGCTAATCTAGAAATAGGATTCGGTCTACTCGCTGGTATCAATAATTTAATGTTACACTTTGGGGTTCAGGGGGGTTCGAACCCAGGATCCGCCTATGCATTACACAAGCATATTCATACTTGACCAGGGATGTCTGCAAACAAGACATGGTGTTTGCTACAGGGTATAAGTACATGTAAAAGTTTCTCAATGTGAATGTTTAGGGGCAAGTATAGGAATATGAATGCCGTCTATGGGACCTGCACAGTTTGGAAATCCCCATCTTTCTTCATAGCCAGGAATAACATTTTTCAAAGATTCTCCTTCAGGGAATTTGACATACTCGGCGAAACCGATTTTCATGATTGCTTCGCACACTTGATAAATACAAACCCATACCGTTGATGTCCTGTATTCAGCCGATGATGCCATCCAATCGATTGCAATCGCAACTTTCTTGTGGGCGTGAAGTGGTTCCTCTACTGTATTTGACAAGGGAGACAGATAATCTCTCAGTCTATTACATATCAGATGGAACGTTCCTTTCTCATTCTGAAGTTTTCAAACCAATCTGTTTCGTTAACTCGATGTAAAGTGATGCTATCATACCACTGTGTTGATCTAGGTTTTCTTCTCACGCTCCTGTCAGTGGTACATCCAAGAATCAAACCCGAACACTGAGGTAAAATGGCAGCTGTCTGTTTCTGCGGTGCATTTGTAATCTTACCCTGTCCATTGTTATGTCAGAAATGAATGTTGTTCAATGATGTTTTTCAGTTTGCTTATATGTCACCCTAACCTCGTATGAACGCGTAGCATATATACTTGTACTCATAAGTGTAAATCTGCTTACATGAGCAAATCTGCATATATGCTAAACTTCGTCGTATGAATGGGGCTTAATACTAGTTTTTCGAACATAGAATCTTAGGTAAGTGAACCCTCCTTGCACCTACGAAATGTGCAAATGCATGGTTCCGACAAGGGTGTCAGATATGGGAACTGGATAATCCTTACCCTTGGAGATCCGCACCCAAGCGGTTTGGGCAGATTACGAGCAAATTATATAGTAGGCTACGTATAGTCTGTTTGCAGTGAAAACGTACCGATGAATGTCACTTTAACCCAAAAAGTAAAACAAATAAAGTGAAATTAAGACTGCGAATCCTCATGATTGTACCTTGCCAATTGAACATTTCAATCTCAGAATTTTATTCGACTTAGAATAAAAGTTGTTTAACAAACGATCATAGTTTCACATAGTTATTATTGGTTTGTATTACAAAGGGGTATGCACATCAAATGAAACACCGAAAACGACAAGGTTTGTCATAAGTTAACGCTCTTCACGTACCGCACGTGCATTTGTTTCACTGTTCCAACTACTGCGCTTACCCCCCGCGTTTTACCCGCGCTCAAACATATTTGGAGGGAAAGAAGGTCCGTAAGTTGACTGCTTCTGACAACTATCATCGGTCTTCAAGAACCAGAGATCTTCACTTTCAAGCCAAGATGTACGTCGTTAAACGAGGTTAGTATTAATTTTAGCTGTCGTTGTTTATGTTTAACGCGTTCAATACTTGTTTTTTGTGATCGACAGATCAGTTGTTTGTGTCGACGAACAAAACTTGAAATATAGTCAGGTCAGTAATAAATGTTTGTTTTTTCAGATGGCCGTCAGGAGAAAGTTATGTTCGACAAAATCACTTCCAGAATATCCAAGTTGTGCTATGGACTTAATATGGAATTTGTTGACCCGGTATGAGAGATGATATTCTTTGTCTGTTGGGATCTGTTGATATATGGCGGGAACTTGAAATTTGAAGTTTAAAAGTACCCTATTGTGCAGTGCGATTATTTGCAACTTATTAACTTAAGATCATCACTGGACGTGTTTGATTTCTGTAATGTGTGTAAAAATTATTATTTATTTGCATATACTTTGGGACCTGTGACATATATGATATATTTAAGATTACACTTTACTGAGGAAGTGCAATCCCAAATATAACATATGTTGCATATGTTAATAATTTTAGTATATTTGTAAATATTATTTGGGATGGGTGAACGGGAGGAACTCTTACCCTTTTGACCACTTTCTACTGTGTAATCATAATTGGGCACCTACAGGTTCTATCCCATCCCAGTGGAAGAAAGGTATCATCATCCCAATCTTCAAAGGCGGAGGCAAACCAAGGACGTCCCCAGATTCATATAGAGGAGTGACTTTGTTGCCTGTTATGTCAAAACTCTTCGAACAGGTCATAGCGAACCGGATCCCACAATTCCAAGACTCCAAGGATTTCCCTGATCCTCTGCAATGCGGCTTCCAGAAAAGCCTCTCGTCTCTTCATGCATCATTCCTCCTTCAGGAGACAGTCTACCACTACAAGGAACGGAATGACTCTCTGAAAGTGGTGTTCTTGGACAGTAGTAAAGCCTTCGACACTGTGTGGCATGATGGGCTACTCTGGAAGTTGAAGGAGTTGAACATTCATCCAGGTGTGTGGCGCATTCTCTGCAACACATACTCTGGAATGGAAAGTTGTGTTCTTGCCAATAATACCTACTCATCCTGGTTTAAACTCGACCGTGGGGTGAGACAAGGTAGTGTCCTTTCTGCTAAACTCTACTTGGTTTACATCAACGAGCTTCTGACGAACCTATCACATCTTAAGAAGGGAGCATTCGTACTGGATCTCCACCTCGCTGCTCCAACTCAGGCAGATGATATCTCACTGATCAGCCCTATCAAAGCTCATCTACAATCTATGGTAACAGAGTGTCAGAACTACAGTGCCAAATGGCAGTTCACATTCTCTCCTTCAAAAAGCAACGTATTGGTCTTCAATCCGCAAAGAAACACCAAGTGCAATATCAAACTTTATGGAAAGAAGTTACCTGAAGTGGACAACACAAAGCATCTTGGCATTCTTCTCGACTCACACCTTAGCAGCCACACTCGAACATCAAACGCAAGTTCAAAGATGAAGTCAGCTGCAATGATGCTGATGAAATCAGGCCTACACAACAGTGGGCTGAATCCAATTACCAGCTCCAATCTTGTCAAGTCTGTGTGTCTACCCAAAGCCTTGTTTGGGTGCGAATTGTGGTCAGGGTTGAAAAAGAGCGACATTATCACTGTCGAAAGGGCACAACGATGCTGTTTAAAGATGTGTCAGGGGCTCCCCAAAACTACTAGATCTGACATATGTAACTCCCTGATTGGATGGTACTCGGCAGAATCACATATTGACACAAAGAAGCTGTTTTTCCTTGGCTCCTTGTGTAACAGTAAGAAGCACCTACTTTGCTTCAAACTCTTTATCTCACGCCTGTTTGCGTTTAGAAACTGCATATTGAAGACAAGAACAGGATTTATACCAGATATAGTTCATGTACTTGAAAAATACAAACTGAGGCACTTTCTTGAGAATTTTGTCTCCTCCGGCATCTTCATGAGTCAACTCTCCTGGAAGAAGATTGTAAAAGACTCTGTCATGGAATACGAGAAGTCCTCCTGGAACCAACGAATGACATCAGATCCAGATCTCAGACACTTCAGGACATTACACCCCTCGATAGAGCCACACCCAGCTTGGCTACTTGCCAAAAGATACCCCTCCTTGATACAACAATGCATCTTCACAGTACAATTGTGTGCTCTTTGGCGTCCTTGCCATTTGTATGGACCTTGTGATAAATGTAGTGTGAACTGTGCAGACCTCCTGATCCATGTCCTAACATCGTGTGAAGCTTGTGCTGGCTGCAGAGACCAACTCTGGTGTGACATTATCAACGTGGGCCCAGTGGAGTTGAGAGTGCAACTACACAACAAGACTGATATGGACCTGGGCCCACTTGCACAGAACGATCTTAGCGCTACAATTATTGTAAGTCCTTAAGATCGCGATCTTAGGCTTCGGTTACAATCGCCATCTACTTGCACAAAGCAATTGTAGGCTAAGATTATTGTAAGTTACAATCGAAACTTACAATTGGTCCGGACCAATTGTAAGGAGCTAAGATCATTTTAGTCATTTTAGAAATGGCATTCAAATTAGTGTCTGTTTCACGCAAATAATCAGCTTTACGTTTGGAGATTGCATTTATATTGCATGAAACTGTGTGGTTCGCCTCGACATTTCAACAACACGGAGAATGCACAACTGATTTAACGTCGGATACATTGTTATTTACTGTAGTGAAACACATAACTATCGAGTCGATATCACATAGTACTATTCCCACCCGATTCAATGTTGGAATAAGTGTGAAACAACATATATATATCTTCTTGATAATCAAGGAAAGGATAATAGCGAATGGTGTCCGCGTGCGATTAACAATGGCCGTGACCTTTTCATTAACTCAAGAGCAGATAATTTTACTTTATACGCAAGATGGGAGTGGTTTCCCTTGGCATATGCCGTTGCCGTACAGTCTCTCATGCCCAATTGCAGAGCTCAACATACTGATATCTCTTTTCGGTCATGGAGTGATTTTGTCTTAGTTTATCATTAAAGTAATCTACAATTAGATACAAGTTAACGTGCAAAATCAAGTTTCTTTCTCATCCATAAATCTAAATTTGATTATGCAATTTAAATATATACAAGTAGTCATCAAATAGGGATATACACATGATGGGGTATTAAAATTTCTGTTTCAAAAGAATTTCACTTTAAGAAAAATATTAATCAACGCAATAGGGTTAAATAATTAATATACTGTGAATACGTATTTAATAACTACTCTCTTGAAATATTATTTAATGCACGTATTTCCCTGCCAAGCATTCTTTACAACACTTCTGTAGCCATTATTTTATTGTATTTTATTCTCGGATATATTTAGGATTTTACAACCACCCCCAACCCCACCGCCACCAACAGCTGCGTTTTAAACAATGTCTCATTGACAACCATTGGCAAATCATACATTTAGGTGTTATATCATAAGGAAATACCGTTTATATTTGTTATTTTAAGTTCCATAATTAAGTCACTAAATCTAGATTCAAATTTATTCATGTATTTTTCGTATTTCAGTATTTTCATAAAACATGGGTAGGTATTTCTGTGGTTGCAATATCACATTCTCAGTTCATAAATCAAGACAGTTAGAATGTAGAAAAATATATGCTATCGTCCACGTAATCGGTTCCTTCTAAGATTTCTGGGACTTTTTCATGAAAATTCTGCAAGGTGCGATTGAGGGAGGTATGTATTGTGTGCTGGGACCAGTATCACTTTTTATTTGCGAAGCATGCTATGCGCACTTTCAGACAACTGTAGACGGGAGTCGAGTTTAAGAAATTCGTACCTCCACCGTTGAAGGGTTCGATCTTAGCTAAGATCGCGATCTTAAATACATGCCGTCTTACAATCGCTCTAAGATCGGCTTTGTGCAAGTGGATTAGGGCAATTGTATGGTGATTGTAAAGTTGATTGTAAGGCCCTAAGATTGATTGTAACTAAGATTGCTCTGTGCAAGTGGGCCCTGGTGTGCAGCCTACTTTCCTGCCGCCCCCCAGTACTGCTCTCTGGCGAGGAGACTGAGCTGTACACACTGACTGTTGTTAACGACTCTACGCGACCTGTAATGCATGAATATTCTATGCGCTTCTCTTGTTAACTTAAAACTATCTTAACTTTTCTCGCATTCCCTTGTACTCTCCATTGGAGGAATAAAAGTGTATATATATCTGATACATAATTTAGTTCTTAGATTCCCATATTCTCCTGTTAGTGTAGATGTATTTTGACTAATTTTGCATTATTATTAATAGAGTACTAGCCATATCTTCAAATGTAATGAAATTACTGAAAATAGTACCACTGGATGCGGAAGTATTTTGTGACGCAGTTTCATAGGATCTGAAAAGTGGACATTGCATTGGATCTACGGTCCTTCGACTATAACATTATGTTCAGATGTAGAATACATTTAGATCTGCTGACACTTGTCTAAATTCATTTTCCGCCTTACTACTGATTTTGTGCCAGTGTTGGCACACCTACCCACTCTAAGACACACATACCTTTCTAACGTCATCCGCGAGGAAAGTTTAGAATATTTGCAATACGAGATTTAATTTGTATGCGTGCCTCGACCGATGTCCACATGTATAAATTACCTGCATATTTGTGTCGTACATACATCAGAGATGATTTTATTCGCTCACAGTTTTCTGACAAGCTTATAATAAAAATCTTTGTCGCATAGGGAAATTTGGGTGTGCATTTAAAAAGCGACGGTCCTTTCACGCAAATAAAACGAATATTTACGTTTACTATTATTTCTCGTGAATATTGATATCAAATATGTACAATAACAGAAAGTAAGAATTTGAAAAAGAAGTTTCCAGAAAATATGAACAATTTATATTTTCAAAGGTCTTTCAAGCGCCTGCATAACCGATTTTTGAAAACGATACAAAATGTGTTTTGGATGTCTTCCGATGAAGGATAGCGCGGTCGTCTAAAAATAGCAACCAATGGAAAATGACATAACATTGTCAATGTTGGCTTTTCGTAGGCCTTCTCAGCCATCGTCTCTGCGATATGCGAGACGGGGCCCAGCTTAAGGGCCCAGCGCAAGTTGGCGACGCGCATGGAGAGCCGAGAACCAGCGTAAGATACGGCCCCGCCTCCGCGACCCTCCGCGACGACTAAAATCGCACTTTGTGATCATCACGTGACATTTTACCCGCGCTCAAACATATTTGGAGGGAAAGAAGGTCCGTAAGTTGACTGCTTCTGACAACTATCATCGGTCTTCAAGAACCAGAGATCTTCACTTTCAAGCCAAGATGTACGTCGTTAAACGAGGTTAGTATTAATTTTAGCTGTCGTTGTTTATGTTTAACGCGTTCAATACTTGTTTTTTGTGATCGACAGATCAGTTGTTTGTGTCGACGAACAAAACTTGAAATATAGTCAGGTCAGTAATAAATGTTTGTTTTTTCAGATGGCCGTCAGGAGAAAGTTATGTTCGACAAAATCACTTCCAGAATATCCAAGTTGTGCTATGGACTTAATATGGAATTTGTTGACCCGGTATGAGAGATGATATTCTTTGTCTGTTGGGATCTGTTGATATATGGCGGGAACTTGAAATTTGAAGTTTAAAAGTACCCTATTGTGCAGTGCGATTATTTGCAACTTATTAACTTAAGATCATCACTGGACGTGTTCGATTTCTGTAATGTGTGTAAAAATTATTATTTATTTGCATATACTTTGGGACCTGTGACATATATGATATATTTAAGATTACACTTTACTGAGAAAGTGCAATCCCAAATATAACATATGTTGCATATGTTAATAATTTTAGTATATTTGTAAATATTATTTGGGATGGGTGAACGGGAGGAACTCTTACCCTTTTTGACCACTTTCTATTGTGTAATCATAATTGGGCACCGTTCATAATGTGGCTTAGGGGGTACGTGATGTTGAATGTAGTGGAGGTCACCCATTTTTTTCTGGGAAGGTTAATGTCATCAAGTTTGTACACATGTACTATAAGGGTGGGGGGTGTCCAGCTATTTTGTTTTTGACATGCAGGGAAGTGGGGGTAACTTTGTGCATTTCAGTTTCTTAGCTTCATTAAATGACATCATTTGGCAGTAAAAATGTTTTTCAAACACAGCTGTATTTTGTTCTTTTGCTGACAGAAATGAATATTTGATGATCAACAAAACATTCTTGTTAGATCTGAAGAAGTACATCAGTTGTTTTTAAATAGCAAGAGTCCTACTTCAAAGTTGACTTGTATGACCCATTTGGTTGGAATTTGATATGGCAATAGTACTATGTGAAGATAAGAATTGTGTCTCTGCTGTCTACAATGGTTAGTCTGATGTTGCAGACCGCCATAACTCTGAAGGTGATCAGTGGTCTCTATCATGGAGTGACAACCATCGAACTTGACAATCTGGCAGCAGAAACAGCTGCTACCATGACAACAAAGCACCCTGACTACGCTCAACTGGCTGCCCGCATTGCTGTCTCTAATCTTCACAAGGAGACAAAGAAAGTCTTCAGTGGTAAGTTTAACATCCAGTCATGCCCCTTTGTCACAATTCAGGCATCTGCAGTGGACACATGGTGAAGGAACTGTTCTCTCTGTGCTGCATATTTTGACCCGTGAAGGTCCGGGTTAGAATATTTATCTTCCGTAACGCATGATTGTCGTAAGAGGCGACTAACGGGATCGGGTGGTCAGGCTCGCTGACTTGGTTGACACATGTCATCGGTTCCCAATTACGCAGATCGATGCTCATGCTGTTGCTCACTTGATTGTCTGGTCCAGACTCGATTATTTACAGACCGCCACCATATATCTGGAATATTGCTGTGTGGGGCGTAAAACTAAACTCACTCACACTGCATATTTGAATTCCATTTTGTGATCCTTTATATATTAGTTGATCAATGTGACCACATCTTATGATAAAAAGTTGTTTGCAAGATTTAGATATTAGCAAATTCATTTGGTAAAATCTCTCTGATGACAATTATTTAAAGTGAATTAATGTTAATTTTCTTTTCCAGATGTGATGGAGGATCTACACAAATGGGTGAATCCAAAGACTGGGAAAAAGTCCCCAATGATCGCTGACGACATCCACGAAATCATTATGAAAAATAGTGATGTAAGTCCAACCACGATGAGCTCATAGTGGACAGAAAAAAAAGAAAAAAATATTTGCTAAAAATACTTTACTAAGAAAGTGTAATCCCAAATATAACATATGTTATAAAAATATTTGCCAGGTTAACACATGATATTTCCATCTGAAGTCAGGATTCCATCTTTTTTATCTGCATTTATGCAAACTCGATGTGGTAATTCTTGTTGAAAAAAGTCAGTTGTAAATTGTTTGTCTACTTCATACTTATACCACAGGCTGTTTTTAATGAAATATGTACTTAGTTTGCTAGGGTGTGATTGTCACTGAGCCGTTGTAAGGCAGACAAAGAGTGTTTAATGACCCACACAATTCAACATAATGTGGAGACCATGTTTTAACTCCTTGTGTTATCTTTTACAGAAACTGAATTCTGCTGTGATATATGATCGTGATTTCAACTACAACTTCTTTGGGTTCAAGGTATGTGGAGCTTTATATTTCAGGCTCGGTCAGACACTTTTAAGTCTGCTGGCTACGCTAGGATAAGATATAGCTTTATTATCCCGGAGGAAATTCTTTTTGCATCACAATGGTCTCAAAATGAATGTGTACACAATTCACAAAAATGTACACAATAATTACATGGAAGGTAATCGAAAGCGGCGTCCAGAAGTAGTTCAAAATGGTGAGATAAAATATGGGAACTGTCAATACTAATTTAAGTTGCCTTTTTAACAATCTGGGGCTCATAGATAAAGGGATTCGTTATCAGTAGAATTTGATATATGGATTTTTATCAGTTGAATTTGCTGGATTGAACAGAATTTAACTCGGCTTGGGCTTGAGGCCCAAGGCTTATGTTTGAGACTTCCTTTTTGTTTTGAATAACATATGGAGAAAAACAAGATATATGCTGCAGAAAGAAGGTTAATTTTATCTAAACTGTTCATATTTGTTTTCCTCAGACTCTTGAACGATCTTACTTGCTGAAGATTGATGGAAAGGGTAAGTGTCCAAGGGAGGCAACTCAATACATAATCCAACCATGACGTGACCTGCCATTAAGATCAAGTTCTGACCTTACTAGGGCTGTTGGCAAATAAATTGTATTGCAATAAATTGCAATTCAGGTATCCTATTTCGATACGTATTGCAATATATTGGGAGCTCAAGTGTTTCACAGTGACAGACAGATTGTACATGCAGAGCCTATTTCCTACATACTAAAGCCATAAAAATACACTTAATGGTCTTGATAACAGAAATTTAGATTTGATTTTGAGGAATTATTTTTTTATATATAAATTATATGTAAAGTATGCTGTTTTGTCAATTAATCACAACGAAATTTTCAGTGTGAATGAAAGTCTGTGTAGATATCAACTTAAACCATAGTTAATCATAAAACTTCATGTTTGCTAGTGTTCGGAATTGGTTAAAATCTCATAATTGATGATTGGTTTATTACCACCGATCAATCATCGAAAATAATTGGTTAGCGGCATTTATGAAATTTGTTAATGCACACAAAAAATAAGGAAAAAACCCTGTTATTTTGGGGGTGTTTTGGGCAAAATTTCACATCTTTAAAGGATGACTAGTATGTTAGAAACATAAATTTCTTGGTGTCTTTAAGATGAATTCAATCATGACTTAGTAGTGCTTATGAAATGTAATAGATAAAACCAACCTTGTGAAAAATATTGTTGATGAAAACAAGTGTTCCAGAATTGTTTGTGTTCGTTTATGAGAAAACATGATCGATTGCTTGGTCGTTTAGTCACTGCGACCAAACCTTGATTATTTCAATTAATCGTACCACCACTAATGTGTATATTATTCCCCAATTTGCCGATTCTGAGAAACATTGTAATACATATCATTTGAAAGGCATATTCAGTTCTGGGTTGACTCCTTACTCAATCACAAATTAACTCCGTGCCTATGTGGCGTTTACCTGGCAACCAGTCACACATGCACATTACCTCACGATCAAAGACATATGCTAGCCTGCAAGTAAGGATACAATTGTGTACTTTGTGAAATGGAACTAGTTGTGTATTTACAAGGGACATAACTCTCTGAGCATACTTTGCATACCACTAGAATGTAGGCTGGTATGTTAACCGCAGGTTAACAGAAGAGAGTGAGTTCGAAGACTGTATCCTAATCTTGTTAGGTTGTTTTTTTTGTAAAATCCGACTGAAATGTATAGTCAGTGAGTTTAATTTGGTATTTTACACCTATTTCTACTAGTATGGCTCCAAATAATGAAAGACTTCACTGGTGTTTAGTGTTAAAAGAAGGACACTTCTCATACCACTCCAGTTTCAGAGTTACTGTTTTAATATAACTACTCCATTCTTTCGACTGAATGTTGTTAGTGATTAATTATTGTAATATGAAAGACTTAGGTGTGTTCTGTAACATCTTTTCAATTGTATATTAGAACGAAAAACTGCAGTGACACTAATTCTAATATGGGAATTTTAGTGAAGAGTGAAATTTTCTTTCCATGCAGCGATGGGTATGTATGTTGCATTTTTTAAATCTGATGTTTCAGTTGCTGAACGTCCTCAACACATGTTGATGAGAGTTTCGGTGGGCATCCACAGAGATGATCTGGAAGCTGCCATTGAGGTAGGTGCAGACACCTGACACAGACAAAAATTTGTTTTCCAATAATGTAAGAGTTATAAACAACTCTAGTCACAAAGAAATCGATATTCTTTGACTTTGGTAGATTCTAGAACTTTTATACTGCCCCACAACAAAGCACACATGTGGTCTCACTTTAGGCAAGTGTGTTCAAAATTGCCTCTGTTCACCCTGCAGAAAATGGGTACCCGGGTGGGATATGTTATGACTACCTGCTAGCGCCTCACACGCAGCTTGAGTTAACCTGGGAAATGATTTCCATCATTAGAGCTTAGAGCATGTCCTGTGGCGTGGATTCAGCGCTATGTAAGTGGCCATATTGTAATTTTTAGTGGAAGTCATTTGTATCCCGGTAAAAAAATGCTCTTATTTCAGACTTACAACCTCCTGTCCGAGAAGTGGTTCACACATGCCTCCCCAACTCTGTTCAATGCTGGCACACGTCGACCACAACTCTCCAGGTAAGTTTTTAACAGCTCTTGTCATCCCTGAATTATCCCCTTTTTTTTCTCTTCATTTCTTATTCATGATTTATTAATATGCATAAAATATTTGACGAGGAAATTGTTGATGCATCAGTCACATACAACATTTTCTGGCATGACAAAGATGACCATGGAAACCAGACTTTCAATTCACATACTGTTGAACTATCCAGTAATCAGGGTCTCTGATCGTTTGTCAGGTTCAAACATGCAAGTCCTACTGTTGTACCTGTGAAGATCCTGGTTAGAATTACTCTTCAGTAACCCATGCTTGTCGAAAGAGGCATTTAATAGGATCGGGTGTTCAGGCTCACTGTGTCGGCTAAAGCATCCCATCGTATCCCAATAGCGTACATCGATGCTCATGATGTTGATCACTGGATTGTCAGATCCACACTCGAATATCTACAGACTGCCGCCATATAGCTGTAATATCTACAGTGGCATAAAACTAAACTTCGCCACTCATATAGCTGTATATATTGCAAAATATTCAAGCAATGTGGCATAAAACTGCAATGTGGGGAATCGAACCTGCTCATATAGATGGAATATTGCACTACAGATAGCGGCTGCCATATAGATGGAGTGAGGTTTGATAATTTACCATTATCACACTGATTATTCTTAAGCTTGGCATCTGTATAGATATACAAGTTAAAGCATAGCTTAAACATAGCAATATTCAAGCAATATCACTGTGAGGGGGACACCAGAAATGGGCTTCACACATTGCACCCATGTGGGGAATCAAACCCTCTTAGGCCTTGGCATATAGATGGAATATTGCTGAGTCGGTGTTAAACATCAACCAAACCAAACCTGATAGTTGCCAGGTTAAACATGCAAGTCCTGTTGCTTGAGAAGCGGGGAAGTACTGCTGGTGTTAATATTGCTTGTTTGTATAATATTACTAAAACGCTTATTGCTTCTCGCATTGACTGATTATTCTTAAAGCTTGGCATCTGTATAGATATACAAGTTAAAGCATAGATGCAACAATAGGAACAACACAATAAACATAATTAAAATATGCGCAATTATCATTTATTCATGACATAATATACATTGCTGATTATGAAAAAACAAAAACAAAATTTTTTTCTTCGCTAAAGCGTTGTTGCAAAAATGACATCAAATGTGCAATAAAAACTTTTTGTACTTGGGTTTACTTCCTCGAAATGAAGCACCGGGATACCAAACCCAGTCAGAGTGGGTGGGCGGGCACTAAGTGTAACAAAGACTTTCATTGGCTGGTTCAGGACATCAGATAAACCAAACCTGATAGTTGCCAGGTTAAACATGCAAGTCCTGTTGCTTGATAGATTAGAAACGGGGAAGTACTGCTGGTGTTAATATTAACTTGTTTGTATAATATTACTATTATTGGAAAATGAGGCAATCAGGAAAAGCAAGAGCCATTTTTTGAAAGTGATACAGTCTATCAAATTCATTATGCTTTTACTTGGTATTCCTAAACATGCTGATTATTCTTAAGCTTGGCATCTGTATAGATATATACAGGTTAAATCATTTCCTCCCAGTCAATAGTGCCATCTGCTTCTGAGATGCAACCAACAAAATAAACATAAATTAAAACGCAATCCTTTGTTGTGTGTATAGGCATCCCGGTTCAAAACACAGCCACGCTTGAACCTATTCACTCTGCATGCACTATGTATGTGCAGCAGCAGCACAGCTATTGAAACCACTTTTCACCCCAGCTGGGTTTTTTTAGTGAATCGTTTGAACTCTGATTTAGTGATGATTTTTTCATTGCTTTATTTTTCAAATTTGGAAGTTGAATTTGCATATTTGATAATTTGTTACTGTAAGTCCATACCGAAAGGTATCACAGAATCTGTAAAGTTGTGTTTTGCGTTGCATGTAAGCTTTAAACTAACATGAATGAATACTGTGTATTTCAGCTGTTTCCTGTTGACCATGGATTCTGACAGCATCGATGGTATCTAACGACACATTGAAGAAATGCGCTCTCATCTCCAAGTCTGCAGGGGGTATTGGTCTCAACGTCCATTGTATCAGATCTACGGGCAGCTATATTGCAGGCGTGAGTACAGTCGGACCGTTAAGATTGCAGAGTTTCACCTGTCTGTTAAAAGGGCAGCCGTGATTGTTATTTGTTTTGTAGTGATGCACAATTTATAATACTTGTAATAGTGTTCAAACCATGGTAATCTTGGGCACTCATAATAACACACTGTGTTTCTCCAAAGTTACAGATTTAATGATTCATGTGGCCACCATGACTAAAAATATTGGCACATTCAAATATTTGCTGGTCCTGTCAATTAACTAACATGTAATTATTATGAATAAGGGTGAAGCTTGGATACATGTAGAGTAGGAACTTCCAAATCTCCTGTAGAAACAAACACATTTTTCATAGACCTCATTCATAAGTGTAAAACTAGATTTTGACCAGATTTTTATTTAAAGAAAATGTCATTTGCTACAGGTCCAGATGATAAAATTCTGTCAGTAACTTACCAGATGGTAAACAGAAATGATGTTACAGAAATGTAATAACTGCCTCATGTTCGCTAAAGCAAATTTTATCATTAGGCAAGTGAAAGTCATTGAATGCTTGCCTTGGGTTCCTTGAAAATTTCAGAGATTTCATTTTGAGCCTGTATTGTAGTAATACTTGAATCCGATGTTCTCTGCTTCCAGACCAATGGAACTTCTAATGGCCTCATTCCAATGTTGAGAGTGTACAACAATACTGCTCGCTACGTCGACCAAGGCGGCAACAAGGTAACCAATTAACTTGAGACAAGTGAGCAACTGTAACACGGCACATAATGAATTGGAAAAGTTTTAATTCTAATTTTGGAGGTTTTACTTACTTTTAACAGTTTTGGGGCTCGATATTGGCCTACATGTTGGCCGAGATAAGTCACTGATATTAGTAATTAAGACTCGAGCCATTAACAGATAAAGGCGTGTTTGACTCAAGCATGAGATATAGGGGAATTGCTTGGTTTAAATTACTATTCAGGGGTGGAAATAACTCTAAAATTGCTAGTGTACTCCGGTACACTGGCACATGTAAAATCACTTGCCCTGATAAGTTTTCCACTATACCGGCCGTTTTCTTGTTGATTTTTTAAATAAACAACATAATTAATATTGGAAAGTCAACTGGACATCGGTACAGTGTGATATACAAATTTGCTTGCCCGACAGAAAAACACACTGGACTCGGGCGTCGGGCAATGGGTTATTTCCACCCCTGGTATTGGAGCAACCCTCAAGGACCCCAACACCTTAAGTTGTAGCCAAATGATTAAAGTGTTCGCCCATCACTCTGAAGACCTGTGTTAATGTGTGAAGCCAATTTCTTGTGGTCCCCCCATGATATTGCTGGAAAATTGCCAAAAGCACCGTAAAACTAAACTTACTCATGACCCAAACATGCTGAACACTGCTAATAGCTATTTAGATAATGATACATTCATTCATTGATTTTGTAGAGACCGGGTGCGTTCGCCATCTACCTGGAGCCATGGCACTCGGACATCTTCGAGTTCCTGGATCTGAAGAAGAACGTAGGGAAGGAGGAGACGAGGGCCCGGGATCTGTTCTACGCCATGTGGTTGCCCGATCTGTTCATGGAGAGGGTGGAACAGAATGCAGAGTGGACTCTGATGTGTCCCCATGAGTGCCCGGGGTTGGCTGATGTGTGGGGAGAGGAGTTTAAGAAGCTCTATGAAGGGTAGGTGCCTGTGAAGATGCGTAGACATAATGAATTTACTGGTGTTGTAGGATGGCAGGTCAACTTCTCCAATCAAATTTTTCGACTTTCCGGTAGCACTGGAAGGGGGGTAACTCTATCAACAGTGTTAACGTTTGAGATACAGTTGATTGTCTGCCAGTGGCAGTTATTTCGCTGTCGATGAAAATATTTACATTTTCAATTCTATTTAGTGTTTGTTTTATGTAACATTTAATGTAGGAATCAGTATTTTTAACCCTGGTATGTAATATACAGTGATATAGTAATCAGTTTATCTGTCCATCCTGCATTTTGTCTGTCAGTCCATGATCAGTCTTTTGCTGTTAAGGGGTTATTAGAAATTATAAAACAAAATTCTGTTTCCATGGCAACATAAGTTCACAGGGATGTTTTTCCCATAACTGTTATTTGCTTCTGCATGCACAATGCAGAATTTCATATATTGTGTGACATTCAAAAATTTGTATCTTTGCCACCAAATGAACTGACATACAAATATTATGGTCCATGATAATGGTGGTAGTTTTGTGATCGTTCGGTAAATACTCTTGTTGGTCAACTGATAGGAATACTTTCACAAAGTTTGACATTTCACCTTTGTAGAAGGTCCTGCTGTGATATATGATGATTAATTCTTTTGAATTGTGGGAACAGGGGGATATGTCATCGCTTGTTTGCAAATGTGACTTTGATCAATGCTTCTTTTGGAAGAAAAACAATTGATTCACCATTGCACTGGTGTATTGTAAATTCTTCCAAAATGTGACTTTGATGCTTTGTTTTGGAAGTAAATAAAAGACTGATTCACTGGTGCACTGGTGTTTTTCTCCATCTCTAATATATAGCTGAAAGAGTGTTCAATTGACATGGATTCTTAATGCTCAAAGCAGTCTTAGTCACAACTTGCTCACTTCTTCAGGTACCAGAAGGCTGGCAAGAGTCGTAAGGTGATCAAGGCTCAGCAGTTGTGGTACGCCATCATCGAGTCTCAGACGGAGACCGGCACCCCCTACATGCTGTACAAGGACCACTGCAACAGGAAGAGCAACCAGCAGAACCTGGGCACCATCAAATGCAGCAATCTGTGTACAGAGATCGTTGAGTACAACGCTCCTGATGAGGTGAGTTGTACAACACACACTGTGGGCAATGGAAGCGGACCACAACACTTGCAGTATTTCTGTTCAGTTATGAATTTACCAGTTCTCTTGATCAGTAGCTTTTTTAAATACCAGTACATTCGTTATTTAAGAGAAGAAATATTTTGATACATGTACTTACTTAGTCTGTAAATAAATGCAGTGACTGGTAAGGAACACTTTACCAACTGAAAATAATTGGAAAGGTGTGGACATTTATGACAGAATAACATTTTAACTGGATCTTGTGGCTTGTTATTCAGAAGCAGTTCTCAAGGATTTACTTATCCTGTTGATAAAGCTGAACACATTTTATGCTATTTGTCCTGACTAGTCTTTTTAAAAAACCTAAAATTCTTCTGCCAACTCAGGCCCCCAAAAACATGTTGTGGTTCCGATTAAACCTCTTACAAATTTAGCGTAGGTAGGTCGGAATTTTTTTTGTTTACATTTTTTTTTTTTTTAGAAGTAAAGTACAAACTAATAACACATATATCAATGTATAATTGTTAGTTCAGTCCAGCCTGCGGCCATCATATCAACTTTCTCTATCAGCAAAAAAAAATCAATGGTATCTGAAAGCTTATTTTATTCATTCCACTTTAAAAAAATAGGGTCGGCACCAGAATTCAAGGGTCGGTCGGGTAATCGGAACCACAACATTTTTGTTTTAGGCCTCGGCTGAGATGAACAGTCATTCATGAGATCAATCACTGGATTTGTTCTGACTAGAATATCTACAGGCTGCTTTCATGTATCTTGAATGGTACAGTTTGGCTTTAAAACAACAAACCTTTACAAATCTGTTGAGCATTGGAAGTCACAAGGTATGTTCAATTGAATATACGGCAACATGATGTATTTTCTGTTTGTTATACAGGTCGCTGTGTGCAATTTGGCTTCAATAGCCCTGAACATGTATGTGAAACCTGACAGAACGTATGACTTTGGCAAACTGCGGGCGGTGACCAAGGTTGCTGTGAGGAATCTCAACAAGATCATCGATGTCAACTACTACCCAGTCAAAGAGGTAAGCACATGTGACAACCCCTAAAGTCTTATATGATGTTAGTGACAAATATCAAGCCGTAACAAGTCACTGCTCCAGGTAAACCCATGTCCGAGCATTTCACTGAACAATATTAGTGACTGTGAAGTTAAGAATGTTTGAGAATACCCCATTATGAACGGCAGAATCAATGAGTTGTTCAGAGGCTAGCATAGCTGGAATAGTGTTTGCAATGTATAACATTAACTCACTGAGCAAATTTAGACCTTTGTTAAAATATTCTCATTATAAGCAATAAAGACAAAACTGAGAGGGTTTGTGTAGATTTCCTACAAATTGGTCCTAATATGTTATTGTTCATTATATGTGAAATATGTAGGGTGTTGTTAGCCCAGTGAATAAAGCGTGAGCATGTTACCCCAAAGATCTGGGTTTGATTCCCCACATGGGTACAATGTGTGAAGCCCAGTCCTACTGTCCCAATCTGTGATGTTAATGGAATATTACTGAAATACTAAATATTGCCTAACAAATGGAATTTCTATATTTATGGATAATCTCATTTCTACAAATATCTACAGGCTGAAAACTCCAACTTCCGCCATCGTCCAATCGGTCTGGGTGTTCAAGGGCTGGCTGATGCTTTCATCCTGATGCGTTATCCCTTCGAAAGTGAGGAGGCCCAGTTACTGAACAAGGAAATCTTCGAACACATCTACTTCGCTGCCCTGGAGGCTAGTTGTGAGCTGGCAGAGAAGGAAGGACCCTATCAAACGTACAAGGGGAGCCCGGTCAGCAAGGGGGTAAGTAATTTAGATTAATGGCTTCAGTGGCTGTAAGATTCCAAAATATTTGTCAGTCAGATATAAAGATGTCTTCATCTTGTTTGTTTTTTCAAACTTCTGAGTTTTCTGTTTACTTATATTTATTGATATTTAGCATAACAGTGATGTAAAAGTCTCTTGCTCATGTTGGCTCATTTTCCAAGCCATAACCTTTACACAGACATAAATCAGAATGTTATAATTTCTACCGACATTTGCTGCAAGCTTGGCCAAATATTGTGGGCAACTGTATATATATTCTTCTGCTTTGATGTAGCCAGATTGCAAATCAGATTTAGTCTAACAAGTGTAAAGTAAGCAAGAATAGGAAGTGCAACATTTCACTCTACAGAGGGTTTATCCATGTTTGTTGGTTTTACCTGCTCCGAGACCTGAGTCACTTCAGGCTTTGCTCCATTCCAAGATATAACTGAAATAATTATTCCAAGGTGTGGGAAACCATCTCCCTGTCAACATTCTCTCTATGTTGCTGATGTTGTCTCCTTGCAGGTGTTACAATTTGACATGTGGGGTGTGAAGCCAGTCACCAAACTTGACTGGACAAGTCTGAGAGCCAGAATTGCCAAGTAAGTTTCACTTGCTCCCTTCTAGGTGTTGATGTACAAAGCATTCTTATCCCTAAGGTAAATAGAGAATACTACACGAGGTCTCATTACATACAAATTATACGAAACAAGTGTCCTTCCTGTGGTATCTGACCGAGCGAAAGCGAGGTCAGATAACATAGGAAGGCCACGAAGTTTCGTATAATTCGTATGTAATGAGACCGAGTGTGGTATTTTATTTATTACCCACGTCTTACATGCATTAAACTGACAAAATAGCGTATTTTTGTTAATATTTTGGTTTCAAACCCAAAACCGGTTTCATAAAGGGGTTATGGAAGAGTTTTGTACTGTAGTACAATATTTGCATGACGTCACACAAAATGACGTCACTGCCTTGGTAACCGACGTCACGATGCATGTCAGTTGTCATGGCCTCGAACAGCCTCCTATAGTAAACTACTCCGTAGCACCCCATTTCTTGGTTTGCAGTTGCTTCATTCGGCTAACATCACTGGTGGAAACATTGCATTTATGTTTTTCGACGGATATAATGTCTCAGTTCGACTAACAATTAAACAGCGACATGGCAACGTTCTCGATGCTTACATTCCCACAATGCATTTAAGTTGTAGAATGAATGAATTCACGTGTTTGTTATGAATGAAAATATAGTTATGTCAGAATGTGACCTAATTGAGAGGTCATCGGTTATCCAATCAAATCGTTAGAATCTCAGGTCAAGTCGTTACGACACAGGTCAACGCGATACGATTAGTATGCAACTACCCATACGTTGACCACGTGGGTAATAATTGTATCTCCTACATCTTAACGTTAATAACAGTCTTAGTTCTAAAGGTGTTTTGTGCAATGACAGTCTTGATTGTATTTGCTGCAGACAACATGCACCAATGCAACCTAACTTACATCTTCATGGCAAGGGAGTGAACTTTGAATTTTATGTCTCTTTCTTACTGTTGTCAGTGGCTGTTGTGAGTTATCTCCCTTTTATGTCCCTCATCGAATTTCACCTCACTTTGCTTGTATTTCCTTCAAACAAAGTTGTGGCGTCCCCCATTCAAAACCATCTCATTGATAATCAATCTCATCCAATAAATCTGTCATCACTTCATGGAGTCACTGCATCAAGTCATTTCAGCCCCTTGATTAAAAACCTGAAAGTCCTCACCTGTGCAGCCCAAACATGTCAGCACACAACTCATCAATCACCATTCGTAACTACTCGCCTATTGCCAAGAATCGTATCAAACCAATCAAAATTGCGCATAGTTAAACGCATTTCGAAGCAGAAAAATGGTGGCACCGTTAAAGTTTGAAACTTCACTAAACTATGCAAAGCACAATTTAAACATAAACTTTGAGCTAAAGGATCAGAAACTTTGAACACTGAAACATATTTACAAAGGGAATGACTGTTTTGCTGTTTTTCCCATGGGATATAGGATATTCTAGGAGCCATGTATGGAAATTTAGAGTTATCTTTCCTTGGCAATAGTACTAGACTATTTTCATCTCCATGCCCGTTTGTGCTTAGACAGGGCCCAGTCGTAAACATGGCCACGAGAGGGGGGTACGAGGGCCAACCACGAGTAGTTACGAATGATCAATCACTAGTGTTGGGAACTGGTTAAAATCGCATAATTGATGATTGGTCCATTACAACCGATCAGTCATCTAAAATAATTGGTTAGCGTCATTTATCAAATGTTCCTGTTGTCTTTGTTAATGCACACACAAAAAAATAAAGAAAAAACATGTAGTAATTTGGGTTCTTTGCAAATTGCACAAAATCCATTTGCAAATTGCACATATTTAAAGGATGATTAGTATGTTAGGAACACAGATTTCCTGGATTTTTTACGATAAATTAAATCATGACTTGGTAATTGCTTGTGGTGCTAATGAAATGTAAATTAAATGATACAGACAAACCCAACCTTGTGAAAAATATTGTTGATGCAAACAAGTGTTCCAAGATTGGTTGCGTTCGATTATGAGAAAACATATTCGATTGCTTGGTCATTTAGTCACTGCGACCAATATCTTCGATTATTTCAATTAATCGGACCACCACCCACTATCAATCACTTGTGTCTGTTCCTGCAGAATCCAACCATGTATTACTTTTGTCGGGATAAAGCACATCTACCCAATTATATATTGAGTGCATTTTAATTTAACCCTCACATGCTTCCCTTCTAAATGTTTTATCTATTATATTGTTCAGTGTTTGTTTTTTATCATTCTGTCATGGTATATGTGTGTGTTGGTGTATCTAACTTGAACCTTGTTTCTTTTGGCGCGCTAGAATGGAACCTAAATTTCCTTGGGGTTAACAAAGTATTATTATAGAAGTGATACACGTAAATCGTGGGAATGTTATGGATGTTAACTTCTGTAAAATGATTAAGAAACACAGCATTTTGGACAGTATTCTTAGTTCTTCATCAGGTGGATGAGAACTGATTGTGCCAATGATAACTTCCGTCATGATGTTTAAACTTAATGGTTCTTCTCTGGCAATTGAACTGGCGTGAATTTTGAAGGCTGAAAGAACTATGTCAATGTTTTTGCACATACTGATATAGAATTTACTGAATGCTGTTATTGTGCTGCAGACATGGTGTGCGGAACAGTTTGCTGTTGGCTCCGATGCCCACAGCATCCACAGCGCAGATCCTCGGCAACAACGAGTCCATCGAACCTTACACATCCAACATCTACACACGGAGGGTCCTGTCTGGGGAGTTCCAGGTATGTCCTCACCATCAACATATAGATGTCAGATTCATAATCACATTGCAGACCTTAAAGACTGTACCTGAAAGAGAATTTATAAGCCTGTACCTGAAAGAGAATTAGAAGAAGGACTTAGTGGTCATAATGGTGGAACAGTGGTAACACTTTATGTTTAACAATGTTTTGGCTGATTGTGTATCCGTCATTCCCGGTGAATTCTGTGTTTCTGCAATTGCAGAAAGATAAGCAGAAATAGTTTACTGCAGAGTTGCAGGAGAGCACAGCTTTTTCAAATCTGGCAAATATAATTCCAACTTACATAAACACCTTCCAGCTTCCCAATATTTGCCAACCCGTGTAGATCCAGGTTAGAATTGATCTTCAGCAATCCATGCTTGTCGTAAGAGACGACTAATGGGATTCGGGTGGTCAGACTTGCTGACTTGGTTGACTAATTGCGTAGATTGATGCTGTTGATCACTGGATTGTCTGGTCCAGACTTGATTATTTACGGACCACTGCCATATAGCTGAGTGTGGCGTTAAACAACAAACCAACCCACCAACCCAGAATTTTCCATGGTGTATATTTTGTGTAAGGGACACTGTTGTAAATATTTGTTTTGTGTCTTGCCAGGTGGTGAACCACCATCTTCTGAAGGACCTGACGGAGCGTGGCTTGTGGAACGATGAGATGAAGAACAAGATGATAGCCAGTGGAGGTTCTATCCAGGTAACAGGGCTGTCCCAATATGATTACCTGATTTAGTTATACATATTGCAGAAATTTCTTGACACCGTTTTTTGTCCCCTGCAACAAGTTGTGACGGGGGTAATAAAATGCACAGTTTCTATGCAGGATGTTGTTTCTGGAGCAGACCTAAAAAACTACAATATTTCTTCACCAAAGTTGGCACTCGGATCTTTTGATAGTTTGCCATTTTTAAAAATATTTTCCTGTCATAATATGCAGAACCTTTACATTAACCTTTCCAATAAAATTCTTGGAAAATATGTTTCGGATTAAAATATGCAAAAACCTTAATTTCTCACTTCATGACAACTTGATGTAGTTTTAGTTTCAAATTAAAGTCCTAAGAAAGGGCATAATGTTGACCTGTTACCATTGTCTGCAGGGCATTGAGGAAATCCCTGAAGACCTGAAGAACCTGTACAAGACAGTGTGGGAAATCTCCCAGAAGACAGTCATCAAGATGTCTGCTGACCGGGGTGCATACATAGATCAGAGTCAGTCTCTCAACATCCACATCGCGGAACCCAACTACGGCAAACTCACAAGCATGCATTTCTATGCATGGAAAATGGTATGTCATCTTTGCGTCAGCGTAGTTACTGAGTAATTGTTCTGTCAATCATGCTGTACTTAAGAAGTTTTAAGAAATCAATCCAAAGTACCTCAGACTTCTTTTGAGAATCTTCCTTGAAAATACAAGTTAAAATTGATCTTTCCTTGTTATTCATCAGAAGAAAATAACAGGATCAAGGGGGTCGGGCTTGCCGATGTTGTTGCATAGATCAATGCCCATGGTGTCAATCACTGGATTGTCTGGTCCAGATTAAATTAATTTTATAGGCTGAAATCATAGAGCTGGAACATTGCCAGGTGTCATTCAACTACAAAGTAACAAATAAAATCATTGCATTTTTATCCCACCGGCATGTAATGCGGTTGGATATAGTCATCGCCTCGTCCGCCCGTCCGTCCGTAATCATTTTGTTTCCGGAGCATAACTCAAAGACCGTTCGATATTTTTCAACGAAAATTGGTAGATATGTCAAACATAACCTAAGGTGGTGCCTTTTGCTATTTGCAGATTTTTGGCATTTTTATTTTTCCCGGTTTCCATGGAAACGATTCGGACTTAGTCCCAAAACGAGGGGTGGGTTTCGTTTCCGGAGCACAACTCGAAAACTTCTCCATATCTTTCAGCAAAACTTGGCAGATATGTGAGGCAGATCTTGAAGTGGTGCCTTTTGCTATTTGCAGATTTTTGGCATTTTTATTTTTCCCGGTTTCCATGGAAACAATCAGACTTAGTCACAAAAGGAGGGGTGGGTTTCGTTTCCGGAGCACAACTCGAAAACTTCTTAATATCTTTCAGCAAAACTTGGCAGATATGTGAGGCAGATCTTGAAGTGGTGCCTTTAAGTAACTGTCAGATGATTTGTTCTTTCAAAGATGTGGGGGCCGGGGGGGATATGTCATCTTCTGATGACTCTTGTTTTCTAAGACAGCACCTCATAGTTTTTGTGGGCTAGTATGTTTTCAAAATCAATGAACCGTGTCTGTCCTTCTCCACAGGGTTGCAAGACTGGTATGTACTACCTGAGAACAAAGCCTGCTGCAGCTGCCATTCAGTTCACTGTGGACAAGTCCAAGCTGAAACAACAGAAGGAAACCCCTAAAGAGAGCCAGGAAGAGAATATGGCCGCCATGGCGTGCTCACTGCAGAACAAGGATGATTGTCTCATGTGCAGTGGATAGAGAAATAAAACTTGATGATCGTGCCTCAAACATCTCCGACAAAACAAGTGCTTTCTCCTTCCCTGTCAGTTTCTCCCAAGTACTGTCTACAAACTGTTTGCTAATGTTCATTGTAAGTTGTTCATGCTCAAACTGCCCATGGCTGTAGTGAATCGTTACAAGATCATTTCCAAGTGTTGATGTAAGATTGCTTTCACAGAACCTTGAGTAAATAGCCGAAATATTGTGTTTTACAAATATGACTGTTACATTGTATTTGTTAACTGTCAGATGTTGCTATGGTTACTGTGTTTCAGTTCATGTCTAGTATATGATCAGCTGGAACATTTATCGAGTGCTGTAAGTTTGACATTGTTATGATTGATGGATAATTGAAGTGTAAGTCCAACATGACTCTTGTTATTAACCTCTATCTCATCCTCAGAGGAAGAACTAAAGACTATAAGTTATTCTTTTTATTGAAAACAAAGGAGATGGGCAGAATAAAAAAAATTTCCACTAAGGAAATGTGATGAAATTGTACAGATTGGTTTTCCTCCTTATCCAAAAGAGATAGCTTACCCAACCCCACCTCACATCTAACCGCGAGGAATGGAAGCGGTGTTTAAACAGCAAGTGGTGCCCAACCCATTATGTTCAGTGGTTTGGGTGTTGGATCGAAAAAAGCACCTAACCTGATGATTGTACTAGGATTGCTTGATAGGAATGTACTGTCTGATAATGATCATTAAAACAAGTGTACTAATAAAGGGAGATCGAAGGTGTGAAGGCAGTGTTTGGTGTAACATACCCTGACCCTTACATAGCTAACACTAAGGATTGAAGAGGCATGTGTGATCTTCTGAGTTGGTTTGTAAAACAGTAACCTGTGCTGTTTCCTGATATTGCTCAGCGAAAAAGACGAGTCTTTTTGCTGTGTGTTGTTTTTCAGCCACATTGCTGATACAGATGTGTATGATATGTAACAGCTGTTGAAGATACTTGAAACTGAAAGTCATTTGTGGGATTCACAGCTTTTGTTTGACATTTATCCTGATATAACAGTTGCTAAATGTCAAGAATGCATAATTATTTCTTATCCTGAAGAGCTTTCCCAGGTACTGCTGGAACCACGAACCAAGGTCATTGATTTGAAATTTGCTGGATTTCTTCTAAGCCATTTGACATTCCATTATTGCATTCTTCTTGGATCAAAATCTTCACAATGATCATCAACCACCAATTATCTGTCCTTCCAAACCTGTGGTCTGTGAACGTTGTTCATGGGTAGTATAAGTCCCTCCATCCTATGCGTGCCGTTAAACATTACATACATATGACATGTAGTTTTATTCAGGGTATACCTCGCATTTAGGTTAAAATGAACATACTTGTTTCAATTAACCCTGTTTGTCATTGTTTCCTTTGTCACTCCAATAGTTGTATCATAGCCTGAAGCCATCAATATGCCCGTGGCAGATTCTTCTGCATATTGCTGCAGTTATGCCAATAGCTGTTGTGACCTAATCTGAGAAAGTCGAATGTCATGTAATTTGGTGCTCATGGTATATAATTACTCGGGATAGTATTAGAGAAATGACAGCTTTGCAAAACAAGAACTCCCAATCACCACCCCGATCAGGATTTTATGGGACAAGTGTACAGTTACTTTGACACTGTAGTAACACTTTAACATTTACACTAGAGGGGTGGCCTAGGACAACCTAGTGGTCAAAACGTCAGCTCGTCTCACAGAAGAACCGGTTGGCTTCCCCACTGGTTACAATGCGTGAAGCCCATTTCTTGTGTCCGCTGCCAGAATATTGCTAAGAGCAACCTAAAACTCACCTTTACCCTGGTATATTCCATTAATGAATATCGTACTTGTGGCAATTGGGTATTAATCTTCATTCATTCAGAATCCCCTGGATCATAGATCATAACATCATTCAATGGAGTCTCTGGTCCAGACTTAATGTTTATAAGCCATTGTCATATGACTGGATTATTGACAGCAGGAAAACAATGGCAGCTGTCTGATAGAGAACTGAATTGGTCCCCAGCTTATGATGACTCCTTGTTCAAGTTTAAATGTTACTATTGTTACTGAATTGTTTCAGTTATTACACCAGTCAACATGATCTGATTCCTGTCACCCCATTTCTCTGTATTCAGTACCGGATTAAACTTTTTTGACAGGTTCACAACGTCCAGTGAATGTGCTGTATATAGAACTAATGTTTGTTGTATACCTGTTGCCATAGTAACTGTGTAGACCTCTGTCTTTATCTGTAAGTGCTTTTTCAGTATACCACCAGAGTATCGGACAAAATCTTAAAATCTAACAAATTCAAAGCAACTTTTAGGCATTTTATACTGATTTTGTGCATTAATTTATTACCTTCAGTGCAATAAATATACTGAGGAAACCTTGGCGTTACTTTTATTATTAGTACAAGTTGTGTTTTACGCAGGGCACAGGTGGCTCAATTAATGAGTTGTGTCCCTGTGTTGCAGAATCCGTAAAAGTTTGTTGGCATTGCAATTTCCTCCTGAATGTGATTCTTATTTTGTCTGCAACACCATGTTGGAACCCGTGACCATCCGTGTTAGAACTTTTTAGCAACCCATGCTTGTAAGAGGCGACTAACGGGATCGGGTGGTCGGGCTCGCTGACTTGGTTGACACATGTCATCGGTTCCCACTTGCGTAGATCGATGCTCATGCTGTTGATCACTGGAATATCTGGTTTAGACTATTTGTTTACAGACCGCCGCCATATAGCTGAAATATTGCTGAGAGCAGTGTTAAAATCAAACCAACCAACCTTCTTGAAAGATGTTCTTAGAAACCAGTGTCTTTCATATAGGGTGACTGGATGAAATGATTTGGATTTGCGGAGTTGCACCCCCTGCATACACCAAGTACACATCACTGGGAGTTCAAATCCCTTTTTGGCCCGATCATATTTTTGGAAAAAGGGCTGATCTGCTTGCTGTGTGTATACGTGTCTAGTTGGGTGTTCCAACTGAAACTGAGGCATGATGTTTCACTAGGATTCGTGAAGATCCGGGCTAGAATTCATCTTCAGCAACCCGTGCTTGTCGTAAGAGGTGACTAACGGGATCGGGTGGTCAGGTTCGCTGGCATGGTTGACACATGTCACCGTATCCCATTTGCGTAGATCGATGCTCATGCTGTTGATCACTGGATTGGTCCAGAATCTATTATTTACAAGCCGCCACCATATAGCGGGAATATTGCTGAGCGCGGCTTAAAACTAAACTCATTCATTCATTCATTTGTGCAGACCAGCACTTACCCTGTCTGAATGTTGTTGATTGTAAGTTTTGCTTGGAGTTTACACGAGTTGACCCGTGTATACTATTTGGTTTGTTGTAGATACTATAGTCCGTCAACTGAACTTTGGAACGTTTTTCACAATTTACATTTTAACCAAAAATGCCTTCAAAATGTTTTTATGCATACGCTCTTTATATCTTATGACCTATCTCAGGTTTAAATTTCATAATTTTATGTCAATTATTAAAGCTTCTTAAGAAGCCATCTTATAAAAATATGAAAAATAGAAGTAGTTATACAAGGGAGTAAAATGATACGATGGAACAGCAAACAACATGGTGTGACACGCGTGCATCTTGTTTACATTGTTACGCCTGCATGCAAATCTAAAGGGACTGTATAATCATCACAAATCCATTTTAAACAAGCAGATTTATTGAAGTCTTTAAATACTGGTTGCTCAATCTCTTGTATCAAGATCCAAATTTGAGCAACAGCTTGCATATGGTATGCTTTGATACATTGATGTCATGGTCTTCTTTTGAACAATATTTTCTTCAGTTTGCTTGACGATATGGACTCACTGGATTGATGTAACCGACGCATGACGTCCCTCACAACCCTTCATCAAGCTTTCTTTTCTTTGCATGTTTTGAGACGGTGCCCGATTTCATGTCATCGTCAGTCTCTAAAAGAGTGTCATGGGAGATAACTCTTTGCTATGTTCTTTTGCAGATCTTGGTGGCATTAATGTCTTTTGGAGAAACATTCAATTGAAAAAAGAGGGTGTTTTTCGCTTTGCCTTGCGCTTGAAAAAGTTGTAAAGTTGATGATTTACCGGTCATCTTTGTACAACATCGTTTTTACCACAACCTGTGTGTTGACGATCTTTGACATCACTTAAGCGTGCTAATGTAAATACCCGTGCATGTACATATCACGCTGACACATTTTACAATGTTGTTGGCTTTTCCATCACGTGCGTTAACCCTCGTAAAACTCTCCACAGTTTTACAATTATTATATGACAGGTTTAAAGGCAAAATCTTTAATAATCCTTTTAAAATTACTAAAATCGATATCTTGTTAGGTCACGGTATACAATTACCATTTGAACAGAGTAGCGGTTTAAAATATTCAGGATTTTTATGTAAATTGTGAAAAACAGGTTGCCAAAAGTTAAGTTGACGGACTATAGTCTGTATCAGGCCAGATGTTCGCAGATAACTAAGACCGACAATGTACATTTATGTATGGCAGGATAAACAACCAAAAGAAAAACAAACCAACAATCTGAAGACAGAATTTCTGACCATATTATGTCAGATCTGCCAAATACAATCATCTTAATTGTGTTTTACATAGAAAACCAATAGAACGTGCAGTGTACTTCAGGAAACGTTCATATCACAAATTAGTTTCCATTTACGAGCCAAGTGTTTTCACAAAGTAATCGATCAACCAACTGAGCAAAGTGATCGGAAGCTCACCATCATACAATTTTTAGTCAAACTGTTTCTGTTGAAAGAATTAGGTATTTAATATAAATAACCCAGGCCAGTTGAATAGCATACACGAGTACAGAGATCTGTTTGTTAAACGCCACACTCGGCAATATTCCAGCTCTATTGCGGCGGTGTGTAAATAATCCGGCCTGGGCCATACAATCCAGTTATCATGAGAATTGATCTACGGAATTGGGATACGATAACATGTGTCAACCAAGTCAGTAAGCCTGACCACCCGATTCCGTTAGTCGCCTCTTACGACGATAGTCGTATCTTACGACAAGCATGGGTTGCTGAAGGCCAATTCTAACCGGAATCTTCTCGGGTCCCAGTAACATAACTTTTGACACCCTGCACCCTGACTTCTGAACCAAAGCCATTAAATATAGTGGTTAAATTTGGATTAATGAAGTAATAGTTGATTTAAATGAAAGGTGTGAATTCTGAGTATTTGGGTATTTTGTTCTTACTCATTGTTATTTAAGATAGAAAATGGACAAATAAAATATGAAATATTTTTGTACTCTTTGTTAGACCAGTCATCGTTTACACGAGTTGCGTCCCTTAGGCGAGCATCTTATGATCCTCGGTTTAAATGCAGAATTCGCCCTGATTGCGTTACTTCATTTGTGAGCATCTCAACCGTGCTCATGGGTTTACCGTCTAGTATCCGCTGACCTGACTTTACCACACCTCACTTCACCTGAATTCTGCACCAGGCTGGGTTTGGATGCAGTGTCGCTTTTTCCGTAGTAAGTGAGGGAGTTGGGTTCTACGCCGCTTTCAGCAATATTCCACCAATATTACGGCGGGGACACTAGAAATGGGCTTCACACAATGTACCCATGTGAGGAATCGAACCCGGGTCTTCGGCGTGACGAGTGAACGCTTTAACCACTGGGCTACCCCACCGCCCCTGTTCCGTAATGAATAGTCAATACAAAAATTAGCATCCTTGTAAGTGTTCAGACAGATTTAAAGCAAATGAACTTACATACTAACGGAAAAAAGTAACTGTGCATAACATAAAATTTAAAAAAATAAAGTTATTTGAAAAGTTATAAAAATAACCCTAAATAAACATGCAGCAAACCATATGCGTGCACTTTGTGTATAATGAACTTCCTCAATTTTTGCATGCATTTTGACACCTGAAGTTCACACACCTGATATTGAAAAAAGTGAAGAACAGTTGATTATTTTCTGGCCTCCTAAACTGTGCATACGTCATGCCACGGCTTACAGAAAATCATGGGTATGCTGGAGACTGGGATGGCTCAAAATGAAGTGGCCAGACATTTTAGTGTCCATCGAAACACGATCTCATCTCAACATTTCAACATAATGGGAACACGAGACATTATCTTCGTACCGGCCGTCCACACATGACATCACGTCAGCAAGAGAACCACATTCGGCTGACCCATCAAAGGAATCGATTCCAGACTGCCAGTTTGACTGCTCGGACAATTCCTGACTTACGTCCAATCAGTTCCAGGGCCTAGATATTCGAAGCTCTCTTATCGCTAAGATAGTCGTAAGTTAGTTAACGTAAACTTACGACTATCTTAGCGCTAAAGATAGTCGAACTGTCATACACTAACATCTTACGACTATCTTAGCGCTAAGAGAGCTTCGAAAATCTAGGCCCAGGACTGTACGAAACCGACTGAGGGAGCACTACCGGTCCCGACTGCCTGCAATACGTCAAATGTTGCTCCAACGTCACCGACAGGCACGTCTTGCCTAGTGCAGACAGCATCTACGTTACCGATGACAAGATTGGGATGGTGTTTTGTTCACTGACGAATCGAGATTTCATCTGGACAGCTCAGATTGCAGGGCAAGGGTGTACAGACGGCGAGGTGAACGTTATGTTGACGCGTGCGTTGTTCAACGTCGACAGTTTGGTGGCCCGATACATTCTGTTACAAATGGCACATTTTTCATTCAAATTGTCAATATGGAAATCCATCTGCCACTGCCACTGCCACGTGCAAGTCGCTCTATCCATGGAAAGTGAAGGACAATACACATGCATACCTGTTTGAAATCGCAGCTTAAAGTGAAACTTTTTTTGACACTTGCTGAAAGGGGTCAGACAACAGGCCTTTTGGAATCTGGTCAAACTCAGCGACAGGTTGCTGTCCGCTTTAATGTGAGTCAGAGTGCCGTTGGTAGACTGTGGCAGAGATTTCAAGCTAATGGGTCCGTGGAATATCGGCCCAGAGTACAACAGTCCGAGATGATAGGCACATGATTAACACTGCATTATGTAACACATTCCTTAACGCAGCAGATCTTCAGACAGCACACTTCAGTCTTAACAATGTAAGGGTATCCAGGAGCACCGCTCGTCGACGTTTTCTCAGAGTACAACAATCCGAGATGATAGGCACATGATTAACACTGCATTATGTAACACATTCCTTAACGCAGCAGACCTTCAGACAGCACACTTCAGTCTTAACAATGTAAGGGTATCCAGGAGCACCGCTCGTCGACGTTTTCTCAGAGTACAACAATCCGAGATGATAGGCACATGATTAACACTGCATTATGTAACACATTCCTTAACGCAGCAGATCGTCAGACAGCACACTTCAGTCTTAACAATGTAAGGGTATCCAGGAGCACCGCTCGTCGACGTTTTCTCAGAGTACAACGATCCGAGATGATAGGCACATGATTAACACTGCATTATCTAACACATTCCTTAGCGCAGCAGATCTTCAGACAGCACACTTCAATGTTAACAATGTAAGGATATCCAGAAGCACCGTTCGTCGACGTTTACTCAGAGTACAACAGTCCGAGATGATAGGCACATGATTAACACTGCATTATCTAACACATTCCTTAACGCAGCAGATCTTCAGACAGCACACTTCAATGTTAACAATGTAAGGATATCCAGGTGCACCGTTCGTCGACGTTTCAAGGGCAGCCAGAATCCGCTGTAGGCGACCTTCAGTTCGTCAACCACTAACACCACGTCACAGGCAGGCGCGTTTGAGATGGAGTAGACATCATGGCCGCTGGAATCAACGTCAATGGTCTCGTGTGCTCTTCACAGATGAAAGCAGATTCAATTTGTCCTTCCATGATGGCCGGCAGAGGATTTATCGTCGCAATGGAGAGCGAACCACAGATGTAACTGTGGCCGATTTGGCGGGGGGTTGTCATGGTTTGGGCAGGGATAACTCCTACTGGACGTACTCCACTGCACATGGTCGACGGTAATCTTACCGGACAGCGTTATCGGGCCGAGATTCCGGCTCCTACAGCAGTACCATTCCTGCAAGCTATGCATGGCTTTATGGTCGACCCCCTTTACTGTAAGACGACAACGCTTGGCCTCATAGGGACAGGACTGTCACGGAATTCCTTAGGCAGCAGGATGTAGAGCGGATGGAGTGGCCAGCGTGCTCGCCACATCTCAACCCAATTGAGCATGCCTAGGATGAACTCGGTCGACATGTGTACACACGTCACCCAGCACCAGTGGATCTCCCAGGACTCCACAGAGATCTAGTAGAGGAATGGAATGCGATTCCGCAAGCTTTCTTTATGAACTTGATAATGAGCACGAGAACAAGGTCCACCCGTGTCTTGGACGCGCGAGGAGGGTACACAAGATATTGAATGACTGAGTGCTTCATGTTTGTCATTGTCATTTTGGGGAGTTTGGTCTGTACAACTGACCCGTGAAAGTCCGGGTTAGAATGAACCTTCAGTAACCCATGCTTATCGTAAGAGGCGACTAACGGGATCGGGTGGTCAGGCTTGCTGCCTTGGTTGACAAATGTCATCGGTTCCCAATTGCGCAGATCGATGCTTATGCTGTTGATCACTGGATTGTCTGGTCCAGACTCGATTATTTACAGACCTCCGCCATATAGCTGGAATATTGCTGAGTGCGGCGTAAAACTAAATTCACTCTCTCTTACAACTGATGTTTGCTACTCCTGTTTGAACTTTTTGTCTGCATGTCACGATGTGTCACGTTTGTCACCACATTTAACATAATGATGACACGCTAATGGTTCTATTATTTCTGAGAAACCTTTCTTTACATGTGCTATATATCATTTGACCCTTTATTAAAGACACCGAGTATGTTTCGTCACACCAGCATAATTTCGCTCGTGAATACATTGTACCCGTGCACAGTGGGTGACAGTGAACCACTTCCCTGACACCACGTGCTTCACGTGCACTTGTTGAACAGGAGCCACGTGACCAACCCGCACTTAACAGTCGTCAGTTGGAAGTCGGAGCGGGCAGTCGAGTTTAAAGGGTAAGAGTTTATTATTATTGTTGTTGTTGCTGAATTTATTGTTTAATTATCTTTATTGTGAATTGAACGTTGTATTGCAATGAAAACCAACATGATATCTTTCTAAAGCATATTAATTGTGGGATACAACCCGATTAAAAGATTTATTCCTTGGGCCATTTCCAACTTATATTACAGCCCCTTTCAAATAACATGCAAAACTAACTACCGTATAGGTAGAAGCATAGAAGTGGACGGTCGTTTGAGGTTTTATTTACGAGTAGAGGGCGTCAATTCAAATTCAATTCTCTGTACATCAAACTGTTTTCTGAAGCTCAGTTTCTGCGTACAACTATACCAACGACAATAACCAATTATGACCTGAATAACTTTGTTGCAAGACAATGCACAGTTGGAGAGTGAACTTCATTTGAACGCCTTCGGTACTACTGTTTGATATTCCTTCTAACAGGGGCTTTTAGTATAAAAGCACGTGCTAATTCTTCAACTACTTTGTTTTAACTATGAACAATATTACTACAGATAATGTCAAGATTTTGGGAAAACATGGACCTCATGTGTGCATTCCAAATACTAAATTGTCGGACTGTTCTCGGTGACTTAAGTTTGCTGCCTCCCAATCAGTCTACAGGCATTAAGTTACTGTAAGGTTTGCTGGGTTTGGTACCAGGTCCCCGTTTCACAAAGCTATCGTAGCGCTACGACTGTCGTAACACCTATACAGTAACATAGACCTACGACAGTCGTAGCTAAGATATCTTTGTGAAACGGGGACCAGGGTCCCGATCTACAAAGCGTTCGTAACGTTACGACCTGTCGTAACTCTATAGTTTATCATAGACTTAAGAATGTCGTAGCGCTACGAACGTTTTGTGGATCGGGACCCAGGAATATAGCGCTTCTGACACTCTGGGTAATGTAGAAGGCTGTAGTGTCGGTAGTCTCCTAGTCCTGAACCACATTATTTTCCCTCCCTACACAGCTAAAGCTCTAAATGAAGCCTAGCGGAATCACCGTAACCAAATTGCTGCATTCATATATTTAAATCTGTAATTATATCGTCAATTTCCCACAAAGCTTTGAAAAATTGTTGCAAACTGACGTACCTTCGTGCAATCTGAATTTACGTCCAACGGTTTGCGGACTCACTGTTTTGAAGAAACCTCAAAATAATGGGATGACACCATTGTTTTTTAATTGCATGTCTTGTAAGCTAAGTGCTTCTCGTTGTAAATCCATTGTTCATTACAGCAAAGATGAAGATCCTATTCTTGGTCATCCTTGTCCTCTGCATCGGTTCGATGGAATGCCAGAAAAAGGAAAGGCAAAGGAAAACCTCGTAGGTATTAGCTGGAGTCTTGGACCAGGTTCAAGTATTCGAGATCAGGGCGGTGGGGTAGCCTAATGGATAAAGCTTTGGCTGGTCACGCTGAAGATCCTGGTTAGATTCCTCACATGGGTACAATGTGTGAAGCCCATTTCTGGTTGGAACAGAAACTGCAGTTTTGGCTTTCAACATAACCTAACTTAGACAGAACATGAGTTGGAGTATATGGTGTATAGTTTGGCATGAAATGCATGTGGACCCGGTTTTTTGTAAATATCTCTTCATGCAATGACCCAATCGATCTCAAACTGTGCAAGTGGATGTTTTGTTAGACAACCTAATCACATTGTAAATCACCGATTTTATGCATTTGTATTAAAGAATCTGTCTATGTAACTGTCAACAAAATAAACAGCAGAACGCAAACTGCTAGTAGAGGGAGGGAGCCAATGACCTGTAACAGCGGCAGTGTTGGGTCATACTCACTTATGTGGCTGTTGTACGTGAATATGAGTACAAGGCGTTGATATACTAATCACACTTTGATAAGGATCACAAAAATGCACTACCTTACTTAAACGTAGATTTATAATTTGAAATTGTATCCCTTTAAAACTGGATAAATAATATGGTAACCCCTCTTTAGGCAAACAGCCACTTTATTCTAACCTTGTGCACTTGATACATGAATGACCATAAAAATGGTTTTCATGGCACAATCAACCATTTTGCAAATCATGGAACGAGTCATTGACAAAACGCCACCGGTCAATAGCAGGTATGGGATCAACAAGATGCAATGACATACTGAAACCTAGGAACCATGCTTACAAAAAGCTTAGATATTTAAACCAAATTTGACCCTACATAGTTTTCTGTTGCATCCATTTTTTTATCCTTAGCAAAGTGAATAGTATAATTCCGAGCTATTCGGCTCCCCACGCACACAATACAGCTAACCTCATCCGATTCCCACTTTACATACAACTCCTACCCCCTCTTCCCTTTCCTCGCACCCACCGTTGAAACTTTTGCTTACAATGTTTTCTGTTTAAAGCAGCGAAAAAGAATATCTGCCAAAAGGATATGCGTTTCCTTGTGTCGGTCATACGCGTGTGCAACGCATACAGACGAGCCTCCCGATTCCGCATGAAAAACTGGGTTTCTTTGCGAAAATACATTCGTTATGCACTGCTTGTGACCCTTAAAAATAACAAACCGCCGCCGAAAGGCAAGCCAACAGCAAGCCAACAGCCAAGCCAACGCCCACGCCAACGCCCAAGCCAACGCCCACGCCAACGCCTAAACCTAAGGGCAAGGATGGCAAAAAGAATGAAACTCGCAGATTCCAAGACGAGGACTTCAGTTTTGACGATGCTGTTACTGGCAACTTCTTTGACGACGAAGATTCTTTGATCGCTGACGATGACGATCAAAGCGAAAACGCCGTGGACGATGACGCTGAAGACTCTGAATCCGATGCTCTGTCTGAACATTCAGATGCAGAGGCCGAAATCAAGAAACTCCGCCGATATCTGGAGCTCTCCGGCAGATACAGGGACAAACGTGAGTAGTTACATAATTGGTGAATACTTTCTTGTCATTACCAAATGTGTAAAGGCATTCATTCTTGATGACACTATCCAAGAGACGATCAGAAACAGTCAGTGTTATGTGCGCACATTGGCAAATGTCGATGAATTCATTTTTGGATGGTGAATATTTTATATTTCTGACAAACCTGTGCACTAGTTCATTGTGAGTGTCAACCACACATTGCATGACCCGTGAAGATCCGGGTTACAATTGGTCTTCATCAACCATGCTTGTAAGAGGCGACTAACGGGATCAGGTGGTCAGGCTCGCTGACTTGGTTGACATGTCATCGTATCCCAATTGCATAGATCGACGCTCATGCTGTTGATCACTGGATTGTCTGGTCCGGACTGCTGCCATATAGCTGGAATATTGCTGAGTGCGGCATAAAACGAAATAAGAAAACAAACCCCGAACCCCAAAAACACATTATAATTATTTATAGATCCTCGTTTTTTCGAGTATAGGTTTGTTAGGTGTTTTTTTTGGTAACAAAACCATGGCTGGTCCGATTCGTATGATTGCGTAGACGTGAATCTTCCCTTTTCAGTCCATTTTCTAATGGTCCGTGTAAAAACATTATTTAAATTTAACTGGTTCTTATTAGATATTCAGATGTATTAAGATGGCAGACTTAATTCTAAAATTCAGTATCTGACCATGTTAGATGAAGTGACTTCTTTCCTTCTGGGCGTATTGGGTGAAAATGTCCGACTTCAGAATCTCTGGAATTCCATTTGAGTTTGAATTTTGCATCGATGAACCAGTTTAGTCTGTTAATAGTCAAAACAAATAATGCGTCACCCGATTATTCCATTGCTATAGTTAATCCGTCACGGCGTTATATATTAACTATTAAAACATTGCGATAAAGCTTGTCAAGATGAGAACAAACACGGTAGTCTTGGAGACACTAAGCTATACACATGAACCGCCCGTGAAGATCCGGGTTAGAATTGATCTTCAGTAACCCATGCTTGTCGTAAGAGGCGACTAACGGGATCGGGTGGTCAGGCTCGCTGTCTTGGTTGACACATGTCATCGGTTCCGATTGTCATGCTGTTGATCACTGGATTGTCTGGTCCAGACTCAATTATTTACAGATCGCCACCATATAGCTGGAATATTGCTGAGTGCGGCGTAAAACTAAACTCACTCACAAATAAAAACCGAGTATCTTGTCTAAGATAAGTTCCATGGTAGAACAGGCTAGACTCGGTAATTAAGTTGTACCCTCCTCGCACCCCTGTGGCGTGGATCATTGCTCGAATCAATCACTTGCTTGTGTACTGGTCACTCGCAGCTGCAGCGTAAACAACCAACATGTTGATTTGTAACCTTTGTTTGCAGGTGCCCCAAAACGGAAGGGCAAGAAGCGCCCTCCACCAAAGGACCCATTCAGGAGTCTGAGGATTCTCTGTATCAAGATGTCAAGGCTGTTGTACAAAGGGTAATTAACAATTCTCATAAATTCCCAAATGTTGACTTCATATATGTAACAGTGGCGGATCCAGAGAGGGGTGTGTGTTCAGTTCAGGGGGTTCGAACACACACACACCAATCCACATACACCCTCTTTTGAAAATGACTCAAAGACCACATTGAAGTTAATGTTTTGCAATGGCCCAGCCAAGGTGGGGTTCAGGGGTTCGAAATTTCTGGATGCGCCTATGTGTAATATATTTGAAGAGCTCGTTGGCGCCAAGGACAAATTATGGTCAGACAATGTATTAACCTCGGTCAATCCAGGCTGCCTGTGGCGCTAGTTCCATTGGGTACCCATTCACTGCTTGGTTAACAGTAAATTTAAACAAACTCGCATGGTCAGACCACCCGTCACGTGTGCTTTGTTGTAGGGCAGAACTGAAGCCCTAGAATCTCACCCTGGCAAACACGGTCACTCATCATTACTTAACTTCAACTGATTTCTGACTTTGGAACAAGACCACACACCGCCACTGTCCTAAAACATAAGTCCACAAATGTCTTCTCCGGTGTATAACTTTAGTGGGGTGGTTGGGTAGCCCAGTGGCTAAAGCTTTAGCTCGTAAGTTTCTCATCTTTGTTGCAGGTGAAGGACCAGTGTTTTCATACTGAAAAAACAACAAAAACATCAATAAAACTGGCTCAAGTGAACTTGATTTGAGTGTTTTATAGACCTGAATGTTGAGCTGTGTACCATTACAGTATCGTACAGAATTGTGTACCCATGATCATGCATACATTAGTTGTCAGTAAAACTCTTTTCTTTTGCCTTTCCGTTTTCAAAAGTTAAAGAACATCGTAGATTTTCATGACTATAGTTTGGCTAATGGGTGTATGAACGGCCTTCCAACTTCAGTTCTAGAAGTGTTGCGAAGTGTAAATGAATACTGAAAGGCAAAAGTAACGAGTTTGTTCACTACTGAAGAGAAACATACTTATTGGTGATACGGACTATAATACACGACAAATACCGACTCGCTCACACATGCAGTCGCTTCCAGTAAGGCCGTCCCTACTTTGCGTTGTCTCCAACGTCGACCAGCAAGACATAGAAATTCTTTTCACTAATTCTATAACTCATTTTATGACATTGTTGATCATTTGATAAGTACTTGTGACATAGATCTAGTCGCTTTCTCCCAAAACAAATCAATGAATGAAGATAAATTGATATTGTTTTCACCAACGTGAAAGGGTAAGGACATTTTCAATGACGGAATGCGACTAACGGGATCGGGTGGTCAGATTTGCTGACTGGGTTGACACATGTCATCGCATCCCATTTGCGTAGATCGATGTTCATTCTGTTGATCCCTGGATTGTCTGGTCCAGATCCGATTATTTACAGACCGCCGCCAAATAGCTGGAATATTGCTGAGTGCGGCGTAAAACTCAACTCACTCACGCAATGCATGAACCTCCACACCGGTGTTACTCTTTGTCGGAATGATTCAGGGCAGGGGGAGACCAATACGGACAGGATATTTATGCGTGTTGGCTCCGTGTTGGCAGTACGCTCCACCTGATGCGGAAATCTGGTGTCGAGGTGCAGGCAAAACTAAACCATAATTTTGTGACTGGGATTCCAACCCACGATCGTACAAGTCTAGCATCGCCGCTGTGTCCACTCCACCAACACGCCCACACAGGAAACTACTATTGGTTTAACAGAAGCTCCATGCATAATGTTGGCCATCTTTCGAAATTGTCAAGTCCATAGCTTACACTAAAAATATTGCTGGTGAAAAGTAGAAATCCAATGATGGTAGTCTTTTATAGCCGTCTTTTACTGAAGTACTGTCGGAAATAGAAAAAATTAACTGTTTTAGGCTGTTCCTCTGTATCCCTAAAATTTACAAATAGCATATATCGAAATAACCCATATCGGCCTAACTGGGCATTCAGTGGGATGCGTAATAGTATATCCAGAAAAGCATGTTTACTCGTAAAATCGGGCAAAACTTAGAAAAAATACGAATAGCTGCTCAAAACAATAGATCGGACTATAGGTGGCAATTAGGTTGCTCAGCCAGGTATGACGAGGGACAGTCAACTCGCCTGGCATGAAATGCACGCCCTGCCTACAAGCACAAGAGGTCATCTCAAAGATATTTTATGCTTTTTCATGTGTGAATGTCTGATCTATTGATCATAAAGTTTAAGATGCGTAAAATGGTATGATACCCATGGAAAAGCCATAGTATTAAATCTCTCAAAATATGTAGGTGGCATGACAACCCGAAGAACGACAGGACTGGATATTTGTAAATTGTTATGACATGCCGTTTGCTTCCCAGTTTAATTCCCCTAAATGATTATCATCTCATCCCGACCCCAACCACCGTCTGCGACACCCGTCCTGGATTTGCTTTTGAGACGACCCCTCCTACCTGTTTCTTTTTATAGTGACTCCATGGTAGCTACATCCTTCATAGTTTCAGTATTAAAGTTATTTATTACGTCAGCTATCGTTTATAATGAAGCTAAGTTTAATTTCAAAATGGACATTTAAAAATTGTCCTTTGTAATATAATATCATTTTAATTTGCATAAAGCCATGGTGTGTTCCAAATAAGTCGCTTTGGACTTCGAAAAAAAACCACATTTCTCATTTCTGCACTAATCTCTCCTTAGTAAAGTCCTTTTTCTACGTTCCCTATCTCCCTACCACTGGGCCTGTAGTTAGGCCGTACTTAGTTTAACAGATATTTCAATTTCACATATTACCTACATAAATTGTACATATCAATGCGAAAACAGTTTTTTTTCTATTTCTGACAGTACTTTAGTCGAAAACTGATACCGCCGTCACTGCTTAAACTGTACGACAAATTGCAACTGAGTTGAACCGAGGGGATCGGTTGAGTATTTGCTATTTAGGCAGATCACCTCAGCTCGAAATATACTCCTGGAAACGAATAAATGAACGCATGAAAGTACAAGTGTTCCTTTATTCTTTTCCTGGTTTCTTCACAAGGTATGTATTGCACTGTGAAATTCTGGAAATATTGGAACACTTGTATACTTTCATGTGTTCCCTTATTTGTTTCTGAGTATATTTGAAGAACATACAAATAGTGTTAGTTATACTTGAAAATCAAATTTCAACTTTGTATGTTGAAATGTCAAAGAAAGAGGCCCTAAAACGCTTCTGCACTTGACCGTGGTGGACAGCATCAATCATAGAAGCACTTTAGCTGTTTTACAACCGATTCCCAAACCTGCTATACGTGAGCGCTTCCAAAGGTAGAGCGTCTACCAGAAATGAGGGGTCCGGGATTCCATTGCCAATAGCGAGCCCCATGAGACTGGTATGATGGGAGTCTGTAAAACTGGGTTATCCATGTTGACACATCGCCTTTAGAAAAATGTGTAACGGGACCCAGGTCACGTGGTTTAAACAGAACTTTAAGACCCCACCATCAGGATTTCAATTAGACTAACATCTCGCCTCTGAACTGAACATGTTTTACAGAAAAACAGTAAATAGTCATAAAATCAATCAATCCGAATCATACTGATCAGCGGGCAACGAGTGAGTTTGTTTTACGCCGCACTCGGCAATATTTCAGCTATATGGCGGAGGTCCGGACCAGACAATCCAGTGATCAACAGCATGAGCATCGATCTGCGCAATTGAGAACCGATGACATGTCAACCAAGTCAGCGAGCCTAACCACCCGATCCCGTTAGTCGCCTCTTACACAAGGATGGGTTACTGAAGGCACATTCTAACCCGGACCTTCACGGGTTAGCAGGCAACGAGAAGCCGTACTGTTGCCACGCCCACTCGGTGGAGCAAGATAGGCCCGCGAACATCATGTATCTTCGCTATTTTATAATTATTCCTAAATCAGTCGGTATAACACGAGTCCCATTTAACCTGACATTCCGTTTGATTATTGTGACGTGTATTCCAAATTACCTTAGGTTAACCCAGAAATCTACAGGTAAAACCCTAATAACAAATGTTATACAATTAACCAATGTAGTGTAAATTATTTTAAGAAATCGATGTAGTTTGTTGGTTGTTGAACACCGCACTGACTGAAACATGTCCACTCCAGTCCACAATGGAGGATTGTAGCAACATCCTCCCTTAACATTCGGCATGCCACATAACTTGTTTTGTCATCCAATATAGGAACTGATTGGTGGGTGGTTTAAAGGTGCAGTCTGCAGTATTCCAGCTAGATGATGGCGGTCTGTAAATCGAGCCTGGAATCCAGTGATCAACAGCATGAGCACCGATCTACTCAATTGGGATACAATGACATGTCAACCCAGTCGTCGAGCCTGACCACCCAATCTCGTTAGTCGCCTCTTACGGCAAGCATTTCCGGATCTCTGCAGAGATACACTATATTCTTACCAACTCGTAATAAACACTCAGTGTGTTTACTATGATTTATAAGAAAATACAAAGTTATTCTAATGTGCACGTGAAACCAAGCAAAATATTTCACATGAGAACATGAATATCGGATGCAATATAATATCAAAACATTTCATATATACCGGTCAAATGTCAATGAAAATATCAGTCTCATATATATCATGTGAGTGTCCTCAATGTTCTTCAATCCGTGGGGGCGATGGGGTAGCCTAATGGTTAAAGCGTTTGCTAGTCACGCCGAAGATCCGGGTTCGAATCCCCACATGGGTACAATGTGTGAAGCCCATTTCTGGTGTCCCCCACGCCTGATGTTGCTGGAATATTGCTAAAAGCGGCGTAAAACCAAACTCAGTCAGTTCAATCCGTGAGAATCAACCAACATGAATAAGTGACATGTCATCTACCGTGCAACATCACTTATACGTCACAATGATCACAGTAGAAATATCACCTGTCCATACTAAATCACTTGGTAATATCCACTTCACACACCTAGCACATGAGACACGTAATGTGGCTATAGAAATTGTCAAATCGTGGCGTACTTATAAGTCTGTTTGCAGTGAAAACCTACCGATGAATTTCACTTTAAACAAAAAAAAATCAAATAGAGTGAAATTAAGATTGCGAATCCTCATAATTTTACCTTGCCAACTGAACATCTAAATCTCAGAATTTTTTCACCTCAGGATAAAAGTTGTTTAACATACGATCATACATTCAAATCGCTATTATTGGTTTGTATTACAAAGGGGTAAGCGCAGTAGTTGGAACAGTGAAACAAATGCACGTGCGGTACGTGATGAGCGTTAACTTAGACCAACCCTACTTGTTCTCGGTGTTTCATTTAATGCGTATACCCCTTGTAATACAAACCAATAGTAGCGCTTTGACTATGATCGTTTGTTAAACAACTTTTATCCTAAGTTGAATAAAATTATGAGATTTAAATGTTCAGTTCGCAAGGTAAAAATATGAGGATTCGCAATCTTAATTTCACTTTATTCGATTTACTTTTGTTTTGAATTGATATTCATCGGTACGTTTTCACTGCAAACAGACTATACAGCTGAAACTAGCTGAAGCGACGACGGTGCATGACTGACGTTGACGTTGATGTGACAAGAACGGCAGCACAAAAACAATCGCAACATCGGCCTTGGCGGGATAACAATTATCACACACGTTCTGGTAATATACCATGAGATGATGGACCGCCTCCGTGGTGTAGTGGTTAGAGCGTCCGCCCGGATAGCGGAAGGTCGCGGGTTCGATCCCCGACCGCGTCATACCAAAAGACGTTAAAATATGGTACTTGTTGGTCCCTGCCTGGCGCTCGGCATTAATGGGTACAACAAGGACTGGTCGGCTCGGAGTCAGTATAATGTGTCTGAGTGGGGTATTCATGCTTCACTGCGGCGTGGTATCTCAGTGGGCTAGCACTATAAAACCAGCTTCAGTCTGGGCTAGTACAAGCAGCCGCACATACACATACACACGCATGCACGTCGTCATATGAGCGAAATATTCTCAAGCACGACGTTAAACCCAATTCCACCACCACCACCATGAGATGATGGAAGCATGCTCTTGCCGACCTATATAGTATAAATACCTTCCAGAAAGTTCTGTGACAAGCTCAGTTGGTCTGCAGCTGCCCTGAAGATTACACACTACACTTGACTTCCACAACATAAAACTATAGTAACTTCAACAATACTGCTTACATTAGGGAGTACTACATTCCTGAAAACTAATAACTGTTTAAACACCCAATCAAACATTGTTAACCACTTACATTGCTTTAAAACATTTTGGAGAGTTTTTTGTTGCATTTATTTACGATAGTCGTGTCAAAAGAATTATTTTGTGAAGCCGGACAGAAACCGTTGAAATTGAGGTGCAAACTTGAATATTGATATGACGAGTAGTGGTAAAACTGTTTTTATATTTGCGAAACAGCTTCTTTGTCCGAAGAAGAGGTGCGGTGGAAGGTTTGATTCCGATGTTCTCATTTTTGCGAGAGTTGTGTCAATTTACACATATTTTTAACTTTACAATACCCAAGGGAATATTTGTTCAACCAGTAAGTTGAACACATCTATATGGCTTTTTTTCAAATTTGGACAGGCACATCCATATATGTAAGAAGTGCAGTACAAAGTATTATGTTGATATTTTTAATTTATCAAAAATTATCACAAATTGCATCTTTTGAACTCGGGAAACAATTCCCACATCAAAATAACTTTGATGAATATTTAGATTTAGGAAATGGCTTCTTTGTTCATTGGAAAGATGCCAACTTGGTACAGATGCTGCATTTTTGTCAAGATCAATATTTATTGTTTTTCAGCTGAAGTCACTGTCAAGTTACCCTTGCTCAAATATTATTGGTTTGTTATGTCATCACCCGTATAGGAAGAGACAAACATTTTACCCAAAACATAGTGTTTTCATAACATCTCTTGAACTATTTCTTTAGGTTAAACTATTAAACATAAAAGCATCCAAGCAGCCATATGAAATCTATAAGCTAAAAGCAGAGCACATACATATTTTCTGGCCTGGAGTGATATGCTATACTCATTAACAATATGATTTGTTTGTGTATGAAATCAGGGATAATCTATCATCTATAATCGTCTTATAGTCTACCTGATGTAATGTGTGGTAGCCGAGTGGTTGAGGTGTTCGCTCGTCACGCCGAATGGCAAGGTTCTGTTCCCCACATGGGTACAATATGAAGCCCATTTCTTTAGTCCAACGACGTGTTGTTGCAGGAATGTTGCTAAAAGCGACGTAAAACCATACTCCCGATTTCTTCTTCCTCTTCACATCCTGTAACTTCTTAAAAACACAAACACTGAAATTCAAATCTTCGTTAATACTACATCCATTAACCTGTAGGGACGCTGGCCACTGAGCCCATTTCAGTGGTATTCCAATGTTGTAGACTGGATGCTCTGACGTGTTTATCTGTTTCGAGGTTGCCAATATTTCATTTTCTCCAGCCAAGAGTGACCAAATAAATATTATAGTTGTAGCCCTTTGCTTATGAGCACACATAGTAATGCATTCAATGTAAAAAGTCTACTTGTACCAGCTATGTTCAGTGTTATGACTCATCAGTCCCTATATGACCCGTGAAGATCCGGGTTAGAATTGGCCTTCAGTAACCCATGCTTGTCATAAGAGTCGACTAACGGGATCGGGTAGTCAGGCCCGCTGACTCACCCGTCATCGTATCCCAATTGCGTAGAATGTGATGTCGGGATCGAGCCCACCTGTGACTGGGTGTTAAACCTTGGAGTCAACTAACAGGACCAGGTGGTCAGGCTCGCTGACTTGATTGACACATGTCATCGTATCCCAATTGCGTAGACCGATGCTCATGCCGTTGATCACTGGATTTTCTGGTCCAGACTTGATTATTTACAGACCACCGCCATATAGCTGGAATACTACTGAGTGCGGCATCAAACAACAACAAACCAATCAGTTCCTATACTGGATGTCAAAACAAGTTATGTCGCATGCTGGATGTTAAGGTGTTGCCACCCTCCCACATCGTTTTCAGGACTGAAAATCTTTCTGATGATTTTAATTTTTTAAACATCATATCATCATTTTGAAATACAGACACCATATTTGAATTTCTTACCTATTTTCAGACGCCCCAAAAGGCGAGTGCATCCTGAAAATTGAAACATTCCCATGCCAGGCAAATAAGAAGGGCCATGCGCAAAACGTGATTCACGTGCACGAATGGATAAAAGCCACGTGACACACGTCTGTCCGATGCGAGTCAGAGATCGGAGAGAGCGTTAGATCATCAACTGTCTGTCAAGGGTGAGTGTTTTTACAGATGCTGTGTTAAAAGTGCACTGATAAATGCCAGAAAATATCTATAGTATACTTACGTGCATTTTAATTGATTTCAGGACAACGGTAAAAATTTATTATGCTCAAAGATAATCTTAATAAACGATCTACAGACTCCCAGACATGGGTGATGCACGTCATCGGCCTTGACAGTGTGGACTGTTGTACAACTACAAATGGCCACCGACGAGATAGCATATTCAAGGCTGCCCCCTGCACCTTCCACCGTCACATGGCTGGGGTATTGCTCAGTTGAACAGTCATGAAAGTCGCGAATATTTTAACACGAGAGGCAAATCCAGCTTAAACGTCCCATTCAATATACATGAACGAGCTCAAAATAATGTCCACCCAATATGCACGTGCACAGACGGTGGAATAGTCTCTCCTCTGAAACAAATCCTTTATGCGACTACCTACGATCATAATCAATTAAGACCTAAACAATTTTGACCTAAACAATTTTGACCTAAACAATACTCTGTTCCAGGTCAGTCTTCGTATTAGAGGGTGAACATTATTTGAAAACTATTGCGGTTGCTTCTATTCAATATTCGGAATATATACTACTCACATTTTGCTAAGGATCACAAATATTCCCATCTTTACTTAAAAAAAAGATTTATAATTTCAAATTGTATCCATTTAAAACTGGATAAATAATATGGAAACACTTCTTTGGTTAGACAACTACTTTAGTCTAACCTTATGCACTTGATACACGAGTAACCATAAAAATGGTTTTCATGGCAACAATTAACCGTTTTGCAAATCATGGAACGTGTCATTGACAAGTACACAACACATGGCAGATATGGCAGATATGGGATCTACAAGATGCAGTGACATACTGAAACCTAGGATCCATGCTTACAATAAGCTTAGATGTTTAAACCAAATTAGACCCCATATCATAGTTTTCTGTTGAGTCAATGATTTCATCCTTAGCAAAGTGTGAATAGTATAAGTGGCTCACGTTTCCAATTTTCAACTAACATTCATCTGGCTTTGTTTTGTAGTGTGTTGATACACGTGAAGGTCCGGGTTAGAATATTGGCATTCAGTAACCCATGCTTGTCGTAAGAGGCGACTAACGGGATCGGGTGGTCAGGCTCGCTGACTTGGTTGACACATGTCATTGGTTCCCAATTGTGCAGATCGATGCTCATGTTGATCACTGGATTGTCTGGTCCAGACTCGACCTCCACCATATAGCTGAAATATTGCAGAGTGCGGCGTAAAACTAAACTCACTCGCTCACTCAATTGTAGTGTGTTGAGCGTTAAATGTGATCAGTTTCTTGTGGCTTTCGAACTGTGCCTCTCAACGGTGCTCATATTGTCAACCAAATATTTGCCTTGCGTGTATTTGACAATTTACATGTCGTTTAAATATTGCTGATTGCTAGGTTCACTGCCCCGTTTTTCTGTTGCCGTCTGACAGAACATGCTTCTGTGATGTGGCGTTGGTGTAGCCTAGTGGTTACACCGTTTGCTCGTCACGTCGAAGGCCTGGGTTCGATTCCCCACATGCAACTATCTGAATCTTTTTATATAGTTTTCGATACAATTCGAGAAAAGATCTGAGCGTGAAAAATCAATTGTTTAATTTCAGTAGAGATGAAGCTTCTTATCCTCGTTGTGCTCGTGGTCTGTATCAGTTGGACAGAATCGTCTGGTAGGTATCCCTGATGCTGATTCCAAGAGTTAATGCTAATCTTTGAATTAAACCATAAAAAGAAAAATACACTTGGGCTTGGATACTATTCTATTTAACATCTGACCGTATCCAACATAAGAAGTAGACCGCCTCCGTGGTGTAGTGGTTAGAGCGTCCGCCCGGAGAGCGGAAGGTCGCGGGTTCGATCCCCGACCGCGTCATACCAAAAGACGTTAAAATATGGTACTTGTTGGTCCCTGCCTGGCGCTCGGCATTAATGGGTACAACAAGGACTGGTCGGCTCGGAGTCAGTATAATGTGTCTGAGTGGGGTATTCCTGCTTCACTGCGGCATGGTATCTCAGTGGGCTAGCACTATAAAACCAGCTTCAGTCTGGGCTAGTACAAGCAGCCGCACATACACATACACACGCATGCACGTCGTCATATGAGTGAAATATTCTCAAGCACGACGTTAAAACCCAATTTAACCTGACCTTACCTCACTTCACCTCACCAACATAAGAAGGAAAATGTGTATCTTGGATTTGATATCTATTTCTATTAAAAACTATAAATGTGAATTTTGTGGGGCACCAGACCACCAACTGACCCCAACCATTATGATCGGTGTAAGGACCGTTACCAGTCGGCGGATCAGATTGTGACTTTTAGGATCATGTTGTTATCGTACCCTGACGAAGTGGGCCAATGTTGGCAATGTTCGTTGTCCCAGAAATAAAGAACTCGCCGTTGTCCCTTAAATAATGAAATCACCAGATTTTCCCAGAAATAAAGAAATCGCTGGATTGTCCCGGAAATATAGAAATCGCCGGATTGTCCCAAAATATAGAAATCATCAGAGTGTCTGGTCCAGGGCTCATTCCTCGCCGACTGACACCGTGTGGCAGGCATGTTGATTACGGCATTAAACCAACGAATGCACTCTTAACCCATGTCTTTGGAATAGGTTAAAGAAAAATGTACAATTTCAGTGTGGAATCATTCAATGAAATGAACAGATTTAGTGCATATACTAATGGCCGCGTATATAGAATTTTTTTTATACCAAAATGATGCTTTGCAAACATACATTTATATTAGCGATATTTTGTAATTAAAATGTTTACTAACGTTTCTTTGCCCAATAATTAGGCTCCATAGATAGACAATTGTATCGGTAAATATTAATCATCGATGGTAGTCAATCTTGAACACAATGTGTCACCTTGAAACCAGTGGTCTTCAATGTTAATCATGTCCGTACAGGGTCATTTGCATCTTAAAGGACCTACGGGTAGCCTAGTGGTTAAGGCGTTCGCCGAAGTCACGCCGAAGACCAGGGTTAGATTCCCCACACGGGCACAGTGTGGGAAACCCATTTTTGGTGTTCCCTCACCTTGATATTGTTGGAATATTGCTAAAAGCGGCGTAAAACTAAACTCACTCACCCATTCACTCTTCCAGCCACGAAGAAAATCTGCCAAGAGGATTCCAAATTCCTACTGTCTGTAGTCCGCGTGTGTAATCTTTACAGACGAGCGACCCTGGCTCGTAAAAGGAATTGGTCCAGTTTAGAGAGATACGTGAAATATGCACTGAAAGTATCGAAACAGAAGAAACAGAGGCGCAGCTATGAGGACGAGGACTTTATCCTGGAGGACGAAGACTTGAAGGATTTGGGCAGCTTTGACGATGAGAATGATCTCGATGAGAGAGCTGCTGGATCCAGTAGGCATCAACGTATGTGTAGAATGGATGATGTTTGTGTGGGGTCAGGGTAATATCGGTTTGAAAACAACTGCAATAATTGTTTTATTGTGTTATATTAGTGGAGCGGTGGGGTAGCCTAGTGGTTAAAGTGTATGCTCGACACGCTGAAGACCCGGGTTCGATTGCCCACATGGGTACAATGTGAAGCACATTTCTGGTGTCCCCAGCCGTGATATTGCTGGAATATTGCTAAAAGCGGCGCAAAACTAAACTCTCAGATCAGAACATCCAGGGACGGTGGGGTAGCCCAATGGTTAAAGCGTTCGCTCGTCACGTCCAGCAAATATCATAGCGGGCTCCATGTGGGACTCGAACCCGATCCTTCCGCGCAACAAGCGAACGCATTAACCACTAGACTACCCCAGGGCCCAACATTGTTCCAAGTGACACCGTCATTCAATTAGCCCTATAGACCTGTCGGTTAAATTTTGAGCTAGAAATGCTTCTTATAGGATAAAAACCCCAGAATGTTTTTAAATTTGAATTAAAACTCACTACACAATGAAGAGCAATCGTTGTACGTTAACATAAATGCATGTAATTTGTTGGTTAGAAAGTAATATTCTTTCGCGGTGGTTGGGACCTGGTGATATCCAATTCGGTGCTAGGTTTATGAGAATTCTATTTCGGCTCATCTTGGCAAAACGACATTCTTGGTAAAATATGAAGCTCATTTCTGGTGTCCTTCGCCGTGATATTGCTCTAATATTGCTATAAGCGGCGTTAAACCATACTCACTCACTCTTGGTAAAATAGATTTTTGTAACCTTTGTTGCTTTGGCCAAAAAAAACCGTAGTGGACAAATTACTATTGAGTCCAGTTCCACAAAGCGTTCGTAAAGTTACTTATCGTAACTGAATAGTTTATCATAGGCTTACAAATGTCGTGGCGCTACGAACGTTTAGTGGATCGGGAAACAGAAACCTCTTATTCTTTTTCATAGAGATCGTCCTTGGGGTACATATATGCATTTTCTGCGCTGAAAATGTCCTGTGACAGTTGTATCAATGTTTTTTAATAAAATATTGTACAATAAATAAAATCTTTTTTTATCTATTATACGGCCCCCACCTCGTGGAGTTACCTCCCGCTACGCATGTGCAACCAACCAGGTAAGCACCTAGGCCCGTATCATCATTCCTTCTGCTGTCACTCCACTGAACGGATGTGTCGAGTAGAGCTGAACTCCTTCCATAAAACGAAGTTAAAGAGAATAATGTCTGGGACACCACCACCTGTATGTATGGTCTTTATTTTGTCCTATGAACGGAACAGTAAAGCTTTGCGGTCGGTTGTCTCATAATTGTGACTTTGTATTATATATTTTACGCTCACTTTCCCGTGGTTTACGCACGTGTTGCTTTGCCATGGCGGGAAGTTTAGCGTGCCACGTGGTTGTCATATTGCGTTTTAACCAAGTATTTCTTCCCGTGGTCACATTCACGTAATTTTCAATGTTTTGTACGTGTATATTTATGCTGCTGGCTCCGCTGTTAGCTACATGCTTGCGTGTTTGCTTTCAGGCGTTTTCCGGTTGTACTGTCTGCGGACAAAGTATACCCAGAGCAGACAGGCATGACAAGTGTCTCGTTTGTCTAGAGAAAGTCGGACATAAACCAGACACATGTGAAATATGTATGGGCTTCTCCCCCCCCGAGCCCAGAAGAGACGGGCTGCAGATTTCCTCTTTTATAGGGAACTGCGTGAGGCGGGAGGGGAACTGACCAAGGTCCCCCCGTCTAAAGCCAAAAAACCTAAATCGGGAAAAAAGGCTAAGTCGCACAGTCAGGCGCCTTCTACTGCTCCCAGCGGTTTTGACATGTCAGTTATCACACAGCTTTTTCAGCAGCACATGGACTCCGTGAAGTCCCTTGTTCACGAGTCGGTTGGAGGTCTCTGCCAGGAGTTCCTCGCCCACTCGGAGCAGGGGACGGAGAGTCCGGGGGGTGGGATCGCAGAGCCTGGCTCGATCCCTTGGCCTGGAGGCGTCTGTAGATCCGTTGCATCTGGCTTCGGGTCCGGACGCCTCGGTTACCCTGGAGGGGGAGGGTTCACTCCCAGTGTGGTGTCGGGTGCTGAAGCGGGGTGCTCCTTCAGCTCTTCCCTTCCCTCTGTGTCTGGTGCCAGGCTGCCCACCGGGTTGGGGTTCGGGTCCTCTTCGCGAGGAGACCCAGCCTCTGACTTGGGCTCGGGTGCCGAGTCCATGGACATTGGGGAGGTCGAGGAGCAGGAGGGCGCCTTCCATTTCTCGACGGCTCTGCGGGAGGTACGGCAACGCATTGCTGAGTTTATCCCCCAGGCTGCGGTGCCTACCAGCCGCTCGGACTCGACTGAGTTCCGCCTGTCAGGCGAGGCGTTTGCCCCTAGGCAACCCTCGCAGACGCTGCTCCGCATCTTGCCGTCCCTGGTGCAGGACGTGGTGGATCCCCTCCTGGTTGGGACACGCCTCTGCTTTGACTTGCCTGAGCTTTGACTTGCCTGAGCTTGTCAAGAGGTACCAGCTGGGGGACGATTCCCTGTTCTTTGTGCCAGTGGTCGATGAGTGTGTTTTCACTTCGGTCGCCCTGGGGGGAGGCTTGGCTTCCTCCGGTGCAGCTCTGGCTGCCAGGCAAGGGCGTTTGGTGCCACCTTTTGCCCTCGCGGGCGCCCCCCGGCAACAAGCTTACCGGACCTACGAGAAGGTTTACCGGAATGCTAAGCAGCAGGTGCGGGTTGTCATCCACGAGGCCTACCTCTCCTCGATTCAGAGGTCGGCCCTGGAGGCTGAGGGGCACGCTGGGGACGCTTCTCCGCATGTCGTTCTCCTCCGTCACTTTTCCAAAGTTCAGGCCCACCTAGCGCACGACTCCTTGCGGTCAGCGGTGTCTACGGTGATGTGCGCAGTCATGGGGATGTGCAAGCTGTGGCTGTCGACGTCTCACTACTCAGCAGCTACACAGCAGACCTTGCTGGCCCTTCCCTACCGTCTGAGAGCGACGTTGTTTCCTGGGGCACAGCAGGTCATCCGGGGAGGCTGCCGCTGCAGCTACCTCCTTCAAGGATTCTAAGGCTTTGTTGGAGCACCCGGGCTTCTCGCAAGCCCCGCGCTCCCGTTCCGGCTTCCTCCTCCGGGGTGCAGCCTACACCCGAGTCTGCCGGCTGGCTTTGGCCGCTGGCTGGCTTTGGCAGGGGTAGGCGGAGGAGCCGTCCCTCCAAGGAGTAAGGGCAAGGAGCAGTCCTCTTCGTCTGGCTCCCAGCCTTTTCGGTGGGCGCGGGAGGTCTGCCCCGACCTCCCGTTAACCCAACAGGCCGTCACCGTGGGTCCGTCCCAGTCAGCTCAGCTACTCGGGACCACTCACGCCCTCTTACCACACGTCACAGTGGGAGGCCGCCTCTCTCTATTCCTGCCGGAGTGGGAGAAGGCTACAAGCAACACTTGGGTGCTGTCCACCGTCAGTGTCGGCCATCTACCACTGTGGAAGCGAGGTCCGCCAGAGTTCACCGGCATACGTCGCACTCCGGTGCCGTCATGTCAGGTCTGGGCGGATATACTGCAAGACGAAGTTCAGGCTTTGCTGGACAAGTCCGCTATAGAACGCATACCACCGGGCGAGGAACAGGCGGGATTTTATTCCACGTACTTCCTCGTTCCGAAGAAAGATTGCGGGTTCCGTCCCATTATCAACCTCAAGGGGTTGAATCGCATGCTAGAGGTTCCATCCTTCAAGATGGAGACACTTCGCTCGGTGATCTCCTCTGTTCAGCCCGGCGATTGACTCACGTCAATCGAGCTAAAGGATGCGTATCTACATGTGCCCATACATCCATCGTTCAAGCAGTACCTTCGGTTCTCTTACGACGGGATGAATTACCAATTCACGGTGCTCCCCTTCGGCATATCCACTGCCCCCATGGTGTTCATCAAGCTCATGTTAGTGCCAGTTACCCTCGCTCGATCGCAAGGAAGGCGTTGTTTCCCTTACCTCGACGACTGGTTGCTCAGCGCGCTAACTCAGCCAGCGAGCCTAGATTCTACTCACACAGTGATAGACATTCTAGTTCGACTGGGGTGGATCATCAACCTCAAGAAATCCGACCTGGTACCCACCCAGGACTTGGGTTTTCTTGGGGCGAGGTTCCAAACTCACAAGGATCTTGTTTCCTTGTCGCCCAAGCGGGTCACCAGAGTACGGGAGATGGTTTCTTCGTTCCTCTCCCAGCCCCAGGCAGCAGCACGGACTTGGCTCTGTCTACTGGGCGATATGGCGGCGACTATCTCTGTAGTTTGGCGGGCGCGGTTGAGGATGCGCCCTATACAGCAAGCTTTGGCGAGTCTGTGGGCTCACTCGGAGGACCTGGAGCGGAGTCTCACAGTCCCAGGGTGGTTGTCTCCTCACCTTCAGTGGTGGACCAATGTCGGGAATCTCTCCAGGGGGGTCCCTTTGGAAATCCCGACGCCAGCTCTTACAGTTCAGACCAATGCGTCCCTCATGGGCTGGGGGGGTGTGTGTTCTGGGCAGTCTATCGGTGTCCGGACTCTGGTCCGAAGCCGAAGCCCGCCTTCACATCAACGTGTTGGAACTGAGAGCTGTGCGGTTGGTTTTTGAGAGCGCTTCCGAGAGCATGTCCAGGGCCAGGTGGTTCGTCTTCAGTTGGACAACTGAATGGCCATGTCGTACATCCTGAAGCAAGGCGGCACGGTGTCCTGAGCACTCCTTCGGGAGACATGGGACTTTCTCCTCTGGTGCGACCAGTGCGATTGCCAGGTACTCCCTGTTTATCTCCCGTGCTCTCTCTCGCCGGATCCTGGCCCCGCACGAGTGGATGCTCGACCGGCAGATATTCGGAGTTATCTCCCAGTTGTACGGAATCGTTCCAGGTGGATCTGTTTGCGTCCAGCGGGACGAATCAGATACCCGTGTTCTGCTCTCGAATACCGGACCCGAGGGCGTTGGCTGCCGACGCCTTCCTGCTGGATTGGACGGGCAAAGTGCTTTGGGCGTTCCCACCGTTACCACTCATTCCCCGGGTCCTCTCCCAGCTGTCCAGCCAGCCAGCTCGGCTGCTTGTGCTACTGGCACCGCTTTGGCCGTCACAGAGCTGGTTTCCGGTAATTCTCAGGTTTCTGGCTCAGCCTCCTGTTCTATTACCTTTACGACCGGACATTCTCACTCAGAACGGCGCGCCATACCCCAATCCAAGGATTCAGTGGGTGGCTTGACCTCTGTCAGGTCTAGCCTCGAAGCATGCGGAATTCCTGCAGCAGTTGCAGACACAATTCTGGCTTCGAGGCAGGATTCGACAAACGTTCAGTATGAGGATAGGTGGTCCCGCTATGCACGCTGGAGTTCAGATAGGGGGATTGCAGATCCCTTTTCTGCGGATTTAGTCCGAGTATTGGTGTTTTTGCAAGCTCGTTTGGAAGAAGGCCTGGCGGCTTCGACCATTCGTGGCTACTCCACCGCTATTTCTACCTTTCACACCCCTGTCGATGGTGCTCTTCTGGGGCAGCACCCTCTCGTACAGCACCCTCTCGTACAGCGCTTTTTAGCTGGCACGGATCAGGTTCGACCTGCTTTCAGGCAAACCAGCCCACCTTGGGATTTGTCAATCGTGCTAGATTGGCTGTCCGGTCCTACGTTCTCACGTCTATCGGCTATTTCCATTCAGTTGTTAACATGGAAGGCTGTATTTCTGGTGGCGGTAACATCTGGGCGTAGGGTTGGCGACTTACATGCTATGTCGTCCGACCCGGCGCTGACTGTGTTCCACACAGATCGTGTCAGTATTCGCCTCCCGGATACTTACCGCCCGAAGGTCGATCACGCTTTCCATGTGACAGCTCCTATCGAACTTCCTACTCTTACCCAGCCTTCCACATCGGGGACCTCTCCTACGACCACTCACCCGTTGGATGTCCGAAAGACTCTCAAGGTCTATCTCAAACCAACACAGGGGATCCGTACGGGTACCCATCTGTTCTGCTGTTACGGTGGCGGGAAGGGTGGGGTGCCGGCGAGCAAACAGACCCTGTCTCGCTGGCTTGTCTCGGTCATTTGTGCAGCTTATCAGGCTAAGGGCAAGCCTCCCCCCTGAGGGGTTGAAGGCTCACTCGGTCAGGGCAGCAGCCACGTCAAAAGCTTTTGCATCGGCACTACCCATTGAAGAGATATGCTCTGCCGCTATTTGGAGCCGGCCTAGCACTTTTATCAGGCACTATCAGCTCGATACACATTCAGGTGATCGTGCGCGCTTTGGCCGTTCTGTTCTCTCCAGTGGACAGTGTCCTACCACCCTGACCGAGTGAGTCTTGGTTATCTGGTTTAGTTGACGCTGCTTTTCAATACTGTGTTTTATTGATATGTCCGCTGCTGGGTGTATAACCTCCTTTCGATTCTCTACGGAGATTATGGTCGATAGTGAGTGTTTTTCCCCCCCCTCCGGTGCTCTCTGATAGACGATAAGGTGGGTGGGGTTTGTTTACGTTCGCACTATGTGCGTTCTCATTATGCTAACCTGCGAGGTCGACTCTCAGTACCTTTCCTCCCTGTCGGTTACCCTCCCATCATGCCTCTCGCGGAAGCTCAAAACGGGACATGTGACAGGTGAGTGATTGTGGCGTCTGTTACATTATTCTTAACGATCGCTATTTGTGTGTACTTTGACAGAATTCCCTCCTCCCTGGCCTCCGGTCTTTGGGAGTCTGTGTTTATGCATATATGTACCCCAAGGACGATCTCTATGAAAAAGAATTAACCAAACCTGAAGAGGTTTTCAATTCTTTGAAGAGAGTCGTCCTTGGGGTAGGGCCACCCGCCTCCCCGCAATTCTGTTCACTGATTTATTCAGCAGAAGGAATGATGATACGGGCCTAGGTGCTTACCTGGTTGGCTGCGCATGCGTAGCGGGAGGTATCTCCACGAGGTGGGGGCCGTATAATAGATAAAAAAGATTTTATTTATTGTACAATATTTTATTAAAAAACATTGATACTACTGTCACAGGACATTTTCAGCGCTGAAAAAGCATATACGTACCCCAAGGACGACTCTCTTCAAAGAATTGAAAACCTCTTCAGGTTTGGTTAAATTTTAAGGGGTGGTGGTGTAGCATCCTGGTTAAAGCGTCGCGCCGAATGCCCGGGTTCGATTCCCCACATGGGTACAATGTGTGAAGAAGCATATTTCTGGTGTCCTCCCGCCATGATATTGCTGGAATATTGCTAACCACGTAAAACTAAACTCAATCACTCTTAATTTTGAATGCTACGACCAAACTGACAATTCATAGATAGGGTTTTCTTCTGTTAAAGGTTCAACAAAACCCAAGAAAAAAACACCGCCACCATCCAAGGACCCGTTCAGGAGACTGAGGAAGGTGTGTAGCTACTTGGCGAGGCTGCTGCTTCTTAGGTACGCTCATAATTAGATTGAAATATCTGTAACAGTCCGGGTGTTAAGTCTCCAGTGTTTAGACATTATCTTCAGTAACCCATGCTTGTCGAAAGAGGCGACAAACGGGATTGGCTAGTCAGTCTCACTGACTTGGTTGACAATTGCGTAGATCGATGCTCATGCTGTTTATGACGCTGTTGAACACTGGATTGTCTGGTCCAGACTTGATTATCTACAAACCATATAGCTTGAATACCGATGTGTGTGTGTGTGTGTGTGTGTGGACTGACCTTAGACAACCCGTATTCAATGGCTAGTCTTATGCTATTTCTCCTATATAAATATTGAGCCCATACACGTGCAATCCATGACAAGTAACTGTCAAAGGCATAAACCCGCTAAATCCTGCTGCAATTGAACAGAACCTTTGGTATTTTGGAAATGATTCGTATTTTGAGTACTCCTATCTGTATGGCTATCCCTATCCCCTCTATCGATTGATTAAATAGCTTCTTACAATAAACGTACTTTGCTCGTGACCAATATTCTTACCCAGAACCCCATCGACTTATTGCAGGAATGGAGTCTTACAACAAATGTTTAATCATCGTTTTCTCTTTGCAGGTGAAGGACGATCTATTTGGTATACTGGGGAATGAAATAAAATTCAAAACACACTCGTTATCTTTCTTATGAATCGGACCCGTGAAGATCCGGGTTAGAATTGGGTCTTCAGTAACCCATGCTTGTCGTAAGAGGCGACTAACGGGATCGGGTAGTCAGACTCGCTGACTTGGTTGACACATGTCATCGTATCCTAATTGCGTAGATCGATGCACATGGTGTTGATTCCCGGATTCACCTTACAGTGTAAAGGCTTGTTTATACGGCGAAAATATACACATGTGCAAATGTTGCCGTATAAACAGGCCTTAAGTGTAATTTGATCATCCGAATAAACTGTCATGGCATGACAGACAAGTCCAGAGAGTATCTCAAGTCATCATTAAAACATAATGGTGTCAAGTCATGGTATGTCTGTCGACGTGATCTTCTTACGCACACAAACCTACCTGTCTGTGATGTGGGTTTCGAACACATCCCCCTTGACCAGTGACTGGCCTCATCGCGCACTGAATAAAATCGATAAAGCCACTGACATTCCGCAGTGTTGCGTCAGTCTTATTGCAGTCGGAAGATCCTGTTTTCCTGCTGTGTGATGGAACGCCGTTGCCCACCTGCATATCGACGGGTAGCTGATAACGTCTGTTGATCTGCAGTAACCCATGCTTGTCGTAAGAGGCGACTAACGGTATCGGGTAGTCAGGCTTGCTGAGTTTGTGACACGTCATTGTATCCCAATTGCGTAGATAGTTGCTCATGCTTTTGATCACTGAATTGTCTGGCCCAGACTCAATTATTTACAGACTGCAGCAATGTAGCTGAAACCAAAAAAACAAATCCTGAGAACGATGGCCTCGTTCAGACTCGATTATTTATGGACGCCTAAATACGGCTGGAATATTGCTGAGGGTTGAGGGGTGCGTTAAACGAACGACTAGACAAGTGCAACAAAGAAACACACAAACCAGAACATGTATGGTCAAGTCCATTGTTTTCTCCATTTTAAATTTTGTTACAAAAAGGACACTTGTGATATAAGGAAGGTCGTCGTGCATGTCCATTTACGTTATCTCAAGACGTTAGTCTCAGGATTGTATGGTCTTGTAGCTGAAATATCGCTACGCTGAAGCCGGGTTTCCTTGTACGCGTAGTGTGTGATGCGTAAACAACACTTTATCTGGAAAGAGCAATAGCCGTTTCCATGCACGCTTGCTGTGTGCTATTAATTTTGCTAACGCTCAAAAGTGTCCGAATACGCATCACACAGCTATACGGAGTCCGGAAGTAGGGATTCCCAAGGGTTTTTCTCAATGTCGCATGGTTTTCATTGCACGCACAAGTTGCAAAATGCCAAGGAATTCGGTACCTGAGATACGTCTTGAACAATTAATCGAACTTGCTTGGTCATCTACGATGTACCCAGGAAGGACCACAATGATGTTACGAAGGTAAGCAATATTTGGAACGCAGTTTCAAGGAAACTTCAGGAAATCGATGACCAAGAAAGGATTGGTATTTTGAAATATGGTATACATATCTCTTCACATTATGTTAAGTTGCAAAATTCCGTTCTTTGAAAAACAAGGTGGCTTTGTAGACAGCAGTTTTGATCGGTACGATATCCAGGAAAAGGATGACTTGATTTAACGCATCACATAGCCTTTATACACGTACACATGGGATTGGACACTACGCAAACGTAATATGCACTACGCATCACGCAGTTACGTAGACCATACGTACACATGGAAACGTAAGACGTGAAAACAATCCCAGCTCAATGGCGTAGCATTAAGAATCGCGTGTGAATGAAACCTTTGAGTGAACCGCCTCATTTATCACAGCCCCAAGTGATGTCCTGACATGTTTGTTTTTTTGTTTCATGACAGATTAGAAAACCCCTATCTGTACACATTGGGTACGACCGCCTCCGTGGTGTAGTGGTTAGAGCGTCCGCCCGGAGAGCGGAAGGTCGCGGGTTCGATCCCCGACCGCGTCATACCAAAAGACGTTAAAATATGGTACTTGTTGGTCCCTGCCTGGCGCTCGGCATAAATGGGTACAACAAGGACTGGTCGTCTCGGAGTCAGTATAATGTGTCTGGGAAGGGTATTCATGCTTCACTGCAGCATGGTATCTCAGTGGGCTAGCACTATAAAACCAGCTTAAGTCTGGGCTAGTACAAGCAGCCGCACATACACATACACACGCATGCACGTCGTCATATGAGCGAAATATTCTCAAGCACGACGTTAAACCCAATTTCACCACACCTCACATTGGGTACGCCAGTCAGTAGCAGCAAGAAATAAAAGGCCTCGCATTAATACATGGAAAGTAGTTCCTGACAGGTGACTCATTTGCATATTCATGATCGACGATGTAGCGTCATACATCGCATCATTAACAGACGCCTCTATTTGCTAAAACAATCAGATTGTTAATAATCGTTTACTGGACGAAGGTACTTTTTGTCAGGGCAACATTTTGTATTCTGGGTTTCTCATCGCCCGACCGACTGTAAATTGGCCGCTGCCCAGAAAAAAACAAGAATTCGAACTCAGAACCTACCAGCTGCTGATTCAATTGCTTCGTTCCTGTGCCAGTGCTGACCCATGAACATCCGGGTTAGATTTGGTCTTCAGCAACCCATGCTTGTCGTAAGAGGCGACTAACGGGATTGGCTGGTCAGGCTCGCTGGCTTGGTTGACACATTGTATCCCAACTGCGTAGATCAATGCTCATGCTGTTGATCACTGGATTATCTGGTCGAGGCCATATTTACAGACCACCGCCATATAGCTGGATTATTGCTGACTGCGGCGTAAAACTAAACTCACTCACTGTCAGTGCTGGCATGAAAGCAAGTAGCCACTGTCGCTCACCAACTGTAGCAAACGACGAGTGAGTGAGTGAGTTTAGATCGGCAGTATTTCAGCCATATCGTGACCGCAGCCGACGAACCGATGACGTTGGGTGATCCGGAAGGTAGACGACAAGTGAAAATTTCCAAGAAGGCTGAGCGCTAGGTATTAATATTCTTCTTTCTATACATTTCATTTATCTATACACTATCATAATTAAAGAGTAAAGAAACATTTTAATGACCGAGGCGTCTAACTTTGTGACAGTAACATCTGATTCTATCTATTTATCTGCAATGTTTATTTGATGTTCTCTGCTGCTTTTCTTGCAGTGCAATCTGTGTTATGGATTCAAAATCTGCAAATTTGACAACGAATGATTTTGTAGTATATAGTTTTGTTTTATTTCCCGAATAACAAAGAAAATAGAATAAAGCGTTAATTAAAGGTTTTTCTTTTTTTTCAAAATGCAAATTTCCTATACCCACTCAAAGACAAGCAGAATAAGCAAATCAAACAACAAAACCATAGTAACAGATATTTTTGTCTACTTTTAAAAGTTCTTATTTTATTATTTTAAACCGACCGACCGATCACGGTGGATACTCGAAACACATGAAAGAGGGGCGGTGGAGTAGTCTTGCGGTGAAAGCGTTCGCTCGTCACGCCGAAGACCCGATTTCAAGTTCCACATGGGTACAATATGTGAAGCCCATTTCTGGTGTCCCTCGCCGTGATATTGCTGGAATCTTGCTAAAAGCGACTGTCACCCTTATCATGGGAAAAAAGACACACAAGTTATTTCCTGACTGTCATGGCCGCATGTAGCGGTTGGCTTGACACGGGATGCATGGGATTTGTGTTCCGGCACGTGCTGCACGTGCTCTGGATGTACAACCACGACGCAGTAGTCCCAGACTTGGACGAAGTGGGGAAATACAGTAAGCAGTGCAGGTAATTTGCTGTAGTTTCAATATGTTCACACTTATCACATTCGCTCAAACTTACAATTTTTGAATGTTTGATTGTCTATGAACCCCTAAGCTTCGTCGTCAGTGCCGTCTTTATACGCGGTACGGTTGAATGTTTACCTGAGCTGTAACTCCAGATCCCTCACTCACTCACCGGATGTTGACGTGGCCTTTTAGTTCTTATTAATAGTAAAAGTGCATGTGCGTTGAGCGATGTCACGTAATCAATATTGATGACACCAACCACAACTTAACCGTTGAGACCGCCTCCGTGGAGCGTCCGCCCGGTGAGCGGAAGGTCGCGGGTTCGATCCCCGACCGCGTCATACCAAAAATACGTTAAAATATGGTACTTGTTGGTCCCTGCCTGGCGTTCGGCATTAATGGGTACAACAAGGACAGGTCGGCTCGGAGTCAGTATAATGTGTCTGAGTGGGGTATTCATGCTTCACTGCGGCATGGTATCTCAGTGGGCTAGCACTATAAAACCAGCTTCAGTCTGGGCTAGTACAAGCAGCCGCACATACACATACACACGCATGCACATCGCCATATGAGCGAAATATTCTCAAGCACGACGTTAAACCCAATTTCACCTCACCTCAATTAACCGTTGTTTTTCTTCTGTGGTATCGGTAAACGCCATTCAGAAATATTCCAGCACTAGCAGCGTGTAAGTATCGAGTTTGGACTAGACAGTTGATATTTTGGACATTTCTCTGCGAAACTTGGATGCAATGACATGCCTCAACTAAGCCGGGGAGTTTGACATCCCGATCCCGTTAGTCGCCTCTTATGTACAAACAAGGAATGTTTATGTAGGTTCACCTTGCCGAACATGGGTACCCGGTGGTCAAGTGACTATTCACCTTCAAGCGCCTCAAAGGCAAGCTTGGGCTATCCGGGATAATAATACTAAGATTGTGCGCATTGAGAATGCTTATGTGTGGACATAGCGCCATAGAAATACACTATTATCATGTAGCTTTCATGTAGCTGTTGTCCCACATTTAGTATATTAGAGTGGGTATTGTACCACCCGGTACTTACTAAACGGTACTTGGAGTAGTTTGATGGTTAAAGCGTTCACTCGTCGCACCAAAGACCCAGTTTCGATGACCACATGGGTACAATGTGTAAAGCTCATTTCTGGTGTCCCCCGCCTTGATATTGCTGGAATATTGCTAAAAATCCATAGTACTCATTTGTTAAACAATCACTTGGGTCAAGCATGATACCAGTGTACACTCATCCATAGTCTGCCAAGCGGTTTATGATTACATGTAGCTTTCAGATTGGATAGTTCGTGTTGACACCAACATGAGCTCTATTTCAGTCTGCATGTGTTCACAAAGCTGGTTTAGCATTGGTCTCCAATTTGCAAATGAGGTTGGTTTGTTAATATTGACCTGGCTGGTCGTGTGTTTTGTCCTATGGGCTTATCGGGGCTCATGACATCAACCATTGCTTTATTTGTTTAAACTGCTCTGATGTTCATGGAACTCTAGTTTTGCTTCTTTCGGCTTTAGTACCCTCTCAGTCACAAGATGGTCATTGCCTTTGCAGGAAGATGAAGTTGGTCACGGTCATTTTGTTCGTCTGCCTCAGTCTCACCGAAATCCGGTCGAAGGAGAAAGGCGACAAAAACAACTTGCCTGGTAAGTGCCCTCGCTGCCTCATCTGGTTCATATACGGGGCGTTGGGGTAGCCTAGCGGTTAAAGCGTTCACTCGTCACGCCGAAGACCCGATTTCTGATATTCGAATCCCCACATGGGTGCAATGTGTGAAGCCCATTTCTGGTGCCCCCGCCGTGATATTGCTGGAATATTGCTAAATGTGGCGTAAATCTATTGCTGGTTCATATACTGTTGAAACGATGGTGACGTACAATGACGATAAATCATTCAGAAAATCGGAAACTGATGAGTCCATGCTGGACGATACATGCACGGCACCTTGCTAGAACACTGTTGACTAACTTCCCTATGGGTGGCCTGGGTATTGCCATCTAGTAAGTAAATAAGTAAGGCCACGGCACTTCGCGAGACCTTTGTACTTCCGGTGACAAATAACGTTTCATACCTTTTCGAATGGTCTCATGGTTGTCAGCTGTCAGTAAGGAACCGATAATCCTTGCAGGAATAACAAATTTCCGATCTAACCATCCCCAAATTAGCCAACTATTACGACTGTCAACAGCCGTGACAGCCAAGCATGATTGTAACTTGGTCCGGTCTAGTAAAGTCATATTTGGAACCAGAACTGGTTCTTGAATATACACTTGTTGAAAATCGTACCGTCTCACATATGGCAAGTTGGCTTGCGCAAAGGCATTCGTAACTACTCGCCTCTTTCCGTGACCTACAAAAAGACTCGTACCCTGATCTTACGCCATTTTTGCCAAGAATTGTTGCAAACCAATCAAATCGCGCGTAGTAAAACGCATTTCGAAGCATGAAAATGGTGGCACCGTTGAAGTTTGAGACTTCACTAAAACTATGCAAAGCACAATTTAAACATAAACTTTGAGCTAAAGGATCAGAAACTTTAAACACTGAAACATATTTACAAAGGAAATGAATGTATTGCTGTTTTGCCCACGGATATAGGGGTATTCTAGGAGCCATGTTTGGAAATTCAGAGTTATCTTTCTTTGGTATGGTTCTAGACTATCTTCATCTCCATGCCCGTTTGTGCTTAGACAGGGCCCAGTCTTAAACACGGTAACGAGTTTGGTACGAGACCATGGAGACGCCATCCGGCTTGCCGGAATGACACGAATAGTTACGAATGGCGCAAAGGGAGCCGGGAACCAACTTAGTACCGGAAGTAGGGCCTCGCGAGACTTACAGGCCCAATATCTCTCCCCCCAAGCTGGTGTACACTGGTGGGTGCTATGGTTCTGGTCAGTATTTAAAGGCATAATTTCACACATTTCCGACAATATTTTGGCTTATTCCTTATTGGCAACTTTCAGAGAACACTTGCCATATATGGAATGTAAACAATTACTCCGCACATGGAAAACTGACACACGCGATGTTGTCGGTGTTTGAAGAAATGTCTGGGACTGAGATCTGTCTCCAAAAGATCGTAAAGAGCGCTCCAATGGACATTATGGGGTTCGCTTGAATTAAATTACATTTTGACGTCATTCCATTGTCTGTTCGCTCCATTACTTTTCAGAATGGATCTGTCAAAATAAAACCTTCATTTTGTCAACATTTAATTTTGATATTATTCCCAATACTTCGAATAATTTATGGACATATTCCTTACTATTTATTTTTAAGGGTGGAGAGTTACTCGAGGGCATAATGTTCGGGAGAGGGCGCGACAGTCGATTTAATGCAACGTTGCATAAATTCATTCGAACTTTTTCATTGAATATTGTAATCTAAACACGCAGTTGTTTTTGGAATAAATTATATGGTAACTTCCCCGATGGCTGATAGTTATTATTGACAGAAATGCATTATTTATTTTTAGAGAAGTGTGGTGTGAAATAGTGCATGCATGCATGGCCTAATCTTTGATATGATAACTGACAGGAACAACCAGATGCGAGTCTCCTTCTCCCGCGATAATCCCACAGGTGCCCTGATAGGGACGAGTTGGAGAACTCAACGGGGCAGTCCAATGTACGCTTGCCTTCTCGTCGTGGATAAACAATGACACAAACGCAAGCTAATGGTCAGAGATAAGAAGCGAGGTCATTCTGTTAAATATCACAATATTACCAAATGGTTTTTAATGATAATAACAAACATAAGTTCTAAGAGACACCAACTGGATGTTTCTATTTATCTGAGATATATGAAGTTAATGAGCTTCCCTATTTTCCAGACAAAACTGATTCTCCGGAATACTGCAAGAATGAGATTGTCTTCTTCTTGTCAGTTTTGCGACTATGTACCACCTACAGACGTATCTTGTACTCGAAATCCCGTGTGAAGAACTGGGCCGGACTCGACAAAAACATACAAGCTGCGTTACACATAGCAGACAGCAACATCCCCGGTGGAAAACCTGGCTCTCGAAAAGACGGTTCCAAGGATAGTTCTGGGAATAATGGCTCCAAACAGCAAAGTGATTGTGACAACGGCCCTGAAAAACTTAGCTATGAGGACACAGACTTCGGTACTGATGGCTATATTGGTTTCTTCTATAATGAAGAGAAATCAGGGGACTCTGATGAAGATGGCAAGGAAAACCTTGACGATGACGATATCCAGCCCTCCCCCTGAACTTTCAGCTGCCGTCATCCGAGCACTCCAACGTCACCTGGAGCAGTCTGATAGACACAGACAGGAACGTGAGTACATTATTATCACAAACACCAGGACATACGATTAAGGAATGTGTCCCCGAAAAACGTGTAACCATTTGTAAAATTAGATTGGTTGAAACTGTTATTGTTTAATGGTATGTCTTTTTTAGTCATGGGGCGCTTGGGTGGTCTAAATGTTAAAGTGTTCATTCCTCACACAGAAGAGCCGGGTTCGATTCACCACATTGGTACAATGTCAGAAGCCCATTTCTGGTGTCCCCACGGTGATATTGCTGGAATATTGCTAAAAGCGGCACAGAACCTTAACTCACTGATTAATTTAATCACATCATTCTACTGCCTCTTGGTATCTCGTCGCACCCACAGCGGGTTGATCTGCCCAAACCCTAGACCGAGAACCGTGGTCCTTCTTTGGATAGGCTCTTGCTATGTCCCTATAATCCGTTCTGATCCTTCTCCAGCGCCTGTCTTGTCTCCCTAAAACAGATGTCTTTTTAACACCCTTTGCAATTTTCCCTTTCTTGTAAAACTAGCGCTGATCTTTTCTTGTAATCTAGTATCCACTTTCACAAAGCGATCTTAGCGCCAATATATATCTGGTACCTTTTCTCCTGCCTCTGTGTAAGATACAATTGTAGTCCCTATACAGCCCTTACACAGCTCTTCTGTTCCAGGACTTCCTATCATATTGTTAATCCCCGGCCAGTAACCCGGTACATCCACCGGTTTCAACACCAGTCTTACATCCAGTCTTACAGGGGCGGTGGAGTAGCCTAATGGTTAAAGCGTTGGCTCGTCACGCCGAAGACCCGGGTTCGAATCCCCACATGGGTGCAATGTGTGAAGCCCATTTCTGGTGTCCCCCGCCGTGGTGTTGCTGGAATATTGCTAAAAGCGGCGTAAAACCAACCTCAGTCAGTCAATCCAGTCTAACAATAACTTGTCCCTTCTTCACTTCCACGTCAGATGGGCCCGTGAAGATCCGAGGTAGAATAGGTCTTCAGCAACCCATGCTTGTCGACCCGTGAAGATCCGGGGTAGAATAAGTCTTCAGCAACCCATGCTTGCCACAAAAGGCGACTATGCTTGTAAGAGGCGACTGACGGGATCCGGTGGTCAGACTCACTGACTTGGTTGACACGTCATCGGTTCCCAATTGCGCAGATCGATGCTCATGCTGTTGATCACTGGATTGTCTGGTCCAGACTCGATTATTTACAGACCGCCGCCATATAGCTGGAATATTGCTGAGTGCGGTGTAAAACTAAACTCGCTCGCTCACTCCACGTCATGATTTCTTCAATGGACTATTTCGTAAAGGTCTACAAACAGTACAAACAAAACACTTGTATGCCTTTGCTCTAAGGGTGCAGGAGTAATGTTATTGCTTGCACCTATCTGCTGGTGTCACACTTCCGTGATTCTATACATGTTCTTTTGATGGATCAGTGCTTCTATGTGTCTTTATCTTTACAGAGTCAAATATCAGGTTAGTTTTGATAATAACGCACTGGCTATTGAAGGGAGGTAACTCCGGAGTCAGCTCTATTCCAGACTGATCACGACAGCCTGTGTATCAACTATCCTGTCCGGGCGAGGCAATGACACCAATCAGACCCCGATACCACCCTTCCCCCTCACATGTGCCTATCATTTCTGTTACAAAGGACAAATGGATATTTCTGACACAAAATGCTCGCAATTACCCTAGTATCTTCAACTAATATATTTAATAATTATTTCAGAAATATTGGTAACTTGGTTATCTGTGGAAAAGGCCATGAAGGCCACAAATTTATCGTATTGTCTGGCGTCAGTGTCGGCTGAAAGCAGAAAGTCACAGGATGTCGTTTTGAGAAAATAACTTGAATCATTAATTGGGTTTCTGATGCTTTCAAGATAAAAATGGCACTGTTCATTATCTAGAAATATTATGAATATGAAACCAACTAAATGTAATTATCACGAATGTTTGTTGAAGGCAGTGCCGGGAAGAGGAGGCGTCCCCCTTACCGGTATCGGCAGCTGGGGTTCATGTGCAGGTATCTCAGCCACAGGCTCCACTAGAGGCAGTTCAGGTATGTCAGCAGAAGGCTCCACTAGAGACAGTTCAGGTATATCAGCAGAAGGCTCCACTAGAGACAGTTCAGGTATATCAGCAGAAGGCTCCACTAGAGACAGTTCAGGTATGTCAGCAGAAGGCTCCACTAGAGACAGTTCAGGTATGTCAGCAGAAGGCTCCACTAGAGACAGTTCAGGTATGTCAGCAGAAGGCTCCACTAGAGACAGTTCAGGTATGTCAGCAGAAGGCTCCACTAGAGACAGTTCAGGTATGTCAGCAGAAGGATCCACTAGAGGCAGTTCAGGTATGTCAGCAGAAGGCTCCACTAGAGGCAGTTCAGGTATATCAGCGGGGCGGTGGGGTAGCCTAGTGGATAAAGCGTTGGCTCGTCACGCCGAAGACCCGGGTTCGATTCCCCACATGGGCACAATGTGTTAAGCCCATTTCTGGTGTCCCCCGCCGTGATATTGCTGGAATATTGCTAAAAGCGGCGTAAAACTAAACTCAGTCAGTCAGTCAGTCAGGTATATCAGCAGAAGGCTCCACTAGAGACAGTTCAGGTATATCAGCAGAAGGCTCCACTAGAGACAGTTCAGGTATGTCAGCAGAAGGCTCTACTAGAGACAGTTCAGGTATAGCAGCAGAAGGCTCCACTAGAGACAGTTCAGGTGTGTCAGCAGAAGGCTCCACTAGAGACAGTTCAGGTGTGTCAGCAGAAGGCTCCACTAGAGACAGTTCAGGTGTGTCAGCAGAAGGTTCCACTAGAAACAGTTCAGGTATATCAGCAGAAGGCTCCACTAGAGACAGTTCAGGTATGTCAGCAGAAGGCTCCACTAGAGACAGTTCAGGTATATCAGCAGAAGGATCCACTAGAGACAGTTCAGGTATGTTAGCAGAAGGCTCCACTAGAGACAGTTCAGGTATGTCAGCAGAAGGCTCCACTAGAGACAGTTCAGGTGTGTCAGCAGAAGGCTCTACTAGAGACAGTTCAGGTGTGTTAGCAGAAGGCTCCACCAGAGACAGTTCAGGTGTGTTAGCAGAAGGCTCTACCAGAGACAGTTCAAGTATGTCAGCAGAAGGCTCAACTAGAGACAGTTCAGGTATGTCAGCAGAAGGCTCCACTAGAGACAGTTCAGGTATGTCAGCAGAAGGCTCCACTAGAGACAGTTCAGGTATGTCAGCAGAAGGATCCACTAGAGACAGTTCAGGTATGTCAGCAGAAGGCTCCACTAGAGACAGTTCAGGTATGTCAGCAGAAGGCTCCACTAGAGACAGTTCAGGTATGTCAGCAGAAGGCTCCACTAGAAACAGTTCAGGTATGTCAGCAGAAGGCTCCACTAGAGACAGTTCAGGTATGTCAGCAGAAGGCTCCACTAGAGACAGTTCAGGTATGTCAGCAGAAGGCTCCACTAGAGACAGTTCAGGTATGTCAGCAGAAGGCTCCACTAGAAACAGTTCAGGTGTGTCAGCAGAAGGCTCCACTAGAGACAGTTCAGGTATGTCAGCAGAAGGCTCTACTAGAGATAGTTCAGGTATGTCAGCAGAAGGCTCCACTAGAGACAGTTCAGGTATGTCAGCAGAAGGCTCCACTAGAGACAGTTCAGGTATGTCAGCAGAAGGCTCCACTAGAGACAGTTCAGGTATGTCAGCAGAAGGCTCCACTAGAGACAGTTCAGGTATGTCAGCAGAAGGCTCCACTAGAGACAGTTCAGGTATGTCAGCAGAAGGCTCCACTAGAAACAGTTCAGGTATGTCAGCAGAAGGCTCCACTAGAGACAGTTCAGGTATGTCAGCAGAAGGCTCCACTAGAGACAGTTCAGGTATGTCAGCAGAAGGCTCCACTAGAGACAGTTCAGGTGTGTCAGCAGAAGGCTCCACTAGAAGCAGTTCAGGTGTGTTAGAAGAAGGCTGTACTAGAGACAGTTCAGGTATGTCAGCAGAAGGCTCTGCTAGAGACAGTTCAGGTATGTCAGCAGAAGGCTCTACTAGAGACAGTTCAGGTATATCAGCAGAAGGCTCCACTAGAGACAGTTCAGGTATATCAGCAGAAGGCTCCACTAGAGACAGTTCAGGTATGTCAGCAGAAGGCTCCACTAGAGACAGTTCAGGTATAGCAGCAGAAGGCTCCACTAGAGACAGTTCAGGTGTGTCAGCAGAAGGCTCCACTAGAGACAGTTCAGGTGTGTCAGCAGAAGGCTCCACTAGAGACAGTTCAGGTATATCAGCAGAAGGCTCCACTAGAGACAGTTCAGGTGTGTCAGCAGAAGGCTCCACTAGAGGCAGTTCAGGTATATCAGCAGAAGGCTCCATTAGAGACAGTTCAGGTGTGTCAGCAGAAGGCTCCACTAGAGGCAGTTCAGGTATATCAGCAGAAGGCTCCACTAGAGACAGTTCAGGTGTGTTAGCAGAAGGCTCCACTAGAAACAGTTCAGGTATATCAGCAGAAGGCTCCACTGGAGGCAGTTCAGGTATGTCAGCAGAAGGCTCCACTAGAGACAGTTCAGGTATATCAGCAGAAGGATCCACTAGAGACAGTTCAGGTATGTTAGCAGAAGGCTCCACTAGAGACAGTTAAGGTATGTCAGCAGAAGGCTCCACTAGAGACAGTTCAGGTATGTCAGCAGAAGGCTCCACTAGAGACAGTTCAGGTGTGTTAGCAGAAGGCTCCACTAGAGACAGTTCAGGTGTGTTAGCAGAAGGCTCTACCAGAGACAGTTCAGGTGTGTTAGCAGAAGGCTCTACCAGAGACAGTTCAGGTATGTCAGCAGAAGGCTCCACTAGAGACAGTTCAGGTATGTCAGCAGAAGGCTCTACTAGAGACAGTTCAGGTATGTCAGCAGAAGGCTCCACTAGAGACAGTTCAGGTATGTCAGCAGAAGGCTCCACTAGAGACAGTTCAGGTATGCAATGTAGCAGAAGGCTCCACTAGAGACAGTTCAGGTATGTCAGCAGAAGGCTCCACTAGAGACAGTTCAGGTATGTCAGCAGAAGGCTCCACTAGAGACAGTTCAGGTATGTCAGCAGAAGGCTCCACTAGAGACAGTTCAGGTATGTTAGCAGAAGGCTCCACCAGAGACAGTTCAGGTAGAAGGCTCCACTAGAGACAGTTCAGGTGTGTTAGGAAAAGGCTCCACTAAAAACAGTTCAGGTATATCAGCAGAAGGATCAGAAGGCTCCACTAGAGACAGTTCAGGTATGTCAGCAGAAGGCTCCACTAGAGACAGTTCAGGTATGTCAGCAGAAGGCTCCACTAGAGACAGTTCAGGTGTGTGTCAGCAGAAGGCTCCACTAGAGACAGTTCAGGTATGTCAGCAGAAGGCTCCACTAGAGACAGTTCAGGTGTGTCAGCAGAAGGCTCCACTAGAGACAGTTCAGGTGTGTTAGCAGAAGGCTCCACTAGAGACAGTTCAGGTATGTCAGCAGAAGGCTCCACTAGAGACAGTTCAGGTATATCAGCAGAAGGCTCCACTAGAGACAGTTCAGGTATGTCAGCAGAAGGCTCCACTAGAGACAGTTCAGGTATGTCAGCAGAAGGCTCCACTAGAGACAGTTCAGGTATGTCAGCAGAAGGCTCCACTAGAGACAGTTCAGGTATGTCAGCAGAAGGCTCCACTAGAGACAGTTCAGGTATGTCAGCAGAAGGCTCCACTAGAGACAGTTCAGGTATGTCAGCAGAAGGCTCCACCAGAGACAGTTCAGGTGTGTGTCAGCAGAAGGCTCCACTAGAGACAGTTCAGGTATGTCAGCAGAAGGCTCCACTAGAGACAGTTCAGGTATGTCAGCAGAAGGCTCCACTAGAGACAGTTCAGGTGTGTCAGCAGAAGGCTCCACTAGAGACAGTTCAGGTGTGTTAGCAGAAGGCTCCACTAGAGAAGAAGGCTCCACTAGAGACAGTTCAGGTATGTCAGCAGAAGGCTCCACTAGAGACAGTTCAGGTATGTCAGCAGAAGGCTCCACTAGAGACAGTTCAGGTATGTCAGCAGAAGGCTCCACTGGAGACAGTTCAGGTATGTCAGCAGAAGGCTCCACTAGAGACAGTTCAGGTATGTCAGCAGAAGGCTCCACTAGAGACAGTTCAGGTATGTCAGCAGAAGGCTCCACTAGAGACAGTTCAGGTGTGTTAGCAGAAGGCTCCACTAGAGACAGTTCAGGTGTGTCAGCAGAAGGCTCCACTAGAGACAGTTCAGGTATGTCAGCAGAAGGCTCCACTAGAGACAGTTCAGGTATGTCAGCAGAAGGCTCCACTAGAGACAGTTCAGGTATGTCAGCAGAAGGCTCCACTAGAGACAGTTCAGGTGTGTTAGCAGAAGGCTCCACTAGAGACAGTTCAGGTATGTCAGCAGAAGGCTCCACTAGAGACAGTTCAGGTATGTCAGCAGAAGGCTCCACTAGAAGCAGTTCAGGTGTGTTAGAAGAAGGCTCCACTAGAGACAGTTCAGGTATGTCAGCAGAAGGCTCCACTAGAGACAGTTCAGGTGTGTCAGCAGAAGGCTCCACTAGAGACAGTTCAGGTATGTCAGCAGAAGGCTCCACTAGAGACAGTTCAGGTATGTCAGCAGAAGGCTCCACTAGAGACAGTTCAGGTGTGTCAGCAGAAGGCTCCACTAGAGACAGTTCAGGTATGTCAGCAGAAGGCTCCACTAGAGACAGTTCAGGTATGTCAGCAGAAGGCTCCACTAGAGACAGTTCAGGTGTGTTAGCAGAAGGCTCCACTAGAGACAGTTCAGGTATGTCAGCAGAAGGCTCCACTAGAGACAGTTCAGGTGTGTCAGCAGAAGGCTCCACTAGAGACAGTTCAGGTATGTCAGCAGAAGGCTCTACTAGAGACAGTTCAGGTATGTCAGCAGAAGGCTCTCCACTAGAGACAGTTCAGGTGTGTCAGCAGAAGGCTCCACTAGAGACAGTTCAGGTATGTCAGCAGAAGGCTCCACTAGAGACAGTTCAGGTATGTCAGCAGAGAGGCTCCACTAGAGACAGTTCAGGTATGTCAGCAGAAGGCTCCACTAGAGACAGTTCAGGTGTGTCAGCAGAAGGCTCCACTAGAAGCAGTTCAGGTGTGTTAGCAGAAGGCTCTACTAGAGACAGTTCAGGTATGTCAGCAGAAGGCTCCACTAGAGACAGTTCAGGTATGTCAGCAGAAGGCTCCACTAGAGACAGTTCAGGTATGTCAGCAGAAGCCTCCTTTGGAGGCAGTTCAGGTATGTCAGCAGAAGGCTCTACTAGAGACAGTTCAGGTATGTCAGCAGAAGGCTCCACTAGAGACAGTTCAGGTATGTCAGCAGAAGGCTCTACTAGAGACAGTTCAGGTGTGTTAGCAGAAGGCTCCACTAGAGACAGTTCAGGTGTGTTAGCAGAAGGCTCTACTAGAGACAGTTCAGGTATGTCAGCAGAAGGCTCCACTAGAGACAGTTCAGGTATGTCAGCAGAAGGCTCTACTAGAGACAGTTCAGGTATGTCAGCAGAAGGCTCCACTAGAGACAGTTCAGGTGTGTCAGCAGAAGGCTCCACTAGAGACAGTTCAGGTATGTCAGCAGAAGGCTCCACTAGAGACAGTTCAGGTATGTCAGCAGAAGGCTCCACTAGAAGCAGTTCAGGTGTGTTAGAAGAAGGCTGTACTAGAGACAGTTCAGGTATGTCAGCAGAAGGCTCTACTAGAGACAGTTCAGGTGTGTCAGCAGAAGGCTCCACTAGAGACAGTTCAGGTATGTCAGCAGAAGGCTCTACTAGAGACAGTTCAGGTATGTTAGCAGAAGGCTCCACTAGAGACAGTTCAGGTGTGTTAGCAGAAGGCTCTACCAGAGACAGTTCAGGTATGTCAGCAGAAGGCTCCACTAGAGACAGTTCAGGTATGTCAGCAGAAGGCTCCACTAGAAGACAGTTCAGGTATGTCAGCAGAAGGCTCCACTAGAGACAGTTCAGGTATGTCAGCAGAAGGCTCCACTAGAGACAGTTCAGGTGTGTCAGCAGAAGGCTCCACTAGAGACAGTTCAGGTATGTCAGCAGAAGGCTCCACTACTAGAGACAGTTCAGGTATGTCAGCAGAAGGCTCCTCTGGAGGCAGTTCAGGTATGTCAGCAGAAGGCTCCACTAGAGACAGTTTAGGTATGTCAGCAGAAGGCTCCACTAGAGACAGTTCAGGTATGTCAGCAGAAGGCTCCACTAGAGACAGTTCAGGTGTGTTAGCAGAAGGCTCTACCAGAGACAGTTCAAGTATGTCATCAGAAGGCTTCTCTAGAGACAGTTCAGGTATGTCAGCAGAAGGCTGTACTAGAAGCAGTTCAGGTGTGTCAGCAGAAGGCTGTACTAGAGACAGTTCAGGTATGTCAACAGCAGGCTCCACTAGAAGCAGTTCAGGTGTGTTAGCAGAAGGCTCCTCTGTTAGGTTCATACCTTCAGGTAGTACAGGCTGCAAGTAGGGGCCAGTCGTCTTAGCCGCTACTATTTTGAGTGCACCCGTTTTGTGTACCAGACATCTATGATCATTGGTTCGAATCCCAGATTGGTCTGCTTATGTTCGTAGGTTTGTCCGCGGTCATTTCGGAGATTCCTCTGAACATCAAGTTGACTAATCCTGATATAAACAATGCCAGCTTAGCGGCCTTAAGCCCGACACATTCCCTCACTGTGCTTGGTATGTAAACTAAGTATTTTGGAGGGTTTTAATGCGTGTTTATATTGCTCAAGGGGCGGTGGGGTAGCCTAGTGGTTAAAGCGTTGGCTCGTCACGCCGAAGACCCGGGTTCGAATCCCCACATGGGTACAATGTGTGAAGCCCATTTCTGGTGTCCCCCGCCGTGATGTTGCTGGAATATTGCTAAAAGCGGCGTAAATCCAAACTCAGTCAGTCAGTCAGTTATATTGCTAACAAAGTCATATCTCTTTGAATGAATTGCTAAATGTCTTGTATCAGGCCAAATCTGATTAGCGTTCTTTGTCTTTCAGTTGCGGAACTCGGAAGCCATCTGTTTAATGTATTTTCGTCCATATAAACCTGAATCAAACAATGTTGTGTTTTTGGTTTATACATGTACATATAATTAGGTTGTGACCAGGATGAGCATTCATTTGCACAATTTGGATATGATGAAATGTGTGAGCCAAGTCAGCAAGCCTGACACCTGATCCTGTTAGTCGCCTCTTGCGACAAGCAGGGGTTGCTGAAGACCAATTCTCACCCGAATCTTCACGGATGAAACTCTTGAGAACCTCTGAAGACCGGCATAGGCTGGAGCTGTGGAGCAATTCTAACCCGGCAAACCAAGGGGTTATATTCTACTGAAAACAAGTTAAGAAAACCTTTTTGGAAGGCTGCGTGTTGTAATTCCCATACACCACGACAGATTAACTATAGTCGTACGGAAATAATCTCACCTTTTTGTTACCTCTTCTTGAATATACGTGCCTTTGACGCAACAGTTTGTGCCTCTGTAGTTGGTGGGACGTTCCAGTGTCTCAGGAGCTGGAACTTGATAGGAAGAGTTACCTCCCGTACATTCTTGTACACTGCGGTACAGTGGCATTGTAAACAGCTGCACAGGTAGTATAAAAAAAGACCTTGCGGACTTGTGAGAACGGCACAGTAATGCATACTGAAAAGCTGAAAATCCACGTCCCTTCAGCAAGTCAGGATTAGATGATAGTTTGTGTGAATCTTCGTTTGTTAGATTCACCCTCATTATGACCCTGGGTTTGTCATCGTCACAACCCGTGAAGATCCGGGTCAGAATTGATCTTCAGCAACCCATGCTTGTCGTAAGAGGCGACTAACGGGATCGGGTGGTCAGGCTTGCTGACTTGGTTGACACATGCGACTTGTCATCGCATCCCAATGCGTGGATCGACGCTCAAACGATGCTGTTGAACACTGGATTGTCTGGTCCAGACTCGATTATTTACACACCACCACCATATAGCTGGAATATTGCTGAGTGCGGCGTAAAACAAAACTCACTCACTCATCACATGGTGGACATGATATGGATGCCATCAGGCTACATTAACATAGCAATGTTGTGACAAACAACGTTTTATACCTTTTCGAACGGTCTGGTGGTTGTCAGTTTACAGTACAGTTTATAGTACAGTGGAAACCGCCTAAGTAAAGACCGCTTAACCTGATAAGTAAACACTATTCTTTGGTCCCGGCAAATTTCTTCATTAATTATCACTATTAGAGTCCGGTTAACTAAACTCGGATAAGTAAACAATACCGCTTAACTAAACGTCTTCTCGCGGTCCATGGAAGTAAATTACTTAACAAAAGAGACTGGATAACTAAATTAGCGATCACCACATAATCCGACATGAGGGGCAGTCGTGTCCGTCTCCAGTCAAACAAACATCCTGTTTACAGCTCGCTGGCGTCAAGCAGTTGACAATACACTGCCAGCGCTGATAAGTTGTTCATTGTTACATATGCATACATATACATGCATATGGTTGTCATTTGCAGGTTTTTATAAGTTTGGATAAGTAAAATACCTGATAAGTAAACAATTTTGGCGAGTCCCTTGAAATTTTACTTATCAGGTTTCCACTGTATATATTGAAACACACACAACCAGTTTTGCAATTTCAAACAAGCACTACAAACCGCAATTGAATGAGTGCTAAACGCAAAATATATCTTATTACATGAGTCCGTGTTTATAGAAATGTCCAACAATTATCCCATTTGAAAGCACGTTTTGTGAATAGGCAGCGTTCAGGTGCTTCTCAAACAAGTCCTGTTGTGGTGCTGCGTGTTGCCCTATATAAAACATGTTGGGTATGGCACCATACAACACCCTATACAGGCTGATATTTCACTGGTCCAACTATGTTACATCCTGGTATGTTGGATATCTGATTATGTTCATGTGTTTGTTTATGTCATCATGTAATGACCGCCGTTTATGATGGAAGACTTTGGTGTCATGAAAAAAAAAAATTGAAAAAAAAAATTAATCCTGCTGTGGTGTAATCGATCTCAGAATTCCCACCCATTGTGATCAACCTGGATCTCCGATCCCACAATAGACGTGGGATATCAATGCCATACTGTTCAAACGTGTTATAACCATTACTGTGTTACACACGCTAACACAATCTCTTCCAAGATAATTGCTTTGAAAATCAACCAATCAAATGAAACACCTCAAAGAGGAAGTGTGTTTGTCCAATCACAATTGACTATGTTGATGACAGATATCCCATAGTTAATGATATTCCTATCGCTGACACTGCTGACGTATTCCTGTTCCGACACGTCAATGTGCTCCGGACCTAATCAGGTGTACATGTAGTACAACGCGTCACATAATTATAAGTGGAGCTATTTAGAGATCAGTGTGTAGCAACATACAGTGCACTATAACGAAAGTGGCCATAGAGTGTCGTTCGTTATAACATTAGTTGACCCGTGAAGATCCGGGGTAGAGTAGGTCTTCAGCAACCCATGCTTGCCACAAAAGGCGACAATGCTTGTCGTAAGAGGCGACTAACGGGATCGGGTGGTCAGGCTCGCTGACTTGGTTGACACATGTCATCGGTTCCCAATTGCGCAGATCAATGTTCATGCTGTTGATCACTGGATTGTCTGGTCCAGACTCGATTATTTACAGACCACCGCCATATAGCTGGGATATTGCTGAGTGCGGCGTAAAACTAAACTCACTCACTCACTCACTATAACCGTAGTTCGTTGTACACATTTCGTCTAGAACACAGGACAAGTGACCAAGACAAAAACAAACACACACCCCCAAAAACAAAAACCCCCACCCCCAAAACCCAAAACAAACAAAAAAACCCAACAAAACAACAACAAAAAAACAAAAAACAAAACAAAACCAACACCAAAGGAACAAAAACAACAAATATAAACACGTTTGTTTATATACTTAACGTACAGGAAAGATGACTTAGACTAAACAACAATTAAATTAAAAAAGGAACCAAGAAAACCAAACACGTTCGTTATATCACACAGTTCGTTATATCACACAGTTCGTTATATCACACAGTTCGTTATAAGCATGTTCGTTATATATACTACCCATCAAAAGTTTAGACATACAAGTGTCAATGTAGCCACTTACTACAGGCAACTGTTCTAAATTAAATTTTGCAAATTATTCCATACTGTTTAAAGGTACTGGTTACACATGAACTGATGTACTGTAAAACATTTTCGTAACGTTGAAAAGATTATTGTCATGAGTTCAATAAGTGATAAAAATCAGTGAAAATTGGCGAATTCTTAAACTTTACACCAAAACGCATCTGTTCACATGCACGATATTTGAACAAGCTTTTCAGCAATTTGATGCATGATCCTCGTGCAATTCATCTGCGTAAGGTTGGCAGTTGGTTCCCCTAAGTGAGTGGAGAAATCAGTCTTCGATGTAACCATATATATACATAACATATAGTGAGTGTTTTAAGTGAGTCTAAACTTTTGATGGGAAGTATACTTAGTGTACTGTATAAACCATGTATATGGGAATTAGTTCTTTGGTAATAATAATAATAATAATAATAATAATACAAGGGCCTGATGATGTACGCCTCTCCGTGGTGGGCCTAGATAGTGGAATTATATTCAACCAAACGTACATCACGGACCCAGTTTACAAATATCCCGATGCTGGATTTTCTTTACCGAAAACAAGGAGCAAACCATCTTTTAACTCCGCAGCCCAGCCTCTTCCTCCGGTAGTAAAAACCAACCACACTGGAGATGGGACTTGCCCCATGGGAAGGCACAGAACCCGACCAATCGTTTGATCTCAAATATATCTTGGTGGAACACAGTTTTTGGATGATAAATAACAAAACAAACATGGGCAAATTACCAGGACAACCCAACCCCACGTCACCAGTCATCATAACTATTGTTTAAAACTGGTTAAACTATTTTAAAAGCACTGGGTGTTTCAGTAATGTCTGTCACTGTATGTCACTGCTGAAATTAAGCAGAAGAAGAGTTGTCGTTCTTGTTTGAAGTAGTTCTGATGTTCATACGCCAATATGCCATACTTGCAGCATCGCTATATTGCTTGTATCGGAAGAATGCGTCTCATATGGTGTTGGGTGTACACGCAGGTTGCCTCTCCACGAAACTCGCACTACATTGTGGTTGCATGTTCTCTGTGGCAGGAGGCAACAGAGGACAAGGGCAATGCCTATTACAATCCCCGGAATGACCAAGGTCCATACGCCTTGTTTCGTCTGGTTGACAACAGGTGACACTGAAATCAAGTTAAAAAATCAATATTTTTTGCATGGAATGTCGTATATAAGTATACCGGAATTTAGCATATACTACTACATACTTCATAAACATGCTGGAATATGTTCTTGTGCTCATCTGCATTAACTCAGTTCCTCACATTAAGATTACATCGATAACATGATTAAACGGTTCTCCTGATATTGTTGCGTTCGTTTCTACTTAAAAATAGTCATATTTATGAAACAACAAATCCTGTAATCAAGAGAAGGGCTGTTCGTCTTGCCACAGGCTGTTATAGCGGCACAGTTGGGTTGATGCAAACTTACCTGTATCATTCGCTGCCGGTTCTAGATCCGGTATAGTATGGCCGGTTCTAGATCCGGTAGAGTATTGCCGGTTCTAGATCCGGTAGAGTATGGCTGGTTCTAGATCCGGTAGAGTATGGCCGGTTCTAGATCCGGTATAGTATGGCCGGTTCTAGATCCGGTATAGTATGGCCGGTTCTAGATCCGGTAGAGTATGGCCGGTTCTAGATCCGGTATAGTATGGCCGGTTCTAGATCCGGTAGAGTATGGCCGGTTCTAGATCCGGTAGAGTATGGCTGGTTCTAGATCCGGTATAGTATGGCCGGTTCTAGATCCGGTATAGTATGGCCGGTTCTAGATCCGGTATAGTATGGCCGGTTCTAGATCCGGTATAGCATGGCCGGTTCTAGATCCGGTATAGTATGGCCGGTTCTAGATCCGGTATAGTATGGCCGGTTCTAGATCCGGTATAGTATGGCCGGTT